AATGTGTGTGTACAGGGATGTATGTGTGTACAGGGGTGTTTGTGTGCATACAGGGGTGTGTGTATATGTGTGTACAGGAGTGTATGTGTGTGTACAGGGGGGTGTATGTGTGTGTACAGGGGGGAATGTGTGTGTACAGGGATGTATGTGTGTGTGTACAGGGATGTATGTGTGTACAGGGGTGTTTGTGTGCATACAGGGGTGTGTGTATATGTGTGTACAGGAGTGTATTTGTGTGTACAGGGGGGTGTATGTGTGTGTACAGGGGTGTATGTGTGTACGTGTGTGTAGAGGGGTGTATGTGTGTGTACAGGGGTGTATGTGTGTGTACAGGGGTGTATGTGTGTGTACAGGGGTGTATGTGTGTGTACAGGGGTGTATGTGTGTACAGGGGTGTATGTGTCTTTACAGGGGTGTATGTGTGTACAGGGGTGTATGTGTGTGTACAGGTGTGTATGTGTACAGGGGCGTATGTGTGTGTACAGGGGTGTATGTGTGTGTACAGGGGTCTATGTGTGTGTACAGGGGTGTATGTGTGTGTACAGGGGTTTATATGTGTGTACGGGGGTGTATGTGTGTGTACAGGGGTGTATGTGTCTGTACAGGGGTCTATGTGTGTGTACAGGGGTGTATGTGTCTGTACAGGGGTTTATGTGTGTGTACAGGGGTGTATGTGTGTGTACAGGGGTGTATGTGTGTGTACAGGGGTGTATGTGTGTACAGGGGTGTATGTGTGTGTACAGGTGTGTATGTGTACAGGTGTGTATGTGTGTGTACAGGGGTGTATGTGTGTGTACAGGGATGTATGTGTGTGTACAGGGGTGTATGTGTGTACAGGGGTGTATGTGTGTGTAAAGGTGGTGTGTGTACAGGGGTGTATGTGTGTACTGGGGTGTATGTGTGTACTGGGGTGTATGTGTGTGTACAGGTGTATATGTGTGTACAGGTGTATATGTGTGTGTACGTGTGTGTACAGGTGTGTATGTGTGTGTACAGGTGTGTATGTGTGTGTACAGGGGTGTATGTGTGTGTACAGGGGTGTATGTGTGTGTACAGGGGTGTATGTGTGTGAGTGTGTACAGGGGGGTGTGTGTGTACAAGGGTGTTTGTGTACAGGGGTGTATGTTTGTGTACAGGGGTGTATGTGTGTGTAGAGGGTTTTATGTGTGTGTACAGGGGTGTGTGTGTGTACAGGGGTGTGTGTATGTGTACAGCGGGGAATGTGTGTGTACAGGGGGGAATGTGTGTGTACAGGGATGTATGTGTGTACAGGGGTGTTTGTGTGCATACAGGGGTGTGTGTATATGTGTGTACAGGAGTGTATATGTGTGTACAGGGGGGTGTATGTGTGTGTACAGGGGGGAATGTGTGTGTACAGGGATGTATGTGTGTGTGTACAGGGATGTATGTGTGTACAGGGGTGTTTCTGTGCATACAGGGGTGTGTGTATATGTGTGTACAGGAGTGTATTTGTGTGTACAGGGGGGTGTATGTGTGTGTACAGGGGTGTATGTGTGTACGTGTGTGTAGAGGGGTGTATGTGTGTGTACAGGGGTGTATGTGTGTGTACAGGGGTCTATGTGTGTGTACAGGGGTGTATGTGTGTGTACAGGGGTGTATGTGTGTGTACAGGGGTGTATGTGTGTACAGGGGTGTATGTGTCTTTACAGGGGTGTATGTGTGTACAGGGGTGTATGTGTGTGTACAGGTGTGTATGTGTACAGGGGCGTATGTGTGTGTACAGGGGTGTATGTGTGTGTACAGGGGTCTATGTGTGTGTACAGGGGTGTATGTGTGTGTACAGGGGTTTATATGTGTGTACGGGGGTGTATGTGTGTGTACAGGGGTGTATGTGTCTGTACAGGGGTCTATGTGTGTGTACAGGGGTGTATGTGTCTGTACAGGGGTTTATGTGTGTGTACAGGGGTGTATGTGTGTGTACAGGGGTGTATGTGTGTGTACAGGGGTGTATGTGTGTACAGGGGTGTATGTGTGTGTACAGGTGTGTATGTGTACAGGTGTGTATGTGTGTGTACAGGGGTGTATGTGTGTGTACAGGGATGTATGTGTGTGTACAGGGGTGTATGTGTGTACAGGGGTGTATGTGTGTGTACAGGTGTGTATGTGTGTGTACAGGGGTGTATGTGTGTGTACAGGTGTGTATGTGTGTGTACAGGGGTGTATGTGTGTGTACAGGGGTGTATGTGTGTGTACAGGTGTGTATGTGTACAGGTGTGTATGTGTGTGTACAGGGGTGTATGTGTGTGTACAGGGGTGTATGTGTGTGTACAGGGATGTATGTGTGTGTACAGGGGTCTATGTGTGTGTACAGGGGTGTATGTGTCTGTACAGGGGTTTATGTGTGTGTACAGGGGTGTATGTGTGTGTACAGGGGTGTATGTGTGTGTACAGGGGTGTATGTGTGTACAGGGGTGTATGTGTGTGTACAGGTGTGTATGTGTACAGGTGTGTATGTGTGTGTACAGGGATGTATGTGTGTGTACAGGGATGTATGTGTGTGTACAGGGGTGTATGTGTGTACAGGGGTGTATGTGTGTGTAAAGGTGGTGTGTGTACAGGGGTGTATGTGTGTACTGGGGTGTATGTGTGTACTGGGGTGTATGTGTGTGTACAGGTGTATATGTGTGTACAGGTGTATATGTGTGTGTACATGTGTGTACAGGTGTGTATGTGTGTGTACAGGGGTGTATGTGTGTGTACAGGGGTGTATGTGTGTCTACAGGGGTGTATGTGTGTGTGTGTGTACAGGGGTATATATATGTGTGTGTGTGTGTGTGTGTGCCAGGATGTATGTGTGTTTACAGGGGTGTATGTGTGTGTACAGGGGTGAATATGTGTGTACAGGGATGTATGTGTGTGTGCTAGGGTGTATGTGTGTGTACAGGTGTGTGTGTGTGTGTACAGGTGTGTGTGTGTGTGTGTGTGTGTGTGTGTGTGTGTGTGTGTGTGTGTGTGTGTGTGTGTGTGTGTGTGTGTGTACAGGTGTGTGTGTGTGTGTGTGTGTGTGTGTGTGTGTGTGTGTGTGTGTAGAGGGATTTATGTCAGTGTGTGTGTGCCAGGGTCTATGTGTGTGTACAGGGGTGTATGTGTGTGTGAGTGTGTGTGTGCTAGAGTGTATGTGTGTGTGTGTGCCAGGGTGTATGTGTGTGTACAGGGGTGTATGTGTGTGTACAGGGGTTTATGTGTGTGTACAGGGGTGTATGTGTGTGTACAGGAGTGTATGTGTGTGTACAGGGGTGTATGTGTGTGTACAGGGGTGTATGTGGATGTACAGGGGTGTATGTGTGTGTACAGGGGTTTATGTGTGTGTACAGGGGTGCATGTGTGTGCCAGGGTGTATGTGTGTGCCAGGGTGTATGTGTGTGTACAGGGGTGTATGTGTGTGTACAGGGGTTTATGTGTGTGTACAGGGGTATATGTGTGTGCCAGGGTGTATGTGTGTGTACAGGGGTGTATGTGGATGTACAGGGGTGTATGTGTGTGTACAGAGGTGTATGTGTGTGTACAGGGGTGTGTATGTGTACAGGGGTGTATGTGTGTACAGGGGTGTATGTGTGTACAGGTGTGTATGTGTGTGTACAGGGGTGTATGTGTGTGTACAGGGGTGTATGTGTGTGTACAGGGGTGTATGTGTGTACAGCGGTGTATGTGTGTACAGGTGTGTATGTGTGTGTACAGGGGTGTATGTGTGTGTACAGGTGTGTATGTGTACAGGGGTGTATGTGTGTGTACAGGGGTGTATGTGTGTGTACAGGGATGTATGTGTGTGTACAGGGGCGTATGTGTGTACAGGGGTGTATGTGTGTGTACAGGGGTGTATGTGTGTGTACAGGGGTGTATGTGTGTGTAAAGGTGGTGTGTGTACAGGGGTGTATGTGTGTACAGGGGTGTATGTGTGTGTAAAGGTGGTGTGTGTACAGGGGTGTATGTGTGTACAGGGGTGTATGTGTGTACAGGGGTGTGTGCGTTTGTACAGGTGTGTATGTGTGTGTACAGGTGTGTACGTGTGTGTACAGGTGTGTATGTGTGTGTTCAGGTGTGTGTGTGTACAGGGGTGTATGTGTGTACAGGGGTGTTTGTGTGCATACAGGGGTGTGTGTATATGTGTGTACAGGAGTGTATTTGTGTGTACAGGGGGGTGTATGTGTGTGTACAGGGGTTTATGTGTGTACGTGTGTGTAGAGGGGTGTATGTGTGTGTACAGGGGTGTATGTGTGTGTACAGGGGTCTATGTGTGTGTACAGGGGTGTATGTGTGTGTACAGGGGTGTATGTGTGTGTACAGGGGTCTATGTGTGTGTACAGGGGTGTATGTGTGTGTACAGGGGTTTATGTGTGTGTACAGGGGTGTATGTGTGTGTACAGGGGTGTATGTGTGTACAGGGGTGTATGCGTGTGTACAGGTGTGTACGTGTGTGTACAGGTGTGTATGTGTGTGTACAGGTGTGTATGTGTGTGTACAGGTGTGTGTGTGTACAGGGGTGTATGTGTGTACAGGGATGTATGTGTGTACAGGTGTGTATGTGTGTGTACAGGTGTGTATGTGTGTGTACAGGGGTGTATGTGTGTGTACAGGGGTGTATTTGTGTACAGGGGTGTATGTGTGTGTACGTGTGTACAGGTGTGTATGTGTACAGGTGTAGATGTGTACAGGGGTGTATGTGTGTGTACAGGGGTGTATGTGTACAGGGGTGTATGTGTGTGTACAGGGGTGTATGTGTGTGTACAGGGGTGTATGTGTGTGTACAGGGGTGTGTGTGTGTACATGGGTGTATGTGTACATGGGTGTATGTGTGTGTACAGGGGTGTATGTGTGTGACTCATTTGGTGTTCTCATCAAATACAAATAACTCACTCCAAGGGTAACCTGTGAAAACAAAATGTAAATATAACACCCATGAAGAATTTAAATATTTCACTAAAAATGAATAGTGACCCTGAGCTGCCAGTAACAATCATCATGATTAAACATCATCATACCTCTTCCTTTTTGAAAACTGCCGCCAGATGAGACTGGAACTTGCTTTTCCGATCCCACAAGAATTCACTGTGGTAGATGACTGGGCAGGGGGCTTCCTCTGGGGAACAACATGCATCAGTGTTAATCAGATTTGTACTTGTAGGAGGGAGAGGGAGAGGGAGAGAGGGAGAGAGAGAGGGAGAGGGAGAGAGGGAGAGGGAGAGAGGGAGAGAGAGAGAGGGAGAGGGAGAGAGGGAGAGGGAGGGAGGGGAGGAGGGAAGTGGATGAGGGAGGTGATGAGGGTGGTGGAGGGGGGAGGTGAGGGGAAATAGAGGATATAATAGCAATTATTAAATGCCTGGCTTAGAAATAAACATTTCTACACTAATCTGCAAAAATGATCTGCCATTGACGTAATAGTACAAGCGTTAGCTCACTATTCCTTCCTGAAGTTCCTAGTCTCGACCTACCAGACAATTAGAAGTGTGCTGTATTACCGGTAAATACTATGATATGGAAAAATTAAATAATATTACATAAACATTTGGAAAATACCTGTATATTATATTTTCAAAATCATACATTTTTTCATCTTTATCTGTGATCGAAGAAGGGAAATTATTCGGGACCAGTTTCCTGTATATAATATGTCTATTATCCATACATTGTGACCATAGCAACATCCAATAAAATGGCGGACATTAATGAAGGGGTTAAAACCGTGTGGGGAAAGGAGTTTTTTTTATTGAGGTTCATTACAAATAACAGATGACAGAAAGCATACAATACATTGTGGTACGTATCGTAACACACGAATCATTATTGCAATACTTTGCAATATGAAAGTCAAGCCAATGCCCATTCATCTTCCGCGTCAAGAGAGTAAACTGACTATAAAAGTCCAGTTTCCACCCTTGTCAAACTAGGCTGGTAGTATGGAGTTATACTTTGGCTGGACGAACAAGTCTATGCATAGTCCAATCAAAATCCGAAATCGAAATCCGGTTAGTAAACTGTCGTGCAGATTTCGGTCGATTGCAAGATTTGCAAAGCATGTGTACCGACACCTCGTTGTCAACACATATTTTCCAAGTCTTTTCATGTTTTTAATCAAGGTGCTCATTTGATCTGATGCACTTCGAGATGTAAGACCCATTTTATCACAATATAGATCTTGATTATCGATCAGATCGTCTTGACTGGGCGCCACCATTTTGTTTGAAACAAATGCAAGTGATACGCGAGGTGGAATCATGGGAGAGGCTTTGAAGAGACATACTGTATTCGACGTAATAAGTGCCCCGCTCTAATAAACGCCCACGGCGATATTTGCTAATATATTGGCTAGTGAACAATCCCAATCAGCACCCCTTCCGATTGATCAATGTACACAAGACTTATTTATTCGTGTATAATACGCACTCGTGTGTTATATCACCCTTAATTATGGGCAATTAAATTCTTGAAAAATACATCTGTCGTATGTAAACATTTCAGGCTGTTAGCATAAACCACGAAATTTACGATCTTTCAAATAAGCGTCCCCTATTTCTAATTTTGAGAGCGCCCTGAATACGGTAACTCATAATAGCCACTGGTGGTGCTACAATCAATCAAGCCCAGGAATTCCAGCCTAGTTCGGCAAGGGTGGAAACTTGACTTTTGAAGTCAGTTAACTCTCTTGCCTCGGGAAGATGATGCCCACCAATTAGACTAATGTTAACATTGAATCCTGAATGCACAATTACACTTGAACAGAACACCTCCCGACCCAGGGAAACTGAGACAGTTTTACAAATGGTTGGTTCTGTCACTGTATCCCGATGGTGTGGTGCATAGCTTACAATATCAATCCCTGGATTGTCTGGCCAAGACATTTGTATGTGTAGTTCACCGTCATATAGCTGGAATATTGCTGTGTGTGGTATTAAACATAAAACAAACAAACAGTAATCCCTCAATGAATGCTATATATATACCTGCAGGTTTCTTCTTCATGAACTGTGACAGAGTAGTCTCCCCTGTCGCCTCCTTATCCCACTCATGTCCTACCCCAGCCCCATCTGCCCCGTCACCCTGGGAGGGGTCCGTCCACGCCGAGACCAGGTCATCCGACAACGACTCCGCAGACACTGTGGGCGTGTCAATCACTCCTGCTGTAGCTGGGAAATATTCAATTGAGTTTGATTATACATAACTAACGCCACAGGCCCATAGTACAGAATACATGACTATGTGGAAGCGGTTAGAAATGCTACAAGGATTCATTTCTTTATTAACATGGCATGATAGATATAGAGAGAAAGATTTCAAATTGTCGTTTTGACATTAAAGAGATAAACTTATATTTATTTGGATGTACATCATATTTTTCTTCAATATTATTTTCCTTAATTATCACATTAATAATAACCACATACAAGCAAAATGTTAAATTCATCTTCAACGACATGTAAGGAACATTTTCCACATCTTAAACATTTTGGTATTTTTTTGTGCCTGTCAACTGTTGTCTGCTATCTATAGTCATCACATGACTATAGTGTAAACATGATCACATGACACTGTACCTATGTCATCGATACTGATGACGTCATATGTGAGCGCATGCTTGTGAATTTTGAGAGTAAAGGATCTAGCTGGCTGGATGTGTGTTTACGTTGTCTCTTGTTGGGTCCGACCCAGTTATGCTTCAATTCAGAGCTTCAAAGCGGTCTAACTCTATGAAGACAGAGAACGTTTCACCAACTTCAACCTTCATCCTGTGTGAGCTGCCTCAGAAACCTGCATGAAGTGGCTGGGACATAAGGCACGTTTCAGGGGATGCATGACCACACCCGCATCCTAGTCCCTCCCAGAGACCATATACCGATATATGGTCTCTGTCCCTACATACTGTAAATCAGGAAATTAAATCAAGTTTAACTACCATTGAAATCTATAAAAACACTAATCCCGCGTTCCCGTTTAATGGTAATTACCCTCTTTTTTTTTACCAGTTTTCGAACTAAGTCAGCATGTCTGTTACCATCAGGGTTTCCCCTTGTCTATTTCTAGGTCAAAATATCAATTTGGAGCGCCTTGTCTCAATGTGTTAAAAAAAGAGAGTAAATTGTGACTGATGTTTGTGTGAATGACATATAGATCTAACTAAGTTACTTCAGATATGACATGTTTGTACTGAACATGATGTTGAAAGAATTAAAACCAAATAATTTTCATATGTTATTTTATTTGTGGGGACTGGTAATTTTTAGAGTTGCCACAAGGACTGGCAGTTTCAAAAGCCAGCAGGAACATTGCTAATCAAGGTCCTCATCCCACAGCGACACCAAGACAGTAGACTAACATTCCATGGTACAGGTTATAGCAGCTCGATTGAATGTTCTGCTTTCTCACACAAAATTAATCCATTAAGATGAGTGTAGCAAAGTGCAGCAATACATTTAACCATTTCTTTGTTGTCTTTAATCTATCCCTCCGCCTGCCTTATGATCCTTTGGGCATAAAACCAGGAAGTAAACTTGTCTAGTCTTTGAGTGAGTGAGTGAGTGAGTTGGGTTTAACACCGCTTTTAACAGTAGTCCAGTTATATCAGCTTAATGTGGGAGGACAGCCCAAAGTGATGCAGGTCTCAGACGTTTACCACTTTGGTGAAACCCACGAACACGGGTATGGTGCTGACAAACCTTGAAACATAACTGGGGCAAAGCGGGATTTGAACCCACAATCATAGGTTTCTGGCGTGCCAAAGGGATGCAACTCTGCACAGCGAATCGCGTCGCCTTAAATGACTGGGCCACCCGTGCCCCCTTCTAGTCTTTGGAAGGCATTTAGACGTGTTACACATAAGGAGGAGAACTAATGGATGTCTACATCTTTGTTATGAGGAACACGTTTCACTGCATATGCTTACTCCTTCATCAGGTTAACGAAGGAGTAAGTATATACTCCGAAACGTTGTGTTCCTCATAACAAAGAAGTTGACATCCATTAATTCTCTTCCTTTAATTGGTCTAGCCTAAGCAATAACTTGACCCTGTACCTCCGTCGCCTGCCTGAGTCAGTTCTTGAAGGAATTCCCTCGTCCTCTCTATCCACAAATACAGGATGCTCTCTCCCAGATTCTCCCTGAAACAAGACAGACAACACATGAAACAAAAGGAGGTGATTATATTGCACTAACAACATGCATTCACCTGCACGCTTGTGTGCATTCACCGAAATGCTTGAATGTGCATTCACCTGCACACTTGTGTGTGCATGCATGCAATGCCTGCTTGTACTAGTCTAGAATAACGTCATTGCTAGCCCACTGAGATACCATGCCACAGTTTAACATTGATACCCCACTAAAATACAAATAAAAGATAAAGTAAAGACAAAGTACACAATATGCAGGACTAGACGAGGATTTGTCTTGTTCAGTGCTGGGATTCATCACATAGGCGTTATAACACACGAGTTAAAAATACCATATCAGACTTGAACCACTCGGCCACGCCACCTCCAAGTAATAAAAGACTTGAACCACTTCGCCTCACAGTACTAGAACACTTGAACCACTCGCCCACCCCACCTCCAAGTACTGGAACACTTGAACCACTCGGCCACCCCACCTCAAAGTACTAGAACACTTGAACCACTCGCCCACCCCACCTCCAAGTACTGGAACACTTGAACCACTCGGCCACCCCACCTCAAAGTACTAGAACACTTGAACCACTCGGCCATCCCACCTCCAAGTACTAGAACACTTGAACCACTCTGCCACCCCACCTCCAAGTACTAGAACACTTGAACCACTCGCCCACCCTACCTCCAAGTACTAGAACACTTGAACCACTCGGCCAATCCACCTCCAAGTACTGGAACACTAGAACCACTCGGCCATCCCACCTCCAAGTACTCGAACACTTTAACCACTTGGCCACACTACCCCCAAGTACTGGAGCACTTGAACCACTCGCCCCCCCTACATCAAAGTACAAGAACACTTGAACCACTCGGCCACTCCACCTCCAAGTACTGGAACACTTGAACCACTCGGCCAACCCACCTCCAAGTACTAGAACACTTGAACCACTCGGCCCCCCCACCTCCAAGTACTGGAACACTTGAACCACTCGGCCACCCCACCTCCAAGTACTAGAACACTTGAACCACTCGGCCATCCCACCTCCAAGTACTAGAACACTTGAACCACTCTGCCACCCCACCTCCAAGTACTAGAACACTTGAACCACTCTGCCACCCCACCTCCAAGTACTGGAACACTTGAACCACTGGGCCACCCCACCTCCAAGTACTAGAACACTTGAACCACTCGGCCCCCCCACCTCCAAGTACTGGAACACTTGAACCACTCGGCCACCCCACCTCCAAGTACTAGAACACTTGAACCACTCGGCCATCCCACCTCCAAGTACTAGAACACTTGAACCACTCTGCCACCCCACCTCCAAGTACTAGAACACTTGAACCACTCGGCGAATCCACCTCCAAGTACTGGAACACTTGAACCACTCGGCCATCCCACCTCCAAGTACTCAAACACTTTAACCACTTGGCCACACTACCCCCAAGTACTGCAACACTTGAACCACTCGCCCACCCTACCTCAAAGTACTAGAACACTTGAACCACTCGGCCACTCCACCTCCAAGTACTGGAACACTTGAACCACTCGGCCAACCCACCTCCAAGTACTAGAACACTTGAACCACTCGGCCCCCCCACCTCCAAGTACTGGAACACTTGAACCACTCGGCCACCCCACCTCCAAGTACTAGAACACTTGAACCACTCCCCCACCCTACCTCTAAGTACTAGAACACTTGAACCACTCGGCCATCCCACCTCCAAGTACTAGAACACTTGAACCACTCGGCCACCCCACCTCCAAGTACTAGAACACTTGAACCACTCGGCCACTACACCTCCAAGTACTAGAACACTTGAACCACTCGGCCACCCCACCTCCAAGTACTAGAACACTTGAACCACTCGGCCACCCTACCTCCAAGTACTAGAACACTTGAACCACTCGGCCACCCCACCTCCAAGTACTAGAACACTTGAACCACTCGGCCACCCCACCTCCAAGTACTAGAACACTTGAACCACTCGGCCACCCCACCTCCAAGTACAAGAACACTTGAACCACTCGCCCACCCTACCTCCAAGTACTAGAACACTTGAACCACTCGGCCACCCCACCTCCAAGTACAAGAACACTTGAACCACTCGCCCACCCTACCTCCTAGTACTAGAACACTTGAACCACTCGGCCACCCAACCTCCAAGTACTGGAACACTTGAACCACTCGGCCACCCCAACTCCAAGTACTAGAACACTTGAACCACTCGGCCATCCCACCTCCAAGTACTAGAACACTTGAACCACTCGGCCATCCCACCTCCAAGTACTAGAACACTTGAACCACTCGGCCATCCCACCTCCAAGTACTGGAACACTTGAACCACTCGGCCACCCCACCTCCAAGTACTGGAACACTTGAACCACTCGGCCACCCTACCTCCAAGTACTAGAACACTTGAACCACTTGGCCAATCCACCTCCAAGTACTGGAACACTTGAACCACTCGGCCATCCCACCTCCAAGTAGTAGAACACTTGAACCACTCAGCCACCCCACCTCCAAGTACTAGAACACTTGAACCACTCGGCCATCCCACCTCCAAGTACTGGAACACTTGAACCACTCGGCCACCCCACCTCCAAGTACTAGAACACTTGAACCACTCGGCCATCCCACCTCCAAGTACTAGAACACTTGAACCACTCGGCCATCCCACCTCCAAGTACTGGAACACTTGAACCACTCGGCCACCCCACCTCCAAGTACTGGATCACTTGAACCAATTGGCCCCCCTATCTCCAAGTACTAGAACACTTGAACCACTCAGCCACCCCACCTCCAAGTACTAGAACACTTGAACCACTCGGCCATCCCACCTCCAAGTACTAGAACACTTGAACCACTCAGCCACCCCACCTCCAAGTACTGGTACACTTGAACCACTCGGCCATCCCACCTCCCAAGTACTAGAACACTTGAACCACTCGGCCACCCCACCTCCAAGTACTGGATCACTTGAACCACTCGGCCCCCCCACCTCCAAGTACTGGTACACTTGAACCACTCGGCCATCCCACCTCCAAGTACTAGAACACTTGAACCACTCGGCCAATCCACCTCCAAGTACTGGAACACTTGAACCACTCGGCCACCCCACCTCCAAGTACTAGAACACTTGAACCACTCGGCCACCCCACCTCCAAGTGCTGGAACACTTGAACCACTCGGCCCCCCCACCTCCAAGTACTGGTACACTTGAACCACTCGGTCATCCCACCTCCAAGTACTAGAACACTTGAACCACTCGGCCCCCCCACCTCCAAGTACTAGAACACTTGAACCACTCGGCCACCCTACCTCCAAGTACTAGAACACTTGAACCACTCGGCCACCCCACCTCCAAGTACTGGATCACTTGAACCAATTGGCCCCCCTATCTCCAAGTACTAGAACACTTGAACCACTCAGCCACCCCACCTCCAAGTACTAGAACACTTGAACCACTCGGCCATCCCACCTCCAAGTACTAGAACACTTGAACCACTCAGCCACCCCACCTCCAAGTACTGGTACACTTGAACCACTCGGCCATCCCACCTCCCAAGTACTAGAACACTTGAACCACTCGGCCACCCCACCTCCAAGTACTGGATCACTTGAACCACTCGGCCCCCCCACCTCCAAGTACTGGTACACTTGAACCACTCGGCCATCCCACCTCCAAGTACTAGAACACTTGAACCACTCGGCCAATCCACCTCCAAGTACTGGAACACTTGAACCACTCGGCCACCCCACCTCCAAGTACTAGAACACTTGAACCACTCGGCCACCCCACCTCCAAGTGCTGGAACACTTGAACCACTCGGCCCCCCCACCTCCAAGTACTGGTACACTTGAACCACTCGGTCATCCCACCTCCAAGTACTAGAACACTTGAACCACTCGGCCCCCCCACCTCCAAGTACTGGTACACTTGAACCACTCGGCCATCCCACCTCCAAGTACTAGAACACTTGAACCACTCGGCCAATCCACCTCCAAGTACTGGAACACTTGAACCACTCGGCCACCCCACCTCCAAGTACTAGAACACTTGAACCACTCGGCCACCCCACCTCCAAGTGCTGGAACACTTGAACCACTCGGCCCCCCCACCTCCAAGTACTGGTACACTTGAACCACTCGGTCATCCCACCTCCAAGTACTAGAACACTTGAACCACTCGGCCCCCCCACCTCCAAGTACTAGAACACTTGAACCACTCGGCCACCCTACCTCCAAGTACTAGAACACTTGAACCACTCGGCCACCCCACCTCCAAGTACTGGTACACTTGAACCACTCGGCCATCCCACCTCCAAGTACTAGAACACTTGAACCACTCGGCCACCCTACCTCCAAGTACTAGAACACTTGAACCACTCGGCCACCCCACCTCCAAGTACTGGTACACTTGAACCACTCGGTCATCCCACCTCCAAGTACTAGAACACTTGAACCACTCGGCCACCCCACCTCAAAGTACAAGAACACTTGAACCACTCGGCCACCCTACCTCCAAGTACTAGAACACTTGAACCACTCGTCCATCCCACCTCCAAGTACTGGAACACTTGAACCACTCGACCATCCCACCTCCAAGTACTAGAACACTTGAACCACTCGGCCATCCCACCTCCAAGTACTGGAACACTTGAACCACTCGGCCACTCCACCTCCAAGTACTAGAACACTTGAACCACTCGGCCACCCCACCTCCAAGTACTAGCATGATGAAGCCAGTGACTACTTACAGGTATATATTTTGTAATGCATTTTCCAGCTGCATGCGACTTTCACCTCTCAGCCAGGGAGCGCTGTAAAAAGAGGAGGATCACATCACCAAGTGATACAACAATCATGATGAAAGACAATACTTGAAATAGCAAATGTGCAAAAAGGTTCTTCTGGCCTTACAATTGAAATACATGTATTTACATGACTCGTCTTGAACAGACATGCAGTCTCAACATGATATACGGATGGAATACTGTTGATGCTGTTTACTGCTGTTTACTGCTGTACATATTACTGCATACTGTCGCAATCTACTGATGAGTACAATCTCTACAACGCTCACATCAGAATGTGTGGCCTCAGTGCTACGACCGTCCCACTTCCAGGCAAAAGTCTGGGAGCAATCACATTTTATTTCTGGTTATTTTTTTCACAGATTATTCTTCTTGAAAACATCACATTGGTTGGTCAAAAATACTTTAAAAAACACAAATATGTTTATTAACATTGTTACTATGATTAAATGTTGATTACTATGATTGCCAATGTTGAGAACAATCAGGGCTTATAATAAGTTTTGTGATCAATAATTTTTTAACATTTATTCACTAGTGCCACATTTAATGTTAATTACGTTTGTGATGCTCTTATATATTTGTATGTGCATTTATCAATAAGCTAAGACTTTGTGCTGATGCAACCCAAATTTCCTTCGGGATAAAAAAGTGTCATCTTATATGATCTTAAATACTTGGAAGTACAGTACAACAGAACTTTGTACAATTTACATCACAGGCATTAAAATGAGTGAGTGAGTATGGTTTTACGCTGCTTTTAGCAATATTCCAGCAATATCACAGCGGGGGACACCAGAAATGGGCTTCACACATTGTACCAATGTCGGGATTCGAACCCGGGTCTACGGCGTGATGAGCGAACGAATTGAAAGGTTATTCATCATTTGTGACACTTAGTGTTTGGCCCTTAGCCAAGTAAGACATGGGCCAGGCCTGAGGGAGTGATGGAACTGAAAGTGTTCCTCCAGCACCTACTTGACACGGTACTGGGGGGGAGCTCCACTCGGATACTCCACGGGCAGAATCACCTACAAACAAAACATTCATAGTCAGCAATATAAGCATAAGTGATAACACATAGGACAACCCAAAAAACAAACTGACTTGTGCCAGTTTGTATCCCAAAATCGCTTCTTTAAGGATTACAGTTTGAACACATTTCATCACTGTTCAAATGATAAGGTTCTACCAAGAAGTTAGCCTCAATGCTGATTGGTTGGATACAAAGTTCATGTGACACGACCTCCTGAGGACCTGATGAATGTGTCTCCGTTCTTCAAGCAGAAGTGTCATATCGGAGCAGATCTTATCTTAATCAGATTGATTAATCGGCTACCTTTAACTGATGTAACAAGTTGATAAAATTCATTCTTGTTCATGGTATTTGTGGAGAAAATATTAATAATATCAAATATATATTTCAAAGGTTGTATCTGTTAACCACTTCATAAATATATACATACAGTAAACTACGGTTATAACGAACACGCTTATAACTAACTGACGGATATACATGATATAGCGAACTTACTTTTTGGTCCCGACTATTTGCTGTAGTTATGCTGTATATATGCTTATAACGAACTACGGTTAAAACGAAATAAAATTAGTAGTCCCTTTGAGTTCGATATAACCGTACTTTACTGTAATTACACTTCAAGATTTGTCAACAATCATGGTAATCATTCCAATATTATATGTAACCATAGTAAGCATGGTAAGTGTTGACACCCTAAAATATGGATGTCAGTCCACAGGATTATTCAAAGTTGTCTCCCCTTCATGCCTCTACTATTAGAGGCTGTGTCTGTTCCATGCATGATGTACCTAGCTTCAAGACCGAAGTCTACTGAAGTCACTGGGTCTCCCACCAAAGATGATTCCAACATTTGATAAAACAAGCATGAAATACTCATATCCCCCACCAATATAAAATAGTCATATCCCCTGCCAATATGACATGTCCGGTTGTGTGCAAGGCAAGGAATATTGTATGGTTTTCATGATCTGCTCAGGAAAGAAAAACTATCGCCGTTTTCAGTCTAAGTCAAAGTCGTTGCCATGGAAACTCGAAAAATAAAAAAATTTAAATCACAAACTACCAAAAGACACAAGTTCACCACTAAACCTATGTTTAACTAAATCTATGTGCCAAGTTTGGTTAAGATATCTCTCGTGGTTTTTTAGTTCTGTTCCAGAAACAAAACATGACGGATGGACAGCACCCATTCCTATACCCACTTCGTGGCAGGGGATAAATATAACCGCCACAAGACGTTGCAGAAATTGCAAGAAAAGAGAAGGAGTAACTCACCGAGAGCCTGAGCTGTAAGTTCCCCGATTCCTTGTCACCTTGTATGTCGATGTAGTAGTGACGGATAGCCTCATCTTCAACGTGCCACTCATCACCATATATGGATGTCAACACTTCGATCTCATCTATCTGCAACAAATGAGTGAGTTAGTGAGTGAGTATGGTTTTACAATGTTTTTAGAAATATTCCAGCAATATCACGGCGGGGGACACCAGATATGGGCTTCACGCACTGTACCCATATCAGGAACTGAACCCGGGTCTTCGTGTGTGACGAGCGAACGCTTTAACCACAAGGCTACCTGACAGCCCCCTGCAACAAATGAAATTTAATTCACAAAACAAGGTACAATCCATACTGGAGGTTCAACATGTCTAAGGCAACTGAGACGCTGCATCACGAAACGAAGTGGATATTCTAATGCCATATGACATTATGATTATTATATACATAATACTGTTAACAGTGTTATACACTAAAAACTAAATATCAGATTAATAGCTTATCATTTACAACACATTGATCATTACTCAAACTTTCATGATTTGTGTTTTGCACTGTTATTCTGTGGGCTGGGACATATTTTAATCTTATCAACAGGAAGATACAGGGATCTATCAGAGTCAGAGGAAAATAGTCGGCCCAAATCTGCAGCAACTGTCACTAAAAGTTCCCTAATTGTGAGTCAACATTTCCCAATTCATGTTCCTATAGTTAACTAATGTTATGGCTTTCTGAAGGTTATGTGTATTACCCTGATAATCAGTGTTCGAAATAAGCGCCTGCCCGTAGGCCCATGGAAGGTAGATCTCGTATCGGGTCCATAGTTTCACATTTGCATTGGTCCTATCGGCCAGCAGTAAACTTACATGTTGATCCATTGGTCAAAATAAGTTGCAGTTTTTTAAATGAGAGCCCAAAGAGATAAGTCACAGCTCATAATTGGGCTAGAGGCTTAAAATGCATAGTTTTACATTATTGTAATGAATACAATATAAGAATATTATTTCAAAATATCTCCGAATTACAATAAATAAATAATTAAATCACAATTTTGAACAAATAATATTTTTCTCAATCAGTAATCCTAGATAACACCATGGTATATCTTATTGGCAAAGACGACCTCATTCAGTCCTGTCAACATGAGTATGAACCAATGTATCATTAGGCATGATAGGCTCTGGAATAACCCTTTGTTAGCTATCAACATGATCAACCATAAGAGTGAGTGAGTTTGGTTTTACGCTGCTTTTAGCAATATTCAAGCAATATCACGGTGGGGGACACCAGAAATGGGCTTCACACATTGTACCCATGTCGGGATTCAAACCCGGGTCTTCGGTGCGACGAGCGAACGCTTTAACCACTAGGCTACCCGACCGCCCCTCCACCGTAAGAGCACACTAGTGTGTTCTGTGTACAGCAAGAAACTCAATGACACTCATGGGCGGATACAGAGAGAGAGAGAGAGAGAGAGAGAGAGAGAGAGAGAGAGAGAGAGAGAGAGGGGGGGGGGGGGTGTTTGCAGGGGTGCGCACCCCCCCTTTTTATTTCGAAAAAAATCTTTATTTCTTTATAAATTATCACCAAAGACAATAAATAGATCTTAATTGTGCACCCCCCCCCCCCCCTTTTAAAAAAGCTGTATCCGCCCATGACACTACATAGTCTGTATAGTCACAGGTAGTCATATTGTGACCCATTTCATTGACTGAGCGAAATCATTGTGAAGAAAACATTATCGTTTTGTTTAACATAAATGAAGAAATCCAAACATCAGTATATCAAAGTGCTCTCCGTTACTCCGTTTGACCCATCAAGGAAACTGCGGACATCACTATAGCCCTATTTCAGTCTGGATGTATACATGAACGCACCAGACAAACAGGAACAACATCACAGGTATCGTCCACAATCAATTAGTTTCAAACATATCATTTGCAACTTATTATCCAACTATCGGTATTATCAGTGACCATATGTATATCACTAATATACGGTATGATGTGAGGTTTACCTGCTTTCGGCTCCTTTTCTTTGTGCGACTGCTTCTTTTCGACATTGCTAGCGTTTGATCGTGATTTGCGATATAGCTATATCAATATGCACGTAGATTTTATAATTAGCTCAACCAAAAATACCCTCTATCGAAGTTTCATTTTCTAATCTTATTCTGGGAATGAACGTACTTTCGGTTTCACAGTTTTCAGTTAAGTCAACGGCGAGTAACCTGGTAACAGTTATAAATATGATCATTCGACTAATTAGCATGGGTTGGTGTCACTTTCTCACCTGCTTGGAAAGATTATCTTCCTTATCCTCTTCCGCCATCACGGCTCTTTCAAATAACGGTAAAACAGATCATTGCTGGAACATTATCGAACACGAATTCCAAGAACTACAACGTGTTGCGCGACCATCTTGTAAGTTTACACACATCACGTGACTGTCACGTGACTTCTCTGGTCATGTTACTCCAGATGCGTTATTTTTACTCCACTTCAATCATTACAACACACGGATTTAAACAATCGTTGCTGTTAATGCAGCTGTATTTTATTGGAGGGCACTAGGGCTGGGACGAGTCCAAATTTACTACCCGGGTACCCACACCCCTATTACCCGCTCCTACCCAGGTACCCGCTGTTGGTGTCAAGAGATAGGTACAAAATGTCCGATTGGTAATAGTTTGACAGTAACTCTGGCAGAATGTTTTTAGATACACGTATAAAAAGATCTGTTCACACTGAAGTTGACTTAAGTTTTAGCTTTGTTCAAACATATTTAAGTCAGAAGGAACGTGTTCATAGTCATGAAGAAATGCGAACATTAGAGACTTAAAATTATCGTGTAACAATGTAGTTTTATAGTGATTTTTTGTCATGAAACAATACATCACGTCACTAACCACGGGTCCGGGTAGTCTTGTGAGTACAGGGTCCTCTCAGTACCCACCCGACCCGGTACCCGAGTTACCCGTCCCAGCCCTAGAGGGCACCCAGATTTTATCTAAGCTGAGTGAAGTTTAATTGAACGACTAACGGGATTGGGTGGTCAGGCTCGTTGACTTGGTTGATGCATGTCATTGTGTCCCAATTGCGCGGATCGATGCTCGTGATGTCAATCACTAGATTGTCTGGTCCAGACTCGATTATTTACAGACCGCTGTCATATAGCTGGAATATTGCTGAGTGCGGCTTTAAACAACAAGCAGACCCCGTAGTCATTGTTTGCAAAACATCTCCATTTAACTATTAACATTTGTTATGTATATCTGCACCAAATTTAACTCAGTGAACCAGTGTAAAAAAGAATGACTTCTTAATCCCTTATAGTTTGGACAGACATTTATCAAAAAGCATGGCACAATGAATCAGACATAACTCCCTGTATGGGATAATATAACAATACCATGAGTCTGCTTTGTGTGGCCATACCGTATTTGCCGTAATAAGCGCCCAGGGCACTCTCAAAATTAGAAATAGGGGGCTCTTATTAGAATATTATTTTGGTAAATGGTGAACGTAAATTTTGTGGTCTATGCTGACACTCTGAAATGTTTATATACGACAGATATATTTTTCGAGAATTTAATTGCCCATAATTAAGGGTACATATAACACACGAGTGTGTATAATACATGAGTAAATAAGTCTTGTGTACATTGGTCAATCGGAAGGGGTGCTTATTGGGATTGTTCACTAGCCAATATATTAGCAAATATCACCATGGGCGCTTATTAGAGCGGGGCGCTTATTACCTCGAATACGGTATTAGAATTGAATTCTGAAAACTTGTGTAAACTCATTTTCTCTTCACTGAACAGCCTCCATGGTGGAGTGGATAGAGTGCCAGCCCCGAGAGCTGATAGGATGGTGGTTCGATTCCGGCCTTTTGTCATACCAAAAGACATTAAAATATGTTGTTACCATGGGTGGGGCTTGGCATTATGGGTATAAAACAAAAGTCTGTATACTGTGTCTGAGTGGGGTATCCACGTTAAACTGTGGCATGGCACTCTTAAAGCTCTGCAGCTAATGTCAAACCTATTCGACAGAGGTGTCACTTCCATTAGTGACGAGTAGAAGCACACACACACATGGGCGTAGCTATGTGAGTGCAATAATGTTAAGTGAGTGAGTGAGAATGGTTTTACACCACTTTTAGCAATATTCCAGCGAGGGACACCAGAAATGGGCTTCACACTTTGTACCCATTGCGGAAATTGAACCCGGGCCTTCGGCATGACGAACGAACACTTTAACCACTAGGCTACCCCACCACCCCACAATGTTAACATGACAATAAACCCTGTTTCCCCGCTTCACTGACTGAACATCCGATGTTCCTCTCAAATCTCAAATCCTCTCCTGTATCAGCATAAACTCATCTTCCCGGAGGCAAGAGAGTTAACTGACTCGTGGAAACTGGACTTTAAAGTCAGTTAACTCTCTTGCCTCAGGAAGATGGCATAAACTTGGAACATGATGCTTGTTATTAATGCTGTATATTTAATAACAAATTGTCAACAATATACACCAATTTCTCATCACAAATAAATGTTCATTTGTGTCATTCATTAAAACAGACACTGCTTGTGTGTTAGAAAAGCATTCTTCATACGTCTATTTGAAAAAAATATAACACACATGTTGATATTGAAAAACACTTTATTGTAACATTGGAAGACAGCAGATTATCTCCCCTGACACACTAGGCCTGAGCAAGGGATAACAGATTCAACAATACCAAAGAAGACACCAAGATGAACCTGCACAGAAAACAGGGCTGTCACTGGATGTGATACTATGACCACAATGTGCGTAAAGCGATACATACTACATGATTTCAATTTTTTTTTAAACTTGACAACTATTGGAATCGGACGAGTGATGCATGTGCTAGTAAAGTAGACACAATTTTGGGATAATAATTTACTTTACTGTGATGGCGACGTTTCGGTATAGATCCTTGACAACAGTATACGCATCTATACCGAAACGTTGCCTCTATACCGAAACGTTGCCATTACAGTAAAATAAAGAAGTTTTTATCCAGAAATTGTGTCTATTTTGTCATCCGTCAACTTCTAAGAAAACAGTTCATGTGCTCGTATGTGAACATTATACCCCCAGGGTGTGGAGGATGAACAGACTCCAGTGTGTGAGTGAGTGGGATGTGTTTGTTGCCAGGGTTCAGTCATAGTGTGTCAACCCTGGTGAGAACAACAGTGCGGCACAATTCCCCTTGCTGGAAACAGCCATGAGAGCTGGTATGGTGCTGACAAACCAAGGACCGCGATCACAGTGAACCAGGGATTCAAACCTACTACCAGCAAATAGTGGTATTTTTGTCACGTAGTCACAGAACTGACCCCCACTGATACCACCCCCCTGATGCTTGATGTATGAAGTGACGAGCCCCAAGATGGCCGTATACAACTGTCTTGTATATCTACATTTCTGGTGAAGCTGGCTTAACACAGACTCATTAGACCATGGACTCTCTGGTTGACACTCTGAATGTGAGTTTGTTAATGTCCACAGTGAAAAGGCCACAAGTTTGGAAAAAGCAAGTACATGTGTAAGGAATTTTGAAAAAATATTTTGGAAATGGTTTCAGAATAATTAGAAGCTTCTCTGGTCATAGTTAAATTAAAATAGCAAGTCAAAATCAGAAAATAATATTATCAGTGTTTTAAGGATCTTTATTTCTTGATACAAAATAAACACAGCATACCATGACAATCTTTCCCTGAAACACATCATCACCAATGAAAATTATGATTTATTAAAGAAAAAAATTAATTTTGAGATGGCATGATACATAAAGATAAAAAACAAAAACAAGTAGAAACAATCTTTGATTGCACACAGAGCACAAAACACAGTGCATCGCTGGCCGATCTTCATCAAACAAGACTAGGGTGTGTAAACCACTGGGTTCACTATCATCCAGCGCTGTATACAAATAGATACAAATATAGAAACAGGATTTCAGATAAAAAAATATGAAAATAACAAAATATATAAGAATGTTCATCACTGAGATCCTGTGATGGAGGCTCCAGAACCATCAGCTGACTGGGTAACTGTCTACATCCAGGCTGATATTCATAAAAGAACTTCAGTTTGAAACAAAAATGAGTGTGTTCTTTTATGGATACTGACCCAGGTTTGGGAGTCAAAATAGTCGCAATCACACTAATACTGATCATAAAATATTTGACTCGGGCAATAAAGTTTGAAGCTAATATGGTCTCATTTTCTAATCGCTTTGTTCACAGACTTATATGTCAAAAACATAAGATCAGTACAAAATTATATTTAAAACCAATGATCTTACCAACTTCTTCCTAACTTTAATACAACATTTGATCTTTGTTTAAACACCAGCATAGCAAAAACGGCATATGTTCGTACCACAGGTGACGAAGGAGTTATTTGAATGACAAGGGATAAAATAGATGCCCTATCAAATTGCACTGTTGTCTTATGATTGAAACAAGTGGCAATATTAACAGTCCTTGACTGTTGTTGATTTTAAGCTCGTGAGAGAAAAATTCTGTGCTGAGTTAGAAATAAGAGAGATGGGGTTAGCGCCTTCCCTTTCCGAAATGAAGTTAGAGTGGTGACTGGGCCCAGAATATCGGCCAAACCCTAGAATGGAGATATAATACACTGGCTTATCAAGGAGGGGACAATGGTTGGAGAGTACTGTAAATCTTGAAATTAACGCTAGCGTGAATTAAATGCGGAAAATGCAAGTGGTCTTTGATTAACTTTGCATTTATGTCCCCAAAATGACTATCAACAATAAGACAGCCTCACTGCACACTTTGGATAGCGGAAATACCAACTTGAATACAAACACAACGATGGGTTACTGAGCAGCAGTTGTAACAAGTATGTAACAATGTCATTCAAAGAACAGGAATTACACAATGGGTAACGGGTGAGTTATCACTGCTGTAGTCAATAGTTCTACCCACCTGTGTCAAGCTTGTTGACACCCATCTTCCCGAGGCAAGTGAGTTAACTGACTTTAAAAGTCCAGTTTCCACCCTTGCCGAACTAGGCTGGAATTCCTGGGCTCGATCGTTGCGCCACCAGTGGCTATTACCAATTATGTCCCTTCTAAGCTTCTCCTATGGACCAATCAGATTCCACCTCTTGTATCACTTGAGTTTGCTTCACACAAAATGGCGGCGCTCAGTCAGGACGACCTGCTCGATAATCAAGATCTATATTGCGATAAAACGGGTCTTACATCGCGAAATGCATCAAATCATGTGAGCACCTTGATTAAAAACATGAAAAGATTTGGACAATATAAACGAGTTGGCAGTGCACATGCTTTGCAAATCCTGCAATCGATCGAAATCTGCACGACAGTTTACAAACCGGATTTTGATTTCGGTGCGCGATTTTGATTGGACTTTGCATAGGCTTGTTAGTCCAGGCAAAATGTAAGTCCATAATACCAGCCTAGTTCGGCAAGGGTTGAAACTGGACTTTTATTGTCAGTTGACTCTCTTGCCTCGGGAAGATGGTTGACACCTTCTCCGCACACCAATCAGTGAACTGTTGGTTCAATTATTTTTATTGCCTTGGAACTTCCTTAATGCCAGTCAACAGAGTAAACATATAAACTGTGTGTTGCTTTTAGGAAAACACTGTTTATTGTTTCTACGGAAGTGATCTACTCAGTGCTATTAAGCAGTGCTGTTTGATCATGTTGATTAGATGAAGGTAAGGATATGCATCATTCCACTGGGGATGGGGTGGGGGGAGTAGCATTGATATTGAGTTGCATTTTTGGCTAGGAGACACATTAATTTCCAGATTTCCAGTATTTCAGTCGACCAGCCAGACACCTGGAGAGAGCTGTGATCACTGCATATCTTCTACTGTGGGAGCAAGTAGCCAAAGTGACTCAGTTTGTAGAAGTTTACAACTCTGGTGACACTCGTGAAGATCTGGTTGTTTTGTCTTCAGCAACCCATGCTTGTCATAAGAGGCGATGAAAGGGATGGGGTGGTCAGGCTCACTGACTTGGTTGATGCAAGTCATTGTATCCCAATCACATAGATTGACGCTGATATAGCGGGAATATTGCTGAGTTTGGCATTAAACAATAAATAAACGACTCTGGTCAACCCAACAAGCTAGGTACAATTCTGGGTCAAAATCAGAAAACACAAGCCCATAATCAGCACATCCTGGTATGGCTAGGGGACAAAACCCTGCAGACACTTGCAGCACTTTACACCACTGGGTCCCCTGTGCTCAACAGAGGACGTGGAGAGATAAAAACGATTTCCCAAAAATGGATTACACATCAACAGAATCCTGCAGTGGAAGATTGTAAGCCCTGAGATAGTTCTCCATGTCTAGGACCTGTTTTACAGAATATGCATATCAGTGACTAGTCCTCATAATACTACTTGCCCGGGCGTTATTTTGACAACACAATTAGCCTGGGTGGTATTTTGACAACACAGTTAGCCCGGGTGGTATTTTGGTGACACAGTCAGCCCGGGTGGTATTTTGACGACACAGTTAGCCCGGGTGGTATTTTGACGACACAGTTAGCCCGGGTGGTATTTCTGCTGGAGGAATGAGAGGCGACAACAGGTGAGTATATGAGATATTCCCATCAGCAACATTAGGAATATGATCATCGTCATGACGATCACATAGTGACTGATGCTTGTGCCGATCTCTAGCCAGCTGCCGTAGTCACGCACCAGGAAGAAGAAGTGCTGGAAGAGAACAGGGTGTAGCATCTTAATTCCCGTGTCAGTATATCGGGGAGATTGTGTTACATCATGATGGAGGAGCAAAGTAGTTGAGGCTTTTGAGTTTAATTCTCTACATGAGTAACATTAGCCAATTTCTTGGAGCCCGGTTTTTATAGTTGGGAATATCTACATGTGATTAGAGAGACATGACCATGATTTGTTAATCTGAACATTTCTTAATCTGGACATCTGTTAATCTAAACATTTGTTAATCTGAACATTTGTTAATCTGAACATTTGTTAATCTGAACATCTGTTAATCTGAACATTTGTTAAAAGGAACAATTGTTAAAAGGAACAATTTCACTTGGTACGGTACTATCTGAAATAACAGGGATTTACTGTACATCCACATTTTCCGGAGATTTTCCGGTCTTAAATATTGTTAATCATAAGTGTCTTCTCTCACAACCTGGTGCAATAGTTACATATCTTTGTTCTCGAACTCAAAATATTCACATCAATGAAAAGATGAAGATGCAAATGTGAAGAGATGGAAGTACAGCCCAACTCACCAGCCCCATGTAGTCGGACATGAGCATGACCAGGAGGAACAAGGCCCTCACCGGGATCCTCGTGACAACGTGGACCGCCTGGAACGCACACGTCACCAGCAGGAAGGGGATCACGTTCTGCACACAGAACACAGACGGCATTCACTGACAGGAGGACTAGGGGGAACCCTTCACAACACAGACAACACAGACAGCATTCACTGACAGGAGGACTAGGGGGGACCCTTCACAACACAGACAGCATTCACTGACAGGAGGACTAGGGGGGACGCTTCACAACACAGACAACACAGACGGCATTCACTGACAGGAGGACTAGGGGGAACCCTTCACAACACAGACAACACAGACAGCATTCACTGACAGGAGGACTAGGGGGGACCCTTCACAACACAGACAACACAGACGGCATTCACTGACAGGAGGACTAGGGGGGACCCTTCACAACACAGACGGCATTCACTGACAGGAGGACTAGGGGGGACCCTTCACAACACAGACGGCATTCACTGACAGGAGGACTAGGGGGAACCCTTCACAACACAGACAACACAGACAGCATTCACTGACAGGAGGACTAGGGGGGACGCTTCACAACACAGACAACACAGACGGCATTCACTGACAGGAGGACTAGGGGGGAACCCTTCACAACACAGACAGCATTCACTGACAGGAGGACTAGGGGGGACCCTTCACAACACAGACGGCATTCACTGACAGGAGGACTAGGGGGAACCCTTCACAACACAGACAACACAGACAGCATTCACTGACAGGAGGACTAGGGGGGACGCTTCACAACACAGACAACACAGACGGCATTCACTGACAGGAGGACTAGGGGGGAACCCTTCACAACACAGACGGCATTCACTGACAGGAGGACTAGGGGGGAACCCTTCACAACACAGACGGCATTCACTGACAGGAGGACTAGGGGGGACCCTTCACAACACAGACAACACAGACGGCATTCACTGACAGGAGGACTAGGGGGGAACCCTTCACAACACAGACAACACAGACGGCATTCACTGACAGGAGGACTAGGGGGGAACCCTTCACAACACAGACGGCATTCACTGACAGGAGGACTAGGGGGGAACCCTTCACAACACAGACGGCATTCACTGACAGGAGGACTAGGGGGGACCCTTCACAACACAGACGGCATTCACTGACAGGAGGACTAGGGGGGACCCTTCACAACACAGACAACACAGACAGCATTCACTGACAGGAGGACTAGGGGGGACCCTTCACAACACAGACAGCATTCACTGACAGGAGGACTAGGGGGGACGCTTCACAACACAGACAACACAGACGGCATTCACTGACAGGAGGACTAGGGGGAACCCTTCACAACACAGACAACACAGACAGCATTCACTGACAGGAGGACTAGGGGGAACCCTTCACAACACAGACAACACAGACGGCATTCACTGACAGGAGGACTAGGGGGAACCCTTCACAACACAGACAACACAGACGGCATTCACTGACAGGAGGACTAGGGGGGACCCTTCACAACACAGACAGCATTCACTGACAGGAGGACTAGGGGGGACCCTTCACAACACAGACAGCATTCACTGACAGGAGGACTAGGGGGGAACCCTTCACAACACAGACAACACAGACGGCATTCACTGACAGGAGGACTAGGGGGGAACCCTTCACAACACAGACGGCATTCACTGACAGGAGGACTAGGGGGGAACCCTTCACAACACAGACGGCATTCACTGACAGGAGGACTAGGGGGGACCCTTCACAACACAGACAACACAGACGGCATTCACTGACAGGAGGACTAGGGGGGAACCCTTCACAACACAGACGGCATTCACTGACAGGAGGACTAGGGGGGAACCCTTCACAACACAGACGGCATTCACTGACAGGAGGACTAGGGGGGACCCTTCACAACACAGACGGCATTCACTGACAGGAGGACTAGGGGGGACCCTTCACAACACAGACAACACAGACGGCATTCACTGACAGGAGGACTAGGGGGGAACCCTTCACAACACAGACAACACAGACGGCATTCACTGACAGGAGGACTAGGGGGGACCCTTCACAACACAGACAACACAGACGGCATTCACTGACAGGAGGACTAAGGGGGACCCTTCACAACACAGACGGCATTCACTGACAGGAGGACTAGGGGGGACCCTTCACAACACAGACGGCATTCACTGACAGGAGGACTAGGGGGGACCCTTCACAACACAGACAACACAGACGGCATTCACTGACAGGAGGACTAGGGGGGAACCCTTCACAACACAGACAACACAGACGGCATTCACTGACAGGAGGACTAGGGGGAACCCTTCACAACACAGACAGCATTCACTGACAGGTGGACTAGGGGGAACCCTTCACAACACAGACGGCATTCACTGACAGGAGGACTAGGGGGGGACGCTTCACAACACAGACGGCATTCACTGACAGGAGGACTAGGGGGAACCCTTCACAACACAGACGGCATTCACTGACAGGTGGACTAGGGGGAACCCTTCACAACACAGACGGCATTCACTGACAGGAGGACTAGGGGGGACCCTTCACAACACAGACGGCATTCACTGACAGCAGGACTAGGGGGGGACGCTTCACAACACAGACGGCATTCACTGACAGGAGGACTAGGGGGGACCCTTCACAACACAGACGGCATTCACTGACAGGAGGACTAGGGGGAACCCTTCACAACACAGACAACACAGACGGCATTCACTGACAGGAGGACTAGGGGGGAACCCTTCACAACACAGACGGCATTCACTGACAGGAGGACTAGGGGGAACCCTTCACAACACAGACAGCATTCACTGACAGGTGGACTAGGGGGAACCCTTCACAACACAGACGGCATTCACTGACAGGAGGACTAGGGGGGACCCTTCACAACACAGACGGCATTCACTGACAGGAGGACTAGGGGGGGACGCTTCACAACACAGACGGCATTCACTGACAGGAGGACTAGGGGGGACCCTTCACAACACAGACGGCATTCACTGACAGGAGGACTAGGGGGAACCCTTCACAACACAGACAACACAGACGGCATTCACTGACAGGAGGACTAGGGGGGAACCCTTCACAACACAGACGGCATTCACTGACAGGAGGACTAGGGGGAACCCTTCACAACACAGACAACACAGACGGCATTCACTGACAGGAGGACTAGGGGGAACCCTTCACAACACAGACGGCATTCACTGACAGGAGGACTAGGGGGGACCCTTCACAACACAGACGGCATTCACTGACAGGAGGACTAGGGGGGACGCTTCACAACACAGACGGCATTCACTGACAGGAGGACTAGGGGGGACCCTTCACAACACAGACGGCATTCACTGACAGGAGGACTAGGGGGGACCCTTCACAACACAGACGGCATTCACTGACAGGAGGACTAGGGGGGACCCTTCACAACACAGACGGCATTCACTGACAGGAAGACTAGGGGGGAAGCTTTCACAATGTTCATCAATATTGTCATAAAGTAATGAATGAATGCTGTTCGATAAAAGTAAGAACAGTAAGGCTGTTCGCCTATTGCTGATGCTGTGTACATGTCGTCGGGTGTGATTTCGTTTGTCTGCCATTCCGTTCCGGTTCGACAGTTGTATGCACCCAGTGTATACTTTTTTTATGTAACCACGTGCTGTCCGTGTGCGTGTGTTGACAAACTGCCATGCCTTGCCTTTGACTATGATGATGAACAAAGTGCCATTAAATGGTCTGAATAACTGCCGAGGACTTCTTCGTCTTCTTTTCAAATATATATCTATATGTACCTATATATACTCACCGCCAAAAGAAACTTGAACCATAGAAACATATAGAGAAGTATGGACGTTTAGAAGAGATGTTTCCAATGTGTACCACTTAATGACAAAACTAAAAATCAGTCAAGTGTTACCACAGTGTCTTTATTCTTATCACTATATGCTGCACGTGACTTTCAATCTTTTTACGCTAGTCCTGCACGAGACAAATGGTGCATCCCGAGTCATGGATCTATGACATCACATGTGATGCGTTTATGAGCCTCGGGTTCACACATCATAACAGTATGTTCGTTTGTGCATCGAACCAATCTGATGTCTCTTGAATATGAGTAATTCTTCCTATATTAAACAGCATGTCGGTGAGTATACATGTATGTGTATTAATATATATCTCTATGTACCTATATACACGTGCAGTAAACTTTGTTATATATGATGTATGTATACTTACAACAAACTAATGTTATAACAAACTAAAATTAGTGGTCTCCTTGAGACCGGGTCGCACCCTGTATGGTAATGGGTGCAGTATGTTCACGGGTCGCACCTTGTATGGTAATGGGTGCAGTATGTTCACGGGTCGCACCCTGTATGGTAATGGGTGCAGTATCTTCACGGGTCGCACCCTGTATGGTAATGGGTGCAGTATCTTCACGGGTCGCACCCTGTATGGTAATGGGTGCAGTATGTTCACGGGTCGCACCCTGTATGGTAAATGGGTGCAGTATGTTCACAGGTCGCACCCTGTATGCTAATGGGTGCAGTATGTTCACGGGTCGCACCTTGTATGGTAATGGGCGCAGTATGTTCACGGGTCGCACCCTGTATGGTAATGGGTGCAGTATCTTCATGGGTTGCACCCTGTATGGTAATGGGTGCAGTATCTTCACGGGTCGCACCCTGTATGGTAATGGGTGCAGTATGTTCACTGGTTGCACCCTGTATGGTAATGGGTGCAGTATGTTCACGGGTCGCACCCTGTATGGTAATGGGTGCAGTATGTTCACGGGTCGCACCATGTATGGTAATGGGTGCAGTATGTTCACGGGTCGCACCCTGTATGGTAATGGGTGCAGTATGTTCACGGGTCGCACCCTGTATGGTAATGGGTGCAGTATGTTCACGGGTCGCACCCTGTATGGTAATGGGTGCAGTATGTTCACGGGTCGCACCCTGTATGGTAATGGGTGCAGTATGTTCACGGGTCGCACCCTGTATGGTAATGGGTGCAGTATCTTCACGGGTCGCACCCTGTATGGTAAGGGGTGCAGTATCTTCACGGGTCGCACCTTGTATGGTAATGGGTGCAGTATGTTCACGGGTCGCACCTTGTATGGTAATGGGTGCAGTATGTTCACAGGTCGCACCCTGTATGGTAATGGGTGCAGTATGTTCACGGGTCGCACCTTGTATGGTAATGGATGCAGTATGTTCACGGGTCGCACCCTGTATGGTAATGGGTGCAGTATGTTCACGGGTCGCACCCTGTATGGTAATGGTTGCAGTATCTTCACGGGTCGCACCCTGTATGGTAATGGGCGCAGTATGTTCACGGGTCGCACCCTGTATGGTAATGGGCGCAGTATGTTCACGGGTCGCACCCTGTATGGTAATGGGCGCAGTATGTTCACGGGTCGCACCCTGTATGGTAATGGGCGCAGTATGTTCACGGGTCGCACCCTGTATGGTAATGGGTGCAGTATGTTCACGGGTCGCACCCTGTATGGTAATGGGCGCAGTATCTTCACGGGTCGCACCCTGTATGGTAATGGGTGCAGTATGTTCACGGGTCGCACCCTGTATGGTAATGGATGCAGTATGTTCACGGGTCGCACCCTGTATGGTAATGGGTGCAGTATGTTCACGGGTCCCACCATGTATGGTAATGGGTGCAGTATGTTCACGGGTCGCACCCTGTATGGTAATGGGTGCAGTATGTTCACGGGTCGCACCCTGTATGGTAATGGGTGCAGTATCTTCACGGGTCGCACCCTGTATGGTAATGGGTGCAGTATGTTCACGGGTCGCACCCTGTATGGTAATGGATGCAGTATGTTCACGGGTCGCACCCTGTATGGTAATGGGTGCAGTATGTTCACGGGTCGCACCCTGTATGGTAATGGGCGCAGTATCTTCACGGGTCGCACCCTGTATGGTAATGGGTGCAGTATGTTCACGGGTCGCACCCTGTATGGTAATGGATGCAGTATGTTCACGGGTCGCACCCTGTATGGTAATGGGTGCAGTATGTTCACGGGTCGCACCCTGTATGGTAATGGGCGCAGTATGTTCACGGGTCGCACCCTGTATGGTAATGGGTGCAGTATCTTCACGGGTCGCACCCTGTATGGTAATGGGTGCAGAATGTTCACGGGTCGCACCTTGTATGGTAATGGGTGCAGTATGTTCACGGGTCGCACCCTGTATGGTAATGGGTGCAGTATCTTCACGGGTCGCACCCTGTATGGTAATGGGTGCAGTATGTTCACGGGTCGCACCCTGTATGGTAATGGGTGCAGTATGTTCACGGGTGGCACCTTGTATGGTTATGGGTGCAGTATCTTCACGGGTCGCACCCTGTATGGTAATGGGTGCAGTATCTTCACGGGTCGCACCCTGTATGGTAATGGGTGCAGTATCTTCACGGGTGGCACCCTGCATGGTAATGGGTGCAGGGATGCAGATTGTGTGACCCACCTTCAGCAGCATCAGGGCTCCCATCACAAAGGGGTTGAAGACGGTCAGGAAGCAGTACACGGAGGCAGGATCAAAACTGGAACATCACAGGAAAGTTTATTCAATTCTCTTTCACAATGTCAGACAAGCTGTCAATTTTTTCAATTCAATGGTTTATTGGATTAAAGGTCAATTGCCCATATACAAGTGAGTTACATTGACATACAGTTATATTATCAAATATTGCAGTATACGGAGTATCAAGACAACAACTGACGTAACACAAAAGCATGATGAATGTATAAAGATACTTGTAGTTGAACACTATAATGTTTGTTTGACAGCAGACATTCAAAGTTTTTACATGAAAATGACCAGGCAGGTAGATATTTCATTCTTATTTTGTTATATACAGGCATGCTAAACCAGCAAAGTCATTGCAAGGGCAATATCTATAATGCCTCAATATGTTGATAGATATGGTACTCGATATTACAAATTCAGCTTTAGAAATTGGCACTAGTCCTGTAGTCCTTACCAAACTGCCCAATAGTAAAGGTATCCTAAGGACTAACAGAAATTGGCCCATTTTAAGGGTTTTGCCATATGTTATCATTATAAGGACTACTGGACAAAAACTGTCAGTTTTAACCCTGCAAATGACTTTTTGGACTTGGGAACTTATGTATTTTAAATGTATACGTTGTAGAGGCCACTCCTTGTATGCAACTATGGTTTTAACAATACTCGTACAGATACAAAGTGATGGAGTATGGCTTCATGCCACTTTTAGCAATATTCCAGCAAAATTACCTGGTACACAAAGTATAAAGACGTTAGAAGCAGATTTTGTAGAATTTTCCTATTCGGAATATTCTTATAAGTAATACGTTACCACTGTTATACCGAGGCTGTTGTCTCCCACAACTGCTGCTATAGCGAAATCTACCACAGAGATCTCAATTACCTCATGCAGCACGTGCGTAGCCACCTAGCTGCCATGTGACACCCTTCACTCTTGTCTCCTGCGAGAGCAAGTGCTCGGGGGACGGACGGGCGGGCAGCAGCCCAGTGGTAACGTATTACTTATAGAATATTCCGAATAGGAAAATTCTACAAATTACATTAAGTAATACGTTACCACTGTTATACCGAGGCTGACTACCACAGTAGGCGGTGGGGAGCACCTACAACCCGAATCCTGACTGCTAGCGTTCCTTCCGACCAGCGGAAGTAAACACCAAGGCGGAAGCACTCGATGCGCATGCACCTAGCTAGGCGTTACCCTATAGGAATACCAAAGCACTGTCAAGCGCATACCGTAAGGCTCAATCGTCATTGCCAAAACGATTGGTGACTCCAAACGGCCCCACTGGATAGGTATTTCATCGCCGCAGCGGATGAGAACACTGTATCCGCGTGAGCTTAATCTTAGATCAGGTTAAACAGTCGAAAAGAGGGAAATTAATTTCATTCAGACCGTATATCCCAGAGCAAGCCTACTTAAAGTATGCATTAGGCGCGTGACCTAATTCCAGTATTTGTAAGCATGCATCACAAGGTTGGGATACACGACAGACAATTAAAGACATAATTGTCAAAATACAAATAAGGACAAAGCACACAAAAAGCCGCCCTCACCTGTGGTGTGAGTGCGCTGGTTTGCGGGACCCCAACTCCTGTACCCACGGCAGTGGGAACATTGGAGTAGATCCAGATTGACCACCGTGCAAGGTCAGACGCCTGAGGAGTTCGGAATTGCGCTGGGCACACCCCTTAGGTGCCCGCTTGCGCCGCGATCCGCGGGCCAAGACGGTGCACACTCTCCACGACGGCATCAGCGACCTGTTTGAGGTAATGATTGGCAAAAACCGAGTCAGAACGCCAGTAACAACCTCGTAATATTCTGCGAACAGAGATATTCGAGTGTAGGGCAAATGTTGCCGCTAGCGCCCTGATCTCGTGCGGGTTTGACCCCGCTACCGGTAACCCCCGAGACCGGTACGCCAGATTGATGACAGAACGAAGCCACAACGCAATCGAGTTGCGAGGTATGTCAACCGTGCGATTAGGGTTACACGATATGAACAGACGGTCACGCCCTTGTCTACGTTCATTCGAAGCCTTAAGATAATACTTAAGGGCCCTAACCGGACACAGCGCTCTGTCCTCAGTATCAGCAGGATGTAAGATTTCTTTGAGTGATCTTACAGTGAATTCTCTCTCCGTTTGCCCGACTCTCTGATTCTTGGCGACGAAGCCCATGAGCAGGCCCAGGCGGACCGCTCCTTCGTCACCCCTATCGAATCGTACCTTGGCGACATCGAGTGCATGAATTTCGGATACACGTGCCGCCGTGGCAAAGGAGAGGAGAAATGCTGTTTTCCAAGTCACATGCCGGAACGAAGCACTATGCAAGGGTTCATACGGAGCTTCCGTAAGTGATTGCAACACTAGGGAAAGATCCCAGGCCGGTGCCCGAAGGCGGCCCTTCTTAAGATCGTGCTGTTTGAAACCCTTGATAATACCCCGTATCACCGGCTCTTTGGAGAGACTGGTACCCATAGCAACGTCCCGTACCGTAGCAACGGACGAGACATAGTTGGCAATGGAACCCCCGGAGAGTTTCCGGGTCTCTCGCAAGTGAGACATGAAACGAGCAATATCCTGCACAGATACCTTATCTGGCGAATGAATGTGATGTTTACAACACCACTTCGTGAAAATAACCCAACGTGCATTATACACCTTCTGGGTAGAATCACGATGCATACTAACGTATGCCCGAGACGCCCGGCGAGAAAAAACTTTACTCCTCAGACGCTCGGTGACAACATCCACGCGTGCAGATTGAACTGCCCTGCGTTTGGATGAAGCTGACGGGTGTGAGGGTGGATCAAGAGATCCGGTCTCACAGGCAGTGGAAGTGGCGACTGCGTGACCTGGGTCAGCAAGTCGGGGTACCACGATCTGTTCGGCCACATGGGCGCGATCAGTAACATTCGACAGCGAACTCCTCGGAGCCGGCTTAGAATGTGTGGTATCAACGCTGTCGGCGGGTAAGCATAAGCGACCAAGCCCGTCCAGTCTAACGCGAGAGCATCGTGATCGATGGCCCTCGGGACCGGGACTGGTGATACAAACAACGGGAGTTGATTGTTGAACCGTGTTGCGAACAGGTCGACCATCGGACGACCCAAACGTTCGCACAGCCACTGAAACACTACTGGGTTCAGCATCCACTCTGTGGGGCTCGGATCCTGAGGCCTCGATAGAGCATCGGCCAGTACGTTCCGCACACCTGGGATGTGACGGGCGCGTATCTGGCACGGGACACTGTCCACCAGAGCGTAAAACTCGAACGTGAGATCGAGTAGCGAGTGACTGTGGGTTCCCCCCAGTTTGTTCACATAGGACACTACCGTCGTGTTGTCGGTCGCCAGCATGAGCCAGGCGTCGACGAGACGATGCTTCCAGTGATTGACATCGTTGATCACTGCCTTGAACTCGAGACAAGCGATGTGAAGACCTAGTTCGTCTAAGCACCACAGCCCCGAGGTCACCTCCCCCTTTAGATGGGCGCCCCAGCCCACTAGAGAGGCGTCTGTATACAGGGTCAACGTGGCCCGGTAGGGCCGCATAGAGACTCCTGATAAGACAATGTAAGGGACCGTCCACCACTCCAGATGCGGTCGGAGCCGATCCGGGAGGGCGACGGTCGCACTGTTCACCTCCGTTGCTAACAACTGGATTAAAAACCGTTGCAGCGGGCGGAGTTGGAGACGACCCCGTGCGGTGCAGTCCTGGGCTGATACAAGTAGCCCTAACAGCTGTTCCCAAAAGTGAACAGTCTGTTGCACCGCTAAGACTTTGGCAATCATCGCCTGAATTTTGTGCCACCGGTCTGGGGGGACAAAGAGGCGATGGGACACCGTGTTGAACCGACCTCCGATGAACAGTAAGTTCTGAGAAGGGGTTAACTCGCTCTTGGGGAGATTGATAATCCACCCAAATTGCTCCAAGAGCCGACGTGCGAAATCGAGATGGCGTGACAGGGTGTCCGTCATTCGATTTGCTACTAGCGAGTCGTCCAGGTACGCGAAGTACCGGACACCCCTCCTGTGGAGGAACCCCACTATGGGGGTGGTTAACCGGGTGAACAGCCAGGGAGCGGACGTGTGAATCATTCTGAGTTCAGCACTGTCCTACTTGGGAACGAGAAATATCCTGGAGTAAAACCCCGGTGTTATTTCTGGTAGAGCTAACTCCCGTACTGCCCCCTCTCCTGGCATCGGCGAGGATGGGAAGATCGGTTTCCGAATCGAAACCTGCCAACGGGGCAACGGTGAGCGGCGGATTCGCTTTGAGATCAAGCCGATAGCCGTACCGAATCGTGTTGACCACCCACGGGTCGTCGAACACTTGTTCCCAATTCTCCCAGTAAGTCTGGAGTCTGGCTCCCACTGGGGAAGGAGAGGGGGCCCTGACAGGTTGCGACAGGCGCAACTGTCCAGGGCCAAGTGACTCGGGTTCGCCTAAGGGCCAACCGAAGTTGGCGCTGTTGGCATACGAACCCCTCCAATGAGAGTCACCTGGAGGGGCCCTTGCCGTCCGTCGACGACTTGGGCTTCCCCCAGTTCCCCGTTTTCCCGCGAAAGGGCAGCTGATTGCCCATACCGGAGCCCTCAGGGCGGGGCTACTTCCCAGAGGAAGAAGAACCCGACCCCTTAGACCTACCGGCCGCAGCAGCCTGGGGCGCGCTCCGGTTAGGAGCGGCACCCAGGCGCCTATGCAGGGACCCAACAAGAGCAAGTGTGTGCCGAGAGTCCTCGGCAACGTACTCCAGGGAAGCATTTAAACTGAGCAGGCAGTTGTAAATGCGCTGGTCACGGTCCGTGGGAGAACCTTCGACCAGACGGGCCGCTGCAGCCAAGTAAGTGTCTCCGTGAGACATGGAGTGCCGAGCGAGGGCGTCCAGCTGGTGCAAGGTAGCTTGCGTTACCGTAGCAGCCGGTGGGGCACGGACACCCAACCGCTCAACATGGGCCTCCGCGGTAGGACCAGCCTCGGGAAAGGCAAGGTCATGTACCGGGAATAAACCCTTTCTCCACGACGTCGGAGGCAACGGGAGACCCCGACCGGAGGCCGCCGCGAAGGCGTTCTCCAAGGAAGGCTTGAAACCGCGCAGCAAGGTTGATGCGGGGAAAGCCGAGTCGGAAGACTCATCGTATACCTCGGAGGAACCCACAGTCGTGGATTCCCCGCGGTACCCCCGGGGCATGTCCTCAAAGAGGTCATAAACCATGGCCACGCGGTCCTAAACCGATAGCGGGAGCAACGGTTCGGGGGAAGGACCGGTGACCACGGGAGCCGCCGCCGTACTGGTGGACCCCGCGTCCGACCCCGCGGCCACCGAAGAGGCCGGGGACGGAACAGCCAGCGGCCTATCTTGCGATAAGGCCGCCAGCATGGAATCCACAAGTTTCGACAACAATGCGGCGACGGAATCCCCAGACAGCCCGAGGGCCGCAAGGGGATCCGCCGCAGCCGAGGAGGTGGTACCCGCACGGGGACCCCGACCGGACGAACCGGCCACCACAGGGGTGGAGACGGACTGTACGTACAGCCGGTACCGCTCAAAATCCGCAGGCCCCAGACCTTCGCACAGGATGCACCGGGTGTCCCCGCAAGGAACCCTGCACCGCGGGCAACGAACGTGGGGATCCCGGGACGACAAAAACTTTCTGCACACCCCATAACTCCGAGGAGCAGGGGTAGAGGGGGTGGATACTGGGGACATATCCATGTCAGACATTGATTGTTTGCTATAAACAAAGAACAAAACATGGTTACAACGCACGCACCACAATGATTCACAAACGAACATTTTCACAAGAAAATAAACGAGCAATGTGAACATGTAACATACACATATAACTTTTATTAAAGAAATAAGTTATGTTAACCCCCAAAACATACAAGAACAGGGGAAACGTAAAACACAACGTGCAAACGCGAACCCCGCAAGTATATAGAAAAAAGGGCGGGAAAAATTTTCCGTTTGGCGGGAAAATTATAACCAAGCGTAGCTACCGCAACGCCCCATAAAAGCACAGTTTATTAGAGAATAAACTATAATAAATATCACCAAATCTTCAAGGAACGCTTCAGCAGGAGAAAACACGTCTTGCTAAGCAGACGAAGGAGACAAGAGTGAAGGGTGTCACATGGCAGCTAGGTGGCTACGCACGTGCTGCATGAGGTAATTGAGATCTCTGTGGTAGATTTCGCTATAGCAGCAGTTGTGGGAGACAACAGCCTCGGTATAACAGTGGTAACGTATTACTTAATGTAATATTGGCCAAGTCCCGAGAGTCAGAGACTGGATACTGGTGAGCTCCTGCTACAGACATCCCTACCTGTTAATGCTTGCTATATTTCCTGTGCCAAAGAACGCCGTCAGTGTGAGGAAGACCTGCCCGGGGTCAAGGAACATTGATGTTTGTTTGTTGTTTAACGCCGCACTTAGCAACATTTATACAGCTATATGTCTGCACAATCAGGTCTGCACCAGACAGTCCAGTGATTGATAATATGAGCATCAATCCACACCATTGGGATACGATGACATGCATCAACCAAGTCAGCGAGCCTGACCATCCAATCCCGTTAGTCGCCTCTTACGACAAGCATAGTCACCTTTTACGGCAAGCATGGGTTGCTGAAGATCTATTCTACCCCAGATCTTCACGGGTCAGGAACATTAGCAAAACCTGAAGTGAATAAACAGTGCCACAGTCACCAATATCCAGCCAATATGCACCAGTCTGTAGCTAGCTGAGGCTGCACAAGGCAGACGTGTGACTGACAGCATGGACTACAGTGCATGGTATTTAATATGATGTCATCTAGCCCAAACATCAAACCCATTCTGGGGGCAGGGGTGGCCCAGTGGTCTAAGGCGACGCGATTCGCTGTGCAGAGTTGCGTCCCTTGGACATGCCAGAAACCTATGATTGTGGGTTCGAATCCCGGTTCGCCCCGATTATGTTTCTAGGTTTATCAGCACCATACCCGTGCTCGTGGGTTTCACCGAAGTGGTAAACGTCTGAGACCTGCATCACTTCGGTCTTTCCACCCACATTAATCTGACACGCCACGATATAACTGGAATACTGTTAAAAGCGGTGTTAAACCAAACTCACTCACTCAAACCCATTGTCAGTTGGCATCAGTTCTGGCCATTGCATCACAAAGACACATCAGCCTGCATAAAATTAGTGTGGGACCTCTGGTGATACTAGTCATACTATTCACCCTCAGCAGCCATCAATACCTGATCCTGATTTAAGTCAGTTCATCCTCAACGTCTTGCTCCCAACCCACCCCATCATCTACGCAGTCTTCCACGTCTGACTGGTCTGCTAGACCGACCCACAACTGGTAACAGGTTGAATATATCTACTGTGGGCCAACAGCTGATCGGTGGCAAGGATACAAAGTAGAATGCTCGTCTGAGGTCGGCCAGCTGCAGCCATCTTGAATCCGGCGAGGTGTCGCGGTGAGACTTGAGGTGGGTGTTGGCAGTGAAGTCAGTGTGGGACAACAGCTGTAAACACAAGTCATCAGAACACAAGTCATCAGACATGCTGCAGTTGCTTGTTTGTTGTTTAATGTTGCACTCTGCAATATTCCAGCTATATGACAGCAGTCTGTGAATAATTGAATCTGGACCAGACAATCTAGTGATCGCGTCATGAGCATGGATCTATGCAATTGGGATACAATGACATGCATTAACCAAGTCAGCGAGCCTAACCATTGATAGTTATCTCTTACCACAAGCATGAGCGCTGAAGACCAACTCTAATTGGATATTAATAGTAAAATAGTATGCAATGCTATTTATTTCAAATATATAAAGTTAGTCACATGAAAAGCAACACCAGGGAACTTGTCCTGCAACCTCAAACACCTCGTTCGCCCAACCCTCCCCATGTGAGCCCCACCCTATCCATGTGAGCCCCACCCTCCCCATGTGAGCCCCACCCTTTTGATGTGAGCCTCACCCTCTCCATGTGACCCCACCCTCCCCATGTGACCCCACCCTCCCCATGTGAGCCCCACCATCCCCTATGAGCCCCACCCTCTCCATGTGAGCCCCATCCTCTCCATGTGACCCCACCCTCCCCATGTGATCCCTACACTCCCCACCCTCCCCATGTGAGCCCTACACTCCCCATGTGAGCCCCACCATCCCCATGTGAGCCCCACCCTCACCATGTGAGCCCCACCCTCTCCATATGACCCCACCCTCCCCATGTGGACCCCATCCTCCCCATGTGAGCCCAACCCTCTCCATGTGAGCCCCACCCTCTCCATGTGACCCCACCCTTCCCATGTGGACCCCACCCTCCCCATGTGACCCCACCCTGAGCTGTCTTTACCCACCTTCCTGGTGCGCTCCTCTGCCAGGTCGTGCTCCATGTGGAGCCAGAAGTACAGGAGACTGAGTAGCACCAACAGGAACACGCTCTCGTAGCTGACCAAGGTCAAGGACAAGTCATGGAACAAGGCTAGATTGAATGACTGCTTCGGGTGAGTGAGTGAGTTGGTCAGCAATATTCCAGCACATCACGGCAGGGGACATCAGAAGCTGTACCCACGTAGGGAATCCCCCGCCAGGTCTTCAGCATCACAATGTTCCCCAGTCAGCTTCACAATCTTACAATTATATCACATGGTGACAGCTCAGTTCGGTAAAACCATGGCAAGCTATGGTGGTGACATACCGAGGACCCTACTCACACATTCAGTGACAGACAGCATGGTCATGCAGGTGCTAGAACACGCAGAGTGAATGAATGTAATTTTCCGCCACAGTCAGCAATATTTCAGCTGTATCAGAGGCCTGATAGCACGAGTAACTACCTACACCATGCACCAGGTTCCACATGATAACACCAGTTCAGTCGTCTCAGAGTGACCATCAAGCCTACTTGGGTCTTCTGCCCTGAATGTCTAGCAAGGTGACCATGCCAAGACAACATCAGATAACTCAATTAACATTGTGCACACTTCCTGTTGTCTAATGGCAGATCAGGGGTTCTCCTGAGCCTGAGCTCCGACTTCTCACAAGGAAAACAAAACATTGGACCTGACACCAATAAAAGATGGCTAAGCTCAATGAGAGCCTATAAAACAACTCGCCACAAAAGTTTCTCAGAACTGTCAGGGTTATCATGAATGTCAAGTGAACATTTTTGTAACATATTCATTTTGTAACAGTTCAAACTGTCATTATTTATAACGGAAGAGATATCTTTCCTTGCCTAAACATTACCACCACGACTACAACTTGAATTAGTCGTCTGCCTCAACAGAACAACGATTCGACGTCATCTACAGCCTTATAGCAGTCGGCAGCGGGACCGAGCTGAGTGCCCCAGCCCAAGGATACGTGATGCTCATGAGGATGTAGGGGCCGATGAAGGTCAGCCCCACGCTGGCCAGTCTCTCCGGGAGGTTCGTGCTGGTCAGTAGCGGCCATATCGGACTCAATCCTGAAACAATAAGACAATGTTATCCAACACCTGATGCTACAAACTACTCGTCGATGTAACCATGGTTCAGCTTCTACACAACCACTCCTTGAACCGTGTCAGGCAAACCAGTCTCACAAACCACACACTGCAATAACCTCACCCTTCATCTAGTTGTTCGATCATCGCCATATGCTGAAATAATGCTTATGCGACAAATTTGTTTTAATGGTTCTTTAAGGTCTATATTTTATGTTAAGGTTCTTGTTTGTTCCTTAATGCCGCACTGGAAATAGTCCAGGTCTATATTGTGTTTACTTTGTCATCCGTAAACTTCTAGTGAGTGAGTGAGTGTGGTTTTACGCCGCTTTAACCTCATCCTTCATCTAGTTGTTCGATCATCGCCATATGCTGAAATAATGCTTATGGACGGAATTTGTTTTAACTCACTCACACCAGTTGATTGTACCTCAAGGTTCTTGTTTGTTCCGTAATGCTGCACTGGAAATAGCCCAGGTCAACTTCTAAGTAATGCCTATAAAACAATTTGACGGTGACACACTTTAAAGGATGCTGGGACCTATCTAATAATCCCATGAAGGTTATTTATCATCAATGTTGGTACAAAATATTCCATTATCCTGTTTCTGAATGTGAACAATATGAGGAATGGAATCCCTCCAGCTTTCACCCTCATGTTTCTGTAGTGAGTGAGTGAGTGAGTTGGGTTTAACGCCGCTTTTAACAGTATTCCAGTTATATCAGGCATGTCAGCTGAATGTGGGAGGAAAGCCCGAAGTGATGCAGGTCTCAGACGTTTACCACTTCGGTGAGACCCACAAGCACGGGTATGGTGCTGACAAACCTACAAACATAATTGGGGCAAACCGGGATTAAAATCCACAATCATAGGTTTCTGGCGTGCCAAAGGGATGCAACTCTGCACAGCGAATTGCAGCGCCTTAGATGACTGGGCCATCCGTGCCCCCATTTCTGTGTTAACACTATCTGGTTACATGGAGGACATCGGTGATGTCGGCACCCACCTAGCATGGCCCAGCTGATGAGGTGGTTGTACGATGGGACCCCATGCCGCTGCCTGATACCGTCCGACGTCGTCTTCACCAGTCCCACGGCCGCAAGGATCATTACAAGCTGAAACAACACCAACTTCCTTCAATGTTCTCAAGTCAAGAAACTCAAAAAAAATATACTTTGATTCTTCTAATAAAAATATATACTGTCAACTTTGAACTTAACATATTCCAAGGAATAATTATCTTTGCTAAACCCTGTTCCTAAAACAAATGTATTAACTAATACCATGGTGAGGTTGGCTTGGCTATAGTAAACTGTTAATCCTTAGCCTATCAGATTTCTCTTTTAAATGTAGATACTGCTTTCCTGACAATATAATTTCACTTGTTTGTTCATTAGTTTCAAAATACAAATCTTTTGAACATGATCCACGACATGAAATTAATAAATAAAAAATAGACTTTAAATGTCAATATCTGTTCACCTGATGGGCAGCTTTCCCCTGGAACCCTGAGGGGCAACTCTCCCCTGGAACCCTGAGGGGCAACTCTCTCCTGGAACCCTGAGGGGCAACTCTCCCCTGGAACCCTGATGGGCAGCTTTCCCCTGGAACCCTGAGGGGCAACTCTCCCCTGGAACCCTGAGGGGCAACTCTCCCCTGGAACCCCGAGGGGCAACTCTCCCCTGGAACCCTGAGGGGCAACTCTCCCCTGGAACCCTGAGGGGCAACTCTCCCCTGGAACCCCGAGGGGCAACTCTCCCAGAACCCCAAGGGGCAACTCTCCCCTGGAACCCCGAGGGGCAACCCTCCCAGAACCCCAAGGGGCAACTCTCCCAGAACCCCGATGGCCAACTCTCCCCTGGAACCCCAATGGGCCAGAACCCCCTGGGGCAATTCTCCCTGCGGGGCGTACCTGTATGCCCATGATGACACCTGACATTCTGTTGTTGTTCTTGTCCCTGCTGGTCAACACACCCAGTCTGAAACACAAACACCTCAAACATTGTCTCTCAAAATAGCAAACACCTCATACATCGTCTCTCAAAATAGCAAACACCTCATACATCGTATCTCAAAATAGCAAACACCATTTTCCTGACATTTTATTTCAACACTTTTAAAACTAACCAGAGTAACCACTTTTATTTCACTCTGTTATTGTCTTAGGATCATTCAAAAAAGGCTTCATTTTCAATCCAACCAGTGACATAAAAATGAAATCTGCAAAACATCCTATTAATGATAGAGGCTGACAGGCTAAGATATTAAATTGTACAAATTATTTTAGCCAACTTACATCTTCATAAGCCAATGAGATGGGGTTTGAAGTTATCTTTATAGCATCAAGCATGCACATGTATGTGTGTGTGGCTGCCTGTACAGGACCCGACTAATGCTGGTTCTATAGTGCTAACCCACTGAGATACCATGCTGCAGCATAACACGAATACCCCACTCAGAGACAGTACACCAACTCCAAGCTGACCAGTCCTTGTTTCAGCCCCTTAATCCCGAGCACTAAACAGGATAACAATAAATGCCATCTTTTAACATCTTTTGGTCTGATGTGGCTGGGGATCAAACCCCCAATCGTCCACTCTCCGGGCAGACACTCTATCCACTAGACCAAGGAGGTGATCTCATAAGCTAAGGAGGTCACTGTGCACCTGTATGGCAGCACCTACCTGTACACCATCACTGCCCCCAGCAGGAAGGCCAGCATCCCCGAGACGAGGCTGCAACACAGGGTTACACAGTACATTAACACATTCGTTACCAAGGAAGAAATATTATTTCCATGAATTGTTTTCAAAGTATGGGCTGGTCAGAAACAATCTTATATACATGAAGTCCTTTTTATTCAATATAGTTACTTGTTTGTTGTTTAAAACCACACTCAGCAATATTCCAACTATATGACAGCAGCCTGCAACCAGACAAACCAGTGACTGATATCATGAGCAATGATCTACACTATGAGGATAAGATGAGAATCAAGCCTGACTTGGACCACATGTTCCATTTTCTGGAGACGTATTCAACTCGGAATCTCTGTTACGCAGTGTTTTTTCAAACTGACTCATGGTCTCTTTCATGTGCCCCTCGATTCCCACATTCTACAACAACCGTGAAGCAAACAGCGTTCGTGCGAACAGTCCAAGTTTTCACAAACTCAAACAATCTCGAACGTTCCAAGTTCCTCACCATAGTTCTCCCGAACATTCCCCATGGTTTTTTATATAACATGCAGACTGTCAAACGTGACTACTATATGTCATGACAAGGTGCACCTGCTACTTAAGTGATGTAAGTAAACTGGTGCTACTCACACAAGCGTATAGTTGGCGTTCCGGCCCACCACGGGAAGGAGAGGGAACGCTGCCAGCAATATGCAGCTTAGCAACCAGCCATACGCCGAAAACTGAAACATTTCACACACATACATATTTTTGTCTAAAGATAAAATGAGTCAATGGGTGAGGGAACAGTATTTTATGTCTCAGTCAGATTTGTTTGTTTGTTGCTTAAGGCCGCACTCAGCAATATTCCAGCTATATGGTGGCGGTCTGTAAATAATCGAGTCTGGACCAGACAATCCAGTGATTGACAACATGAGCATCAGTCCACGCAATTGGGTTACGGTGACATGCATCAACCTGACCACCCGATCCCATTAGTCGCCACTTACGACAAGCAAAGTTTCCTTTTACGGCAAGCACTGGTTGCTGAAGACCTATTCTACCCCGGATCTTAGCGGGTCTCTCAGTCAGAATATGACCAATATGACATCTGCCTGGACACAAACAGGTCAAGCAAACCGGTGGTTGATAGCATGACCAACTACCCGTGTTGTCAGGATACAATGTCTCACAATCAGCCACACACACCATGGCAGCCATCACCTTATATCAAACATGTATGGCAATGGAACACTGACAGGTGTGTATCTGCAACCCTGACAGTATGTCACATATAATTTGGACTGGAATATTTTGTGTGGCATTTAACTAGGGCTGGCTAAAAAGATTGATAATCAGAATTATCATCAATGTGAAGAAATCTTAACGATTATCAATATAACATTGTTGTAATCGATACAAGGGTGGTGATGAAATAAAGTTTGGATTTACCAAAACAGACTTGTTATTGTCATTAATGTCAATTGCTGAAGTTGGAAAGCAACTGTTTTTGTTACGTCTGAAATGTCCACAAAGTAATCCCTGCATAAATGTGTCTGCTCACCCGGGCCTGAGAAATGTTGATTTCTTTTGGGATTTTTTGCTTATTTGCTTAAAGTCACTTCTGCAATACGATAACTGATCAATATTAATTTGGTGATTATCAATCTCTATAATCTAAATTGATAGCCACCCTAAGGTTTAATCAAACTCACTCACTCACTCAAGTAGCATTCATCACAGTTTCCTTGACAACACTGACCTTGGAAGTGTTGAAGACCCCCGACGTCACAGACCAGAGTGCGATACAGACGAGCCCCACGGACAACAGCTCTCTCTGGAAGAAGCCTTGGACCTGGACAACAGAAGGGTGTCACAAACTACATCACTGGGACTCACTGTCTTCAGCAGTCTCACTCACAACCAACTGCTGAAACAATGTACAAGTCATAGGTGTAACATCTACACACTGTATTCCTCACCACTGCTGCAGGCATACATTCTCACCCCTACAGATAACACCCTGTAACATCTACACATACATATCTCACCCCTACAGATAACACCATGTAACATCTACACATATATATCTCACCCCTACAGATAACACCCTGTAACATCTACACATACATTCTCACCCCTACAGATAACACCCTATAACATCTACACATACATATCTCACCCCTACAGATAACACCCTGTAACATCTACACATATATATCTCACCCCTACAGATAACACCCTGTAACATCTACACACTATATCCCTCACCACTGCTGCAGGCATACATATCTCACCCCTACAGATAACACCCTATAACATCTACACACTATATTCCTCACCACTGCTGCAGGCATACATATCTAACCCCTACAGATAACACCCTGTAACATCTACACACTATATCCCTCACCACTGCTGCAGGCATACATATCTCATCCCTACAGATAACACCCTGTAACATCTACACACTATATTCCTCACCTCTACCTCCACTCTCCCAACACTGCAGGCATATATATCTCACCCCTACAGATAACACCCTATAACATCTACACACTATATTCCTCACCACTGCTGCAGGCATACATATCTCATCCCTACAGATAACACCCTAAACATCTACACATATATATCTCACCTCTACAGATAAAGCCCTGTAACATCTACACACTATATCCCTAACCACTGCTGCAAGCATACATTCTCACCCCTACAGATAACACCCTGTAACATCTACACACTATATTCCTCACCACTGCTGCAGGCATACATTCTCATCCCTACAGATAACACCCTGTAACATCTACACACTATATTCCTCACCACTATCTCCAGTCTCCCAACACTGCAGGCATACATATCTCACCCCTACAGATAACATCCTGTAACATCTACACATACATATCTCACCCCTACAGATAACACCCTGTAACATCTACACACTATATTCCTCACCACTGCTGCAGGCATACATTCTCATCCCTACAGATAACACCCTGTAACATCTACACACTATATTCCTCACCACTGCTGCAGGCATACATATCTCACCCCTACAGATAACATCCTGTAACATCTACACATACATATCTCACCCCTACAGATAACACCCTGTAACATCTACACACTATATTCCTCACCCCTACCTCCAGTCTCCCAACACTGCAGGCATACATATCTCACCCGTACAGATAACATCCTGTAACATCTACACATATATATCTCACCCCTACAGATAACACCATGTAACATCTACACATACATATCTCACCCCTACAGATAACACCCTGTAACATCTACACACTATATTCCTCACCACTACCTCCAGTCTCCCAACACTGCAGGCATACATATCTCACCCCTACAGATAACATCCTGTAACATCTACACATATATATCTCACCCCTACAGATAACACCCTGTAACATCTACACACTATATTCCTCACCACTACCTCCAGTCTCCCAACACTGCAGGCATACATATCTCACCCCTACAGATAACATCCTGTAACATCTACACATATATATCTCTCCCCTACAGATAACACCCTGTAACATCAACACATACATATCTCACCCCTACAGATAACACCCTGTAACATCTACACATATATATCTCACCCCTACAGATAACACCCTGTAACATCTACACATACATATCTCACCCCTACAGATAACACCCTGTAACATCTACACACTATATTCCTCACCACTACCTCCAGTCTCCCAACACTGCAGGCATACATATCTCACCCCTACAGATAACATCCTGTAACATCTACACATATATATCTCACCCCTACAGATAACACCCTGTAACATCAACACATACATATCTCACCCCTACAGATAACACCCTGTAACATCTACACATATATATCTCACCCCTACAGATAACACCCTGTAACATCTACACATACATATCTCACCCCTACAGATAACACCCTGTAACATCTACACACTATATTCCTCACCACTACCTCCAGTCTCCCAACACTGCAGGCATACATATCTCACCCCTACAGATAACACCCTGTAACATCTACACACTATATTCCTCACCACTACCTCCAGTCTCCCAACACTGCAGGCATACATATCTCACCCGTACAGATAACATCCTGTAACATCTACACATACATATCTCACCCCTACAGATAACACCATGTAACATCTACACATACATATCTCACCCCTACAGATAACACCCTGTAACATCTACACATACATATCTCACCCCTACAGATAACATCCTGTAACATCTACACACTATATTCCTCACCACTACCTCCAGTCTCACAACACTGCAGGCATACATATCTCACCCCTGCAGATAACATCCTGTAACATCTACACATACATATCTCACCCCTACAGATAACACCATGTAACATCTACACACTATATTCCTCACCACTACCTCCAGTCTCCCAACACTGTAGGCATACATATCTCACCCCTGCAGATAACACCCTGTAACATCTACACATACATATCTCACCCCTACAGATAACACCCTGTAACATCTACACACTATATTCCTCACCACTATCTCCAGTTTCACCATGCTACAGGCATACATGTCTCACCCCTACAGATAACATCCTGTAACATCTACACACTATATTCCTCACCACTACCTCCAGTCTCACAACACTGCAGGCATACATATCTCACCCCTGCAGATAACATCCTGTAACATCTACACATACATATCTCACCCCTACAGATAACACCATGTAACATCTACACACTATATTCCTCACCACTACCTCCAGTCTCCCAACACTGTAGGCATACATATCTCACCCCTGCAGATAACACCCTGTAACATCTACACATACATATCTCACCCCTACAGATAACACCCTGTAACATCTACACACTATATTCCTCACCACTATCTCCAGTTTCACCATGCTACAGGCATACATGTCTCACCCATACAGATAACACCCTGTAACATCTACACACTATATTCCTCACCACTATCTCCAGTTTCACCATGCTACAGGCATACATGTCTCACCCCTACAGATAACACCCTGTAACATCTACACATACATATCTCACCCCTACAGATAATACCCTGTAACATCTACACACTATATTCCTCACCACTATCTCCAGTTTCACCATGCTACAGGCATACATGTCTCACCCATACAGATAACACCCTGTAACATCTACACACATATCTCACCCCTACAGATAATACCCTGTAACATCTACACATACATATCTCACCCCTACAGATAACACCCTGTAACATCTACACACTATATTCCTCACCACTATCTCCAGTCCCAGCATGCTACAGGCAACAGAGGCCGTCACTGCCAGGATACACTTGTTATCGTAACACGCAGATACAGCTCGTTTCAGGATCTGTAATCTGCGAAAAATACTTCCGTTAATATTTCTGAAATCAAATCATCTGCTGCTGTGCATCAATCAGTTTTGACAGGGTTTAGGAAAACAAAATGTAGCTAGCCCTGAGAAGCTAGCGAGTCACGGACACAGCAACGTATTCAGAGGCAGACATCCCTCAGAGTGAGAAAGTTGAAAACGCTTACCTAACTTCAGCTTCCACGACTTTGGTCCACAGCAGCACGGGGAGCAGGCAGTAGAGGTAGTAGGTGACCGGGGACGACTGGACTGAAACAACACGACGGGGTACATGGGTTCTTGCCTTTCATTTAGATTTCCCACATCATCATCAACTCCATTGTCATATCCTCATCAAAATACTTAAGGACCACCGATTCAATCACATTACTACAGTTAATCTGTCATGGCATCCTTAACATCAACATCCTCATCTTTTAGAGTAGTTGTCTCACACTTACACTTCATTGTGGGGACCCGTGAAGATGCAGGGCAGAATAGTCTTCAGCAACCCATTCTTGCCATGAAAGGCGACTATGCTTATCCTAAGAGGCAAATAACGGGATTGGGTGGTCAGGCTCGCTGAGTTGGTTGAAGCATGTCATCGATCCCAATTGCGTGGATCGATGCTCATGATGTTAATCACTGGATTGTCTGGTCCAGACTCGATTATTTACAGGCCGCTGTCATATAGCTGGAATATTGCTGAGTGTGGCGTAAAACAACAAACTAATCAACCCACTTCATTGTGGCAGTGATACACAGTGCCAAACTTACAGCAGTGCCCAAGTGTTGCTGACAGCACGTCCCATAATATTCGGTAGGGGGCATAAAACTTGATGGATAGTAGACACACTCAGCAATATTCTAGCCATGTGAGGGCGGTCTGTAAATAATCGAGTCTGGATCAGACAATGCAGTGATTGACATCAAGGGCATCAATCCAAGCAATTGGGATATGATGACAAAATCAACCAAGTCAGCAAGCCTGACCACCCGATCCCGTTAGTCCCCTCTTACGACAAGCATTGGTTGCTGAAGACCTATTCTAACCCGGATCTTCACGGGGGGACAAGCATGGGTTGCTGAACACCTATTCTAACCCGGATCTTCACAGGGGGACAAGCATGGGTTGCTGAAGACCTATTCTAACCCAGATCTTCACGGGGGGACAAGCATGGGTTGCTGAAGACCTATTCTAACCCAGATCTTCACGGGGGGGGACAAGCATGGGTTGCTGAACACCTATTCTAACCCAGATCTTCACGGGGGGACAAGCATGGGTTGCTGAAGACCTATTCTAACCCAGATCTTCACGGGGGGGACAAGCATGGGTTGCTGAAGACCTATTCTACCCCAGATCTTCACTGGTGGTAGTCACTAAATACATATCCTAATACATAACATCCATAATTAGACATAACATCATCCCCATCACCATGTTGTTTCATTATCACATTTGTTTTCACATACAAATACATTATAATTACTTAAGGTCAGAATCAAACTAAAAAAACATATTTAAACTCACTAAACAAGAGAAAACTGACGATGGAGGCCATGACAGCTGCCGCCATGTGGACGTAGTGTAGAGGGGAGGCAACTCTGTCCGACCTGCCAGCACAGAACCAGGTGTGGTTGTGGAGCACCTGCTGCAGCAGGTACACCATCCATCCCACGAAGCTCAGCACGATACTGATCCTGACAGGAGACACAGAGAGATGAAACCCGTGTATGTTTCAACATCTTCCTGGATTAATGGATCAACACAATAACTGGTATGTCTTGTCCAGACATTATTATTCACAGACCACCGTCATAGATCAGGGATATTGCTGAGAGCAGCGGTAATCAACAAACAAACCACTCTCACCCTAGGAACAGTCTGTCATACTTCTGGTAATAGTTGAGTCCCTTCAGACCCACACTCATCAACTCCCGGCTCTCTGCTATCTAAAACACATCAATACAACAATCATGTCACCTTATTGTAGCAACAACTAGATATTGTCGGTGTCACATCCATTGTATTGACAGGTTTTTCACAAGGTTCATACATTTAAAGAGGAATGATTGTAACTCGACATTCAATATGGCTGATCACTAGCAAGCACACAGAATACATCGCATGTATCAAGCAAACAGAGTTACCTCCCCATGACCTATCCTGCATAGCAAATACACCGCTGTTTGGTTGATACAGTGATACAATGGTACAATCTGGGTACAATGATACACATGCAACCAAGTCACAGAGTCAGATCCATGGATATTTTATGTAACCGAAAGATTTTGATTGTTTCGGATTGCGATCCGAGTTTTAAAGTTGGAACGGCGGTACAATGGCTCCGGTGTGCTTCGCTGTGGTGAAGTTGGCACATTGTAGGCATTTGGGGGTCAGAAAAGTTGTACGTATGATTATGTTAAGTGAGCAACATGTTCATCTATCCAACAATTGCATAATATAAACCTGACATTGCCAAATTCAATAATAAATGTGCAGTTAGATCTAGCATGTCTAGATACATGTTTTCATTAGTTTTACCTAAGAAGCATTCGGTTCACTGGTTCACTGTGGGTAAAATTATTATTATTTAAGGTAATTACATTCAAGGTAAGGTGAGGTGAAATGGGGTATAATGTCGCGTCCAAGATTATTGCACTTATATAGCGATGTGCATGCACGCGTGCACTCGCGTGCGTGCGTGTGTGCTTGAACTAGTTCGGAAAGATGCCGATTAATAGTGCTAGCACACTGAGATACCATTGGGCTTCACACATTGTACCCATGTCGGGAATCGAACCCGGATCTTCGCCGTGACAAGCGAACGCATTAACCACTAGGCTACCCGACCGCCCCTTGTACCAGAGAACATCCAACTTACTGCCTGTGCATAGTTTCCAGACTTGATCAGCTGCCGGATGTGTCGGACGTAGTCTGCCTGGAAATAAGTACAAACATAACTATCACCAACTATACATTGTGATTCATGTACAGTATGACTGGCGCTTCTACTACTGCACCATTGATGGATCAAATTAAATGCTGAAGTCCCCAAAACAACTGTTTTCACCTGATGCCAATTTTACTACCAATGGAACACATTTCAGCAAGTGCATTCAAAGAAATGTTCCAAAAGACAAGTAAATACTGCATTAATTATCTGATGGTGGAAATGGAAAATGTATTTAAAAAATAATTTTACATAAATGAGATAAGGTATTATTTAGAAGCTGTTGTTCCTCCAGTAGTATCAAGTGTGGAAAAATTGGGTAACAGCATGAGCAACAATCAAAGCATTGAAAACATAAACTTAAGTAGCTGCTGTAAACATATCCCCTCATCGGTTCAACTAGTGTCAGGTTTTCCTTGTCACAGTGGTATTCATGAGACAGCCATCTGGTTGCCAAAACCAGTACCACTTCCTGTGTTCCATCTGGAATCCTTATTCCAATACACCTTCCATGAAAAGTCTACATATTTAGAGGTAAGTGATGAAGACGTATGTCTCCCCCTGTGATACACAATATCAGTTTATAGAATTAACACTTACTTGTTTTGATGGGGAAAGTTCCCTAAAAACAAAGCATTTGAAACACATTAAACATACCTGACAACATTGTAACAACGTATTGGAAAGAATAACAACGATGGTTATGTTTTCTTCAAATCAAAAGAGATGTTAGCAGACATGTTAAGAATTTTAGCGTCAATGTTAAAAGACTTGCTGAGAAAACAATCTCACCCGAAAGGTCGGAAGGCAACCGAGACAGTCCTCTCCTTCACCTGCCTCATCTTCACCTGTCAGGAACAAAATAAGTTATCAGCAGCTAAAGTACAGAGAAAACTGGATCATCACATGAGACAGTCAATTGGAGCAACAATCAACACCTGGCACGATGGGCCCAGTCATCTAAGATGCTGCGATTTGCTGTGCAGAGTTGCATCCCTTAGCCAAAAAACTATTATTATGGGTTTGAATCCTGGTTCGTCCTGCTGATGTTTTGTCAACACCGTACTCGTGCTGGTGGGTTTCACCAAAGTGGTAACATCTATTGTAGCCCTGCATCACATCCAGACTTTCTCCCTCATCAATATGAAACTCTCTGACGGAAATACTGTTCCAGGGGGTGATGAACCCAACTAACTCACTCACTGACACCGAATCAATCACCACCCTCACATACAACCTTCTCCTATCCCCAACACAGGTCGGCATAACACGCTGAATGGAAGAACTGCAGAGACAGAAGGTGGCAGTCAGTCTGACTTAATTGTTTCCTTACAACCGTGTGTATATTGACAAGTTTAATCACAAGGTTATCATAAACAGAATAAGTCTTGTCCACCTACCTGATATTGTGCAAGTATCTGCTGTGCATTAGCGTAGATCCCCTCCGCCTGTTCCCATAGCGACACACCTAGGTACTCAAGGGGCAGAACTCCCTACAACATGAAGCTTGAACTAAGCCAGAGTCAACATGCACTCTTAATCTGACCAAAACCAAGTTTATAGAGTTACAACAGCCGTACAGCGGAAACAGCAAATGAGCAGCAATGGCAAAAGAGTAGTGTGGCAACAGCGATAGAGCAGCAATAGAGAAACGTGGCAACAGAAATAGCAAAAGAGTAGTGTGGCAACAGCAATAGCAAAAGAGTAGTGTGGCAACAGCAATAGCAAAAGAGTAGTGTGGCAACAGCAATAGCAAAAGAGTAGTGCGGCAACAACAATAGAGCACTAATAGCAAAAGAGTAGTGTGGCAACAGCAATAGTAAAAGAGTAGTGTGGCAACAGCAATAGTAAAAGAGTAGAGTGGCAACAGCAATAGTAAAAGAGAAGTGCGGCAACAACAATAGAGCACTAATAGCAAAAGAGTAGTGTGGCAACAGCAATAGCAAAAGAGTAGTGTGGCAACAGCAATAGAGCAGCAATAGTAAGGGTAGTATGGCAATCGCAATAGTAAAAGAGTAGAGCGGCAACAGCGATAGTAAAAGAGTAGTGTGGCAACAGCAATAGCAAAAGAGTAGTGCGGCAACAACAATAGAGCACTAATAGCAAAAGAGTAGTATGGCAATCGCAATAGTAAAAGAGTAGAGTGGCAACAGCGATAGTAAAAGAGTAGTGTGGCAACAGCAATAGCAAAAGAGTAGTGCGGCAACAACAATAGAGCACTAATAGCAAAAGAGTAGTGTGGCAACAGCAATAGTAAAAGAGTAGAGTGGCAACAGCAATAGTAAAAGAGTAGTGTGGCAACAGCAATAGCAAAAGAGTAGTGCGGCAACAACAATAGAGCACTAATAGCAAAAGAGTAGTGTGGCAACAGCAATAGCAAAAGAGTAGTGTGGCAACAGCAATAGCAAAAGAGTAGTGCGGCAACAACAATAGAGCACTAATAGCAAAAGAGTAGTGTGGCAACAGCAATAGTAAAAGAGTAGAGTGGCAACAGCAATAGTAAAAGAGTAGTGCGGCAACAACAATAGAGCACTAATAGTAAAAGAGTAGTGTGGCAACAGCAATAGTAAAAGAGTAGAGTGGCAACAGCAATAGTAAAAGAGTAGTGCGGCAACAACAATAGAGCACTAATAGCAAAAGAGTAGTGTGGCAACAGCAATAGAGCAGCAATAGTAAGGGTAGTATGGCAATCGCAATAGTAAAAGAGTAGAGTGGCAACAGCGATAGTAAAAGAGTAGTGTGGCAACAGCAATAGCAAAAGAGTAGTGCGGCAACAACAATAGAGCACTAATAGCAAAAGAGTAGTGTGGCAACAGCAATAGTAAAAGAGTAGAGTGGCAACAGCAATAGTAAAAGAGTAGAGTGGCAACAGCAATAGTAAAAGAGTAGAGTGGCAACAGCGATAGTAAAAGAGTAGTGTGGCAACAGCGATAGTAAAAGAGTAGTGTGGCAACAGCAATAGTAAAAGAGTAGAGTGGCAACAGCAATAGTAAAAGAGTAGAGTGGCAACAGCAATAGTAAAAGAGTAGTGTGGCAACAGCAATAGTAAAAGAGTAGTGTGGCAACAGCAATAGCAAAAGAGTAGTGTGGCAACAGCAATAAACCAGCAATAGCAAAAGAGTACCAGTAAAAGATACTGTCAGGTCATGGTATGGTATTACAAATGGTTTTTTCAGATTGATCACAAATGTGTAAAATTAAAATACATCTGCAACAAATGTGCAAATTTAAACAGTGACCCGTGACATAATTAGTTTACAATACAAAATGTAAATACTGCTCTGCCCAATGTTTGTCGGGAGATTAACGAACTGTACCACAGAGTTCATGGGAAAGGCAACGCCGATGAGGTACGCCATGAGAGGAGCGACATCGGCCTGAAACACAACATCAGCAGCTGGAGACATCTTTGATTTGTGTAATTGCTTCCTGGGAATTAGGAGGGCACATTCTAAAAGCAGAATCTAGGGTTCTCTATCTGAATGTAACGTTGACATCTGCTAAATCTAATGCAGGAAGTCACTGTGCGGAGTTGCATCCCTTACAAATGCCAGGAACCTATGATCATCATTGGTCAGAATTGTGTTGGTCCACGTTATGTTTCTAGGTTTGTCATCACCATGGTCGTACATTTCAGAAAGTGGCATCCTGCATCACTTCAGGCTGTGAAATAACTGAAATACTGTTCAAAGCAGCTCACACACTCACTCACTCTAGAGATTCTGGGCATCATGAGAGGGTCAAGATGCTACATATAGACATTAGTGAAGGCATCCTCAAATAGAATCTGTCTGCTATAAAAAAAGACAACAGACTGCTATGACTACAGTGCTGTACACATACCTGCTGAACATCAAATCTTGCTATGTTATTCAAGTTCCAGTCTGAAATAAAATTTAATACCTCATTTATCAAACATACATTTTTGCAGGTACTTTCAGGTTTTCAGCATGGTCAAGACTCACAAGTTATCATGTTAGCAACATTGCATTACTCTGCTACAGTTTGTACAGTGTACATGGTACAGGTCATCTGACAGAAGTATTAAGTTCAACTGTGACCATACCTGTGCAGAACGTGTCTGGGTAGGTTCCACACGTCCCCGCCCCCCTAGGCCCGTGTAGCCCCGCCCCCCAAGCTACCAAGGGGGTCAGTGTCTCCGAGGGAAGGCCAGCTCCATGGGAACCTGCAATATTTACAATACTTTCATTTTCTGTCACAGCACTGCAGACTGAAAAGCTTATTGAATATCTTGTTTTAATTCTGTTTGAAATGTTCACGTATCAGACTGTCACAGCACTGCATACTGAAAAGATTATTGAATATCTTGTTTTAATTCTGTTTGAAATGTTCGCGTATCAGACTGTCACAGCACTGCATACTGAAAAGATTATTGAATATCTTGTTTCAATTCTGTTTGAAATGTTCGCGTATCAGACTGTCACAGCGTAGGAGGCATGTTTCCACCTACCCCAGTCTGTCATGCCATGGTCGGCAGACATGACATAAGCTGTGCGGCCATCTTGGTTATAGAAATCTTCAAACAGAGACACCATTTCCTCTACTCCATGGTTGAGGAGATGAATATTTTCTATGTACTCCCTGAAAACAAATGTTAAAACAGCTTTCTGAGTTACCAAAGTCCATGGTGGTTTAAAATATCAAACATCTGGGCCCACATGCACAAAGTGATCTTAGCGCTTAGATGATCGTGACTCCCATACTTTAACATAGGCTTACAATAGTTGTAGCGCTAAGATCGCTTTGTGCAAGTGAGCCCTGTTGTCAACAGTTCATTGATGGTTGTTTTCATATTTCAACTTGTCATAGGGCCATTGATCATGTTTTTTGAAGTCTTATCTTGCGTATGAAAAGCATATTATTTTGTTTTCAGTTCCATGAAGACATTTACCGTGAGTGTGGCTTGTGAGAATGTCCATTTGTGTCCAGGCCAAGAAGATGAAGGAAGAAGACAATCTTATCTTGCTGCAGCTGATGAAGTAATGTAGCATTGGTCTTGGCCACAGAAAGGAATTTCTGAAAATACATATTTTAGCAGTAGTAACACAGATAATTTATGGAAAAACCTGAAGCATTAGGAAGTGCCATGCCTTAACCACGCCTTAACACCCGGACCACCAGGTATGCCTTAACAACTAGCCCTTTTACAACTAAATGCTGATGTTCATCAGACAATTTGTCGATACTGCATCACAAAATATGTATACCTGATACAAGTGATCCACCAACAGCTGTATTCATTTTGTTATTTAACGCTGCACTCAGCAATATTCCAGCTATATGACAGCAGTCTGTAAATAATCCAGTGATTGACATCATGAGCATCAATCCACGCAATCTGAATATGATGACATGCACCAACCAGGTCAGCCAGCCTGACCACCGGATCCCGTTAGAAGGTTGCCTCTGTATTCACATAGGCTATATTTGGTACACCGTAACTCCAACCTATTCTGTACAGACTTCCCTCACATGCTACATGTGAAATTTCAACCAAATATGATAACCCTAAGTGGTTTAGGGGAAATCTTTAATGAACACCCCTCGTATATCAATATAATGACGTCACACATCTTAATCATGTTAATGTCAGTTTCAAATTTTCTGTGAAATGAAGGAATATTGTTTTGTAATGATTACCTTGACCTTCTGGTAAACCCAGGTATCGAGTTTACTGGCATCAAAACTGGCAAAGTCTTCCTCCGCTGACGAGTAGCAGTGAGTGAACACATGGTCGCCAGTAGCACCTCAAACATGGAACAGATTCATGAACATCTTGGTTTCATAGTGTGAGAAACATAAACTACTCCCATTGGGCCAGACATTTGAACTATTTCATTTCCTGCTTGATGTTTAGATCCTGGTTTCAGAGGGAGCCACTCGTCATTGCTATTCATTTGTTAAGATCTTCAAATGATCAAAGCACACATTGTACCAGAAGCATATGAGTTGAAAATCAAAATGACAGAGCATATAGCACATGTAGTAGTTAGTCAACTACAATGGTCAGTGCAGGTCCTAAGGTCAATTTGCAGTTTAACATCTCATCACTTATCAATGAATTAGGAATAAACCTGCCCAGGTATTCAGCTCCCAGTCTGCAGCAAATTTCAGAAAAAATTCCCTATTTCAAATTAAAAGTTTCCAATTCATGTTAACAGTCAGACAGTTACTTCGACTTTGTAGAGGAGACTTGTATTTTACTGATAACAGGACCAATCAAGTGGAAGAGGATTGAATGCTTAATTCTCCATTACTGCATTAAATGCAAAGTTAAAAAACTACCTATCAGTTTATGAAACAAAGAAATTGCAATTTTGATTTGTTTGTTTGTTTGTTGTTTATGCCGCTTTCTGATATATTCCAGCTATATGACGACGGTCTGTAAATAATCTAGTGACTGACCACCCAATCTCCTTAGTCACCTCTTACGACAAGCATAGTCGCCTTTTATGGCAAGCACGGGTTGCTGAAGACCTATTCTACCCCAGATTTTTACGGGTTTGCAATTTTTGAACAAATAATATGATTTTTTTTCCAAATTTGCCTGCAAAGACCCTTAGTTTGGTATTGCAGATAAACACCTGTGAGAGCTGTACCTTTGGCAAACATAGGCAGGATGTCTGGACTCCCCCATGACCAAGTGTAGCGGCTCTCGTTGAAAACCGAGTCAAACTCAACTGGATTTTCCTTCCATCCTGCGAGACATTACACAACACTCATTATCAAAATCATTATCAAAATCAATATCAATATCATTATAAATGTCATTATTGTAATAATAGAAAGGAAATACCATGGAAAATATCTGAGACTTGGCTCCATGAAAAATCATACCTGCATAATCAATGAGAATTATTTCAAGTTTGAGAATGAGATAACTACTGCTTGGGGCACTGAATTTAAAGAAAAAGAGGACAAGAAACTCAAGATTATGTGGCCTGCTTCACCTACAAGGTAATAACTGAATATCTTGAACTGACAAAATGGCATCATACCTTTAGCCACAGCACTGACATCTTCATAGAAGCCAGCGATGAGAGCCACATGTCCTGGTCTGGACTCTGTTGGCACCCGAGTGTGAGACACACCCCACGACCCTCGGCTCTGAATCACATCCCTGTCATAGACATTAGACTCATTACATGTGTTATCAACTCAAATGGGGTTTATTTAACACAAAAAAACGAGGCTTTTTCCTACAAATTCCATGAAAATAAACAACAACATAAAACATTATTCCCTACATATGCTAACTTTGCATGTTACCACTTGTTACCATGGTTACATATACAGAAACACAACTTCTGCTTTTCAACTATTGATGCATCTTCAGAGAACATCGCATGAACATTTTAATGATGCTGATCACCTGAGGTACAGTTCCCTTCCCTCTCTATCCCTGTCCTGCTGAAAGAAACGGTCTGCTCTCAGTCCATCGGCAACAAACAGTACCAGTCTCTTAGCGGGTGCCGGGGAATCAGGAACACTTGGAGTCATTCCATGCACCAATGGGGATGTGAAGTAAATGTCAAAGATGGAGTAGAAGAGAATCAGATGAACCACCAGACCAGATAGCATCAGTTGCCACACCTTCATCTTCTTTCACAACGGGGCTGACAAAGTAAAAGCAAATCTATTAATTATTAAAAACTATCTAACACCTCTATTCATCATTAGAAGCTCCAATTAAGCTTCAATATTTACTTTGCTTCATCAATTACTATTCATACAGTGTTACAAATACGAAGTGATGTTAGTCATATAAATATTACTTTTTTGTGGGTATGTTTCTGTGCATGTGTGTGTATAGCAATATGTTTTGGATTACCCGCAGTTATGTCAATACAATCTACCTTTCTTCAGTCAGCAATAAATGAACTATCATGTAGAGTACAGATTGGAAGCTCGAACTGTGTGCTAATATTTAATATCCTAATATCGTATTGTAAATAAGATGCTTCTGATCACACCGACCAATATAGGTCTAGGAACTCAGGCTTGTTCACGTGGGAACTGAAGACTATATACATAAATCATTTCCCACAAGTATAAGTTACCCCAGAACATAGATTGGCGCGACAGGTTGGCCTGGACCGCCAAGTTAACGGACGTGAATTAGGCCTAATAATTTAATCTGTCCACAGAACTATCTTGGAGGATATCTAAAGAATACACAAGTAGATGTTATTTGCAATGTCCGCCAAACAATCATCAAAATGTAGTTAATTAATATGTGGACACTGTGAAACAATTTGGTTCCCAAAGAATGCCAAATAAAACAAAACAAGCAGGAACCTGAAACGTGCTGACATGAGCGCCACAACGCGGAAATGAACCGGAAGTTTACACAATATAATAACGAGAGAATGATTGGCTACGGAACCAGTAAGATGACCAATTGTAAATGTGTTGACGTTTATGCAATAAGCCGAGAATCTATTGGGCGAAGTTCCTCAACGTTATCCAATCGAAAGAGTTGTACCAAAAGGATAATTGACATTTTCGGCTGTGTCTATTCGCACGATATCGTGTACATAAAGAGTACATTTCTTGCTATTTTCAAAACAAATATGGAGGCATCTTAAAGCTCACTCTGACTGCAGAAAGAAGATGGGGAAAATAGAATGGTCGATGTGGGCAAATGAACAGGCACTGGCCAGTTCAGCTGGTTGGTCAACATTAGTATTTATTAAACGAAATTGGCACATTTATCAAAGAACTTCAGACGCAACGTGTCCCACAAGTCTAAACTTTTATGATCTCGATGAATTTGTAAACCAAACACTTTCGTCTCTTTATTCTTATTTCAGTTGTAATCCTTGGAGGGATTGTCACACTTGCAGGGAGGTTCAAAAACTACCAGTTTGGAATCTATGGAATGTATCCTTGTGAGTTGAATAGTGTTCTCAGGGTACAGACGAGTTCACCGAGTCAGCAACTGCCACACCCCTTTTCATTTTATTCGGCTTCGGATTGCTACACTACTAGCACAGAGAAAGCAAAGGGGTTGTTGATAGTCAGAATTATTTTCTTTTTAATTAGATGAATTCTAGTTATGTCAATTTTTCATATAATAGTCATATTATGAGATATTTTTTATCAACATGGTAAGACCCATGCTACTGGATTGTGTTTCCCCCTGTTTGATTCTTGCACGTTGGATGTTCTACTGACTGTGTCTAAAGTGTCAGCCGTGTGCCTTGGAGATGGGAGCCCAGGCATCCAAGGTCCAGCAATATTCTGTAGAAAGTTGCATCCCTTAGTCATGAGCAACAGGATATGCTGATTGTGTGTTCGAATCCAAGATTTGTCAAAGTCAGAGATATTTATTGCATGTAAGGCCTCCTGCCCAGGGTCCTGTTTCCTGGACCAATGTAGTACACACTTGCAGGGATAGTTGATAGAATTATTTCCATTTCAATTTGATAGATTCTAGCGGTCACATTTTCACATAATAGTCGTGTTATGATGTTATTAGTGCACATTAGTGCACCCTTCCTCCCACATCAAGATGACATGCCTTGTAATTACTGAAACGCTGTTCAAAATGGCATTAAACCCAACTCATGCACTGACTGAATACAAGATATCTGTAGGAGGCTTCAGGCAAGCTATGACCCCTTTCTACAGAATCTTTTTTCTGGTCCTCAAAATTCGGCTTATCCGCGGTCATATACGGTATTGGCCTGCTGTTTACAGTTTAAACCCCATTTCACTGCACATTACAAATCGATACAAATGAGTAGTTGTTCTTTGTCATCTTTGTCATGTCACCATTTGGTCACAGCTTCTTGCCCCACATATCTGATGTATGCTTGACAGCATGGAAATTGAGAGGAGGAAATATTCTATCTGTGTAATTACAACAATCTTTTTGGTATTTATCTAAAGTAAGTTCTTTGTGTTGATTCCCCTTAACCATGGTACAGCTGTGTTGGAGTCCTGGTGGCCCTGTTGGAGTATCCACGTGCCAAGCGACAGAAAGGAAAGACACAAGAGAGAAGGTTTGTTTGTTTGTCTATTTGTTTGTCCATTTGTTTGTCAGCTTGTTGTGGGTGTGGGAGTTCCTTGTTTTTAGCGCTGCACTCAACAAAATTCCAGTAATATGATGGCAGCCAGTAAATAATCGAGTCTGGGCCAGACAATCTAGTGTTCGATATTGAGAGCAATGATCCAAGCCATCAGGGTACGATGACGCTGAATCAACCAAGTCACTGAGCATGACCACCCGATCCATTTGGTGACCTCTTTCCACTAGCATAGGTTGCTGGGGACCTGGTCTAACCCGGAATACCCACAGGTCGGAGAGTGGGTATCACAAATACAATAAGTGTAGTAAGTTCTATGGTGTGGCCATGCTGTGGATGTAACTTGTCCATGTTTTACCTGTTCACTGGAAAATATGCCGTGGATTTGAGTGAGCCGTGGAACACACTTTTCGCTGCTCATCATTACGAATGACATTTCATTGCTACATTGTGATTGATCATAATTACTACAGTCACAGGACAAAGCCTCTTGATGTTTGTTGACGTTTTCTGAAATTTGTGAAATTGTTTTAAGCATTGGCAGTTTACAAGGAGATTGAAGAAACCTATTGTGTGGAGCGATGGTTATATCAACATCTGTGTCTCATCATGTGCTGGTCTTGTGATTGTTTTTTGTGTTATATTTTATTTCAGGTTTCAGAAACCCTTGACAATACTAGTGCGATGTGGTGGCCTAGTAACTCGAAACTACTTCATACGTTTTGTATTTTACTTAATGTGAGTATGTACGTGATATACATTATTGTTTTTCATTAATCACAAATTTTTATGTGCTATCAAACTGACACATCCATCTCTGTATATTTCTGTGACAATGAAATACTCCGATGGCCGAGTGGTTACAGTGTTTGCTGGTCATGCTGAAGACCTCGGGTTTAGTTCCCCCTGGATATTTTGTCCATGGTATACAAAGCTGTTTCAAACAGTGTCCGTCAATGGTGTATGTTTTAACAAACCAAAAGTTTTGACAGAATATTTCAATGTTCTTGCCAAACTCAATGAAACTTTCTGTGCAGAATCTCGGTGCCGTGCTGCTTCGTCTTGCCGACACTTCTAGGGGGCATGTGCTACCTCATCACCAGTGCAATATACTTTGTCGTGAGTACATCTCTACTCTGTGTACCACCATGGCATAACAATATTATATTTCCTTGGAGGGCTGGGACCTCCCTTATTCAGATTTATTTACGAAAAGATACAACATTGATTTTCTTTCAATGAAACAGGAATTTCATGAAAAAATAATACGAACATAAGAGATATTTGTGGAACATGTTCAAGTGAGCGAATGGGTGGATGTAGTACAAATGAAACTACAGATGTCCTATTCACATGACAGGCTGCTTCACAGACCTGAAAACTGATGCTTGTTCTACAGTAGTGCAGCCATGTCCATGCTGGTCGTCATGACAGCAATGTTTCCCTTCTGCGATGTGCTCAATGATCTGGTTCAGTAGCATGTTTTCTGTTTTCTTCAGGCTGCTTTGAAAGGAGAAGAATGGAAGCCAGCTGGTCTGGACACAGAATCACAATCACAGCAGCCAGGCCCCCGAGTCCTCCAGCCACCCAGTCATCCCCCTCCCAGACGTCCCATCGACAACAGTATCTGACCCCCTCCCAGACGTCCCATCGACAACAGTATCTGACCCCCTCCCAGACATCCCATTGACAACAGTATCTGACCCCCTCCCAGACGTCCCATCGACAACAGTATCTGACCCCCTCCCAGAGGTCCCATCGACAACAGTATCTGACCCCCTCCCAGACATCCCATCGACAACAGTATCTGACCCCCTCCCAGACGTCCCTTCGACAACAGTATCTGACCCCCTCCCAGACATCCCATCGACAACAGTATCTGACCTTCTCCCAGACGTCCCTTCGACAACAGTATCTGACCCCCCTCCCAGACGTCCCATCGACAACAGTATCTGACCCCTCCCAGACGTCCTATCGACAACAGTATCTGACCCCCTCCCAGACATCCCATCGACAACAGTATCTGACCCCCTCCCAGACGTCCCATCAACAACAGTATCTGACCCCCTCCCAGACGTCCCGTCGACAACAGTATCTGACCCCTCCCAGACGTCCCATCGACAACAGTATCTGACCCCCTCCCAGACGTCCCATCGACAACAGTATCTGACCCCTCCCAGACGTCCCATCGACAACAGTATCTGACCCCCTCCCAGACGTCCCATCAACAACAGTATCTGACCCCCTCCCAGACGTCCCATCGACAACAGTATCTGACCCCCATCCCAGACGTCCCATCGACAACAGTATCTGACCCCTCCCCAGACGTCCAATCGACAACAGTATCTGACCCCCTCCCCAGACGTCCAATCAACAACAGCATCTGACCCCTCCCCAGATATCCAATCGACAACAGTATCTGACCCCCTCCCCAGACGTCCAATCGACAACAGTATCTGACCCCTCCCCAGATGTCCAATCGACAACAGTATCTGACCCCTCCCCAGACGTCCAATCGACAACAGTATCTCACCCCCTCCCAGATGTCCCATCTGATCATCTTCATAATACATGCAATTTGTGATCCCCTTCTGACGTGATCTATGGCAGCACAGAGATATTCTCTCCACAAACAAGATCCTCTCCTCAACACATGCAACATGTGAACCTCTCCTCCCACCAAATCTTCTCCACATCTCCTCTCAAGAACTTATGACCGCCTCCATGGTCTAATGGTAGAGCGTCCGCCCGGAGAGCGGAAGGTCCGGGTTCGATCCCCAGCCGCGTCATACCAAAAGACGTTAAAAGATGGTACTTGTTGTTACCCTGTCTGGCGTTCGGCATTAAGGGGCTAAAACAAGGACTGGTCGGCTCGGAGTCAGTATACTGTGTCTGAGTGGGGTATTCATGTTAAACTGCGGCATGGTATCTCAGTGTGCTAGCACTATAAATCGGCATCAGTCTGGACTAGTACAAGCAGCCACACACACATACACGTGCATGCACGTCGCTATATAAGTGCAATAATCTTGGACACGACGTTAAACTCCATTTCACCTCACCTCAAGAACTTAAGAGAATCGGTATGGAGTCCTCTGATCTATCCTGTAGGGATGGGAGGGTGTTAATTTCAGTGTTAACCCTTTATACATCCAGGAGCCATGTGCCCACTGTTATTGCATGATTGTGAGATATAGTCCGAGACTGGTGAGTCATCTCTGCAGGCAGAGACCTCCACCCTATATGCTGAACTGAACAGTGAAGTCACCGTACCAAACAAGGATGTCGACTAATTAACTGCCAATTAACCAATACCATTTGTGATTTTATATAATTTTTTTACTGATATGTGGGTACTGAAGAGTAGTTTGCAAGGTGTTTATTGACACAAAGATGTGTTTATGATAAACATCCATGATTCCGACATGCAAAGTTGACAATAGTGTTTTATGAATGTACAGCTGAGAATGTTGCAGGACCAACTATGCCTTTAGAACCTCTTTGTAACATAGCAATGAACATTAAAATAAAGATAAAGATTCCATGATAGTGTTTTGTTGTCAATTAAACAAGCAAAGCTACAGAATTCTCTTTTTATTTTGTACACATACCAGTTCCAGCAGGACAGTGCCGGTTCTAACATGACAGTGTGCTTAACATATTTGAACAGTAATGAAACACTGAGTCACAGCTACAAATCCCACAAACATCTGAAACCTGCATCACTCCAGGCTTTCCTCCCACATTAAGCTGACGCCGTGATATAACTGGAATACTGTTAAAAGCAGCGTAAAACCCAACTCACAATACAAGTCCCACAGACAGTAATGTTATTTTGTCCAATGTCGATTTGTCCTGGCTTGGACACATACCAGTTATGCGCTCCTTTCTGATAATCATGGACATTTGAATACCACACCCTGTTCTCTGAGTCATCTGGAAGACACGGGTGGTCCAGTCATCTACAGCTCAGAAAGTCTCAGCAGAGTACACATCTTAGTCATCCCAGAATCTGGTGATCACTGAATCTAATCGAAGTTTTGGCCTGGTGTGTTTGTTTGTCAGCACCATACCACATCCATCCTACATGCCATCACATAACTGGAATACTGTTCAAAGCAGCGTTCAACCAAACCACCCACACAAGCTCATTTCCAACGACCAGGATCTGTCATACCCAAGTATCTTGTTTGTTTCGCTTGTTTGTTTCGCTTGTTTGTTGTTTAACATCGCACTCAGCAATATTCCAGCTGTATGACAGCAGTCTGTAAATAATCGAGTCTGGACCAGATAATCCAGTGATTGACATCATGAGCATCAATCCACACATTTGGGATACGATGACATGCATCAACCAAGTCAGCGAGCCAAGTATCTACAACCAGATCACAACACAAGACTGAACAGACAGAGAACTTTATTATGTGGTGATGACAGGCTTGTAACAAGATTTGCATTTTTATCTCCGCAGAATAATTCTCTCTGAATTATATTTGCATATGTTTTGCATAATGTTTTCTATCCAGCATAAAACAGAATGGCCATTTTAACATAAGTAACTACTACCTGCTCACAAGGCCTGAGTCTGTAATTGAAAGGAAAGACAAAAGGAAGTACCATGCATAATGGGTATCAGCTAGTTGTGTTTGGTTCATTAACAGTTACAACAGATGGGCTACAAGATCTATATCTCTTTCCTGGGAATAAATGTTTGAAATCCATGTCACAGCTTGATGAATACATATCATATTAATAAACTGAGGTGACCCTGGTCCTATTCCACAGACCAATCTCCGCCATGATTGTAACCATGGTAACTCAAACACAGACTTACCAATCACAGCGCTGAGATAGTTATTGAGTATTTGTTCACTAAATCTATTTCTCTTAAATCTCTTTTACTCTATTAAATCCCTCCAGCTGTAGGTCCAGGTTCTGACACTGGAAACTCTACAACATCCCCATTGTAACTGCAGCAAACCTCCTTGCCGGTATGTTCCCCCCTTGTCTTGGACAGATTCTAAAAAGGACAAGGGTTTGATGAAAACTCAAATACAGCAGATCGTGGACATTACGAACTATGAGGGAGCGGAGATATCAAGTTTCTTACACCTTGCTCATTATTTAGATTTTCTCTCGGACAATCTCATGAAATGTACCGTATTTTCTTGAGTATAGTGCACACTTTTTTTCCAAAAAACACAGCTGTGTAGAAGGGGGTGCGCATTATACACGAATTATGAGTTTGGATGTTTTTTTCCCCCATGGAAAGACATTACCGTGAGCACGAAACACCGGAAATACCATGTCAACAAATCCATACTGAAGTTCGCAAATTATTCATGTAATTACACTGTCTGGCTATAAAAAGTGTTCTTTGTATATATGGACTTATGTTTGTAACTTTTTTCATTAATTTTATTCAAAATTCGTTTTAATATTGTTTTTATTAATTTCGGCGAAATCGTGTGTGAAGCGATCGGAAGATCGCACAACTCACCGTTATTAACAGCAACCACGGTCAGAATACTGCTATTGACGCCTTGAAACGAACTGTATATGTTTAATGTCTATGAAATAGACTCTATTTTACAGACAAGATTTGTCCAATTGCAGGCAAGATTAACATAAAACACATTCAACAAGGTTGAATCGTCACCACTGATTGTGTTGATTCGCTACTGATTGTGAATTACCAGTTGTAAGAGACACTAAATGACAGAGAGCAAGATTTCTCAGTTCGCTCTACACATCACTAATTAATGGTATTGGGGCTTGTCGGGGATGAAATATCTGTTTGCTGTAGACGTCAGTTTGCTGTAGAGTTTGTTATACGTGTATTTTATATGATGATACACAGGAGATAAACTGGGGAAGTGTAACAGTTGGTTGTTGTAACCTTGTCTTCATTCTATTCGTGTTCTACTGTATATGTCATTGTATACCTGAACTAACATCACATTTTCTACTTAATCCAGGATCACATTTTCTACTTAAACTAGGATCACATTTTCTACTTGAACTAGGATCACATTTTCTACTTGAACTAGGATCACATTTTCTACTTGAACTAGGATCACATTTTCTACTTAAACTAGGATCACATTTTCTACTTAAACAAGGATCAGATTTTCTACTAAATCTAAAGAGAATACCACAAAGCACCTGTTGCTGCGATATCAGTGCAGATAAGTTACAATACTGGTCACTAGACATACTAACCAACAAACTCGGACAACCTGGATAAGATTCAGGTGATAAAAACAACAACAACAGTAAACAACATGCCTACTGACAACGTAAAAATCTAGAAATATGGGTAAATATAACTGGGCAAATCTAGAAAAAAAGTAAAAGTGTCAAAATCAATAACATTAGAAAATACATCTTGTCCACATGGATAACATGAGCTCAGAAGAAATACCTTGTGACATAATTTTACGATCGACACGTTGTGACATAATTGTACGATCTACACCTTGTGACATAATTGTACGATCGACACCTTGTGACATAATTGTATGATCAACACCTTGTGACATAATTGTATGATCAACACCTTGTGACATAATTGTACGATCGACACCTTGTGACATAATTGTATGATCGACACCTTGTGACATAATTATACGATCGACACCTTTCAACATAATTGTACGCTCGACACCTTGTGACAAAATTGTATGATCAACACCTTGTGACATGATTGTATGACTGACACCTTGTGACATGGTCACGCTTCACTTGATTTCAAAGAATTGTGATTTATTAAAGACGTATTTGGTGCACATGACCATGTATACTGTAGACAGCAACTTGTTTTGCTGCACTGTACATACAAATGTTTCAGGGCTCCTTCTTGCCCCTTCATCAGGAGATGACCAGTACTTCTGCCCTTGAAACATTGAGCACATATAACATAGAAGTCACAAAATTTAAAATAAAAAATGACAATAAAGACACTCATATTTAATATATTTCACCAAAAAGTTATTAGACCAATTGTTCATATTCTAGAACAAAGTCAAACAAGTCAAAGCCATGACGTGTCCCAGCCTTCATGACACTTCGATTAAAGAAGTTAGGCAACACTCGTTTTGAGGGGGTCATGAATTTTTGGCCCACATCTGGTCAATGTTTGGAGGGTGAGTCAAGTCCAATTTCAAATACATTTTTTATATTTCCTCTCATTATATTTCATTGTGATTTTAAGATAAATTTTCAAGTGATAATAATAATATTTTAAATAGTTTATTTATATTTATAACAACAGTAAAGAACAGTGTTTTTAACATTTTACTTAATTCTGGTTTGCAGCATAACAAAAACACTGTTTTTCATTTACTTTGTAACATTTAAATTTTTGTGAGTTGACGGATTGGTATATCAAGTCTTGGCACTCCATGTAATCACTTTGGCAATAGAATGACATGACACTGACACAAAAACCTGAATACAGGAACACCCTGTATAAGAGCCACAATTGTCAAAAAGTTTATTGTGAACCTGCCTTATTACAATAATATCTGATCTTTATTGCATCAATAAATTGAACAGTCAACAATATCAGTCAAGCGAGACGGTTGACTTCTAAAGTGTTGTAGTCAGCTGTTTTGTTCATAGGCTTCTAATCATGTCTAACAAGTAAGTACCCTGATTATCCAGATCATGATGTCTTCATTCCATTAGGATAAATACCCTGCACTCAATCACTACCACAGCTTGGTATTGAGGGGCGGTCGGGTAGCATAGAGGTTAGAGCGTTTGCTCCTCACACCGAAGACCCAGGTTCAATTCCCGACATGGGTATAATGTGTGAAGCCCATTTCTGGTGACCCCGCCGTGATATTGCTGGTATATTGCTAAAAGTGGCGTAAAACCAAACTCACTCAATTGGTCTTGAGCAAGAACAGTATGACACATTGCTAAAAATATTGTCCAATCAAATTATGACCTTGAGCAGGAGGAAGGGGTTCAAGTGATCCTATTGGTCACGTTACTTGTGTCGTGGATGAAGGGAAGGATTAATGAACATAATGAACATATGTTCATTGCAATCTTGTACAGAAGTTACACGTACTACACTGGATGATCAGGGTCACTCGGAGGTCGACCATTTCTCGTCAGTCTGGGCCCTACAATGGCCCCTTAATCTCAGACGCGGATAAAGATTTATGAACATGATGAACATTAGATAACTGCATGCTTCAACAAACATCAAAGAAGGAAAGAAGATGAAGTAGAGCCTTGCTATTCTGTGGCAACATTTCACAAAGCAGTTGTGGTACTGCACCTCTTCAATCACAGACAGATGAATCGTGGCCCAATGCTACAAATACTTTGTGACATCAATACAGAACTCATAAAACGTCCTAAGTGAGTTCATCTCTCTGCATTGATCCATGTTTCTTCAGACTGGCATTCCTTCCATCCAGAAAAAAACTTGAACACACTTCTGATTGTAATGTCTGTTGCCTTCCTACCAGAGATGCTGTGGAGATGTTTGACCCAGCAGGACATGGTTAGTGAGATGTGTTGAAGACAGGAACATGCTGGAGGTATATCTGAGACTGGTCCTACTCATCTTCCCGAGGCAAGTGAGTTAACTGACTATAAAAGTCCAGTTTCCACGCTTGCCGAACTAGGCTGGTATTATGGAGTTAGATTTTGGCTGGACTAACGAGTCTATGCATAGTCCAATCACATTCGAAATCAAATTCCGGTTTGTAAACTGTCATGCAGATTTCGGTTGATTGCAGGATTTGCAAATCATTTGCACAGCCAACTCGTTGTTAACAGATATTTTCCAAATCTTTTTAATTAAGGTGATCACGTGATTTGATGCACTTTGCTATGTAAGACCTGTTTTATCACAAAATAGATCTTGATTATCGATCAGATCGTCTTGACTGGGCGCTGCCATTTAGTTTGAAGCAAATGCTAGTGATACAAGAGGTGGCATCTGATTGGTCCATAGGAGAGGCATAGAAGGGACATGACTCATAATAGCCACTGGTGGCGCTACGATCGAGCCCAGCAATTCAAGCCTAGTTCGGCAAGTGTGGAAACTGGACTTTAAAGTCAGTTAACTCTCTTGCCTCGGGAAGATTGGTCCTACTTGACTTGACTCACATCTGTTCTGGTCTCTCTACATTGACGTGTTCCACCAGCTCCCTGAAACATCAACACAGATAACACTGACATGCAACCTTCACAAACTCAGTGTTCCTGTATACTGGTACATACCAGTTTGTACCGGTAAGATTAGGTTTGGACCGGTAATTCATGTGACTGCCAGTCCCTGTGGACTGACAAATAGAGTGTCTTATAAGTTTTGTTTTGTTGAACAAAACATTGGCGATATTCAAATATGTATATTTTTCAAAAAAAGTCAGCTTGTCTGTTACCATCAGGGTTTCCCGTTGTCTATTTTTAGTGCAAGGAAATATCATTTTGCTTTGAATTGGGGTTAAATATATATTTGTAGCGACTTTGTCTAGAAGTATTGAAAAAGAGAGAGCAAACTGTGACTGGACTTCGTGTGAATGACGAGTAGATCTAAATAAGTTACTTCAGAGATGATATCGTTGCAATGAAACATGATCTTGAGAGAGTTAAAACCAGGTAATTTCCATACGTTTTTTTATTTGTTCAAAGTTGGGATTGACAAAAATTAGGGTGGGACTGGTAATTTTTAGAGTTTTCAAAAGCACTAGACCTTCATTCCTAGCTTACATTCATGAGACATTAGCTATTGTTGAACCATGATCAGAGAAATCTCTAGTTCTTTGTTTTGGTCGTTGTTTAAAGCTGCATTCAACAATATTCCAGCTACATGACAGCAGTCTGTAAATAATTGAGTCTGGACCAGACAATCCAATGACTGATACCATGAGCATCAATCTACACAATTGGGATATGATGACATGCATTAACCAATTCAGCAAGCCGGACCACACAATCATGTAAGTCGCCTCTTACAAAAAGCATGGGTTGCTGACGACCTAATTTAACCGGCTCTTCACGGGGGCAGGTTGAACCAGGATTTGAACGTATGATCGTGGATTTCTGGCATGCCTAATGGATGCAACTCTGTACCTGCCAAAGATGATTTAAACCACAAAATATAAAGGTGTGTCCCACCTCTGACCAAGTCCTAGTGTGTGAAGTACCCAACTCCAACCAAGTCCTAGTGTGTGAAGTACCCAACTCCGACCAAGTCCTAGTGTGTGAAGTACCCAACTCCGACCAAGTCCTAGTGTGTGAAGTACCCAACTCTGACCAAGTCCTAGTGTGTGAAGTACCCAACTCTGACCAAGTCCTAGTGTGTGAAGTACCCAACTCCGACCAAGTCCTGTACCCAACTCCGACCAAGTCCTAGTGTGTGAAGTACCCACCTCCGACCAAGTCCTAGTGTGTGAAGTACCCACCTCCGACCAAGTCCTAGTGTGTGAAGTTCCCACCTCCGACCAAGTCCTAGTGTGTGAAGTGCCCAACTCTGACCAAGTCCTAGTGTGTGAAGTACCCAACTCCGACCAAGTCCTAGTGTGTGAAGTACCCAACTCTGACCAAGTCCTAGTGTGTGAAGTACCCAACTCCGACCAAGTCCTAGTGTGTGATGTACCCAACTCTGACCAAGTCCTAGTGTGTGAAGTACCCACCTCTGACCAAGTCCTAGTGTGTGAAGTACCCACCTCCGACCAAGTCCTAGTGTGTGAAGTACCCAACTCTGACCAAGTTCTAGTGCGTGAAGTACCCACCTCTGACCAAGTCCTAGTGTGTGAAGTACCCAACTCTGACCAAGTTCTAGTGCGTGAAGTACCCAACTCTGACCAAGTCCTAGTGTGTGAAGTACCCAACTTTGACCAACTCCTAGTGTGTGAAGTGCTCACCTGGCACAGTCATGCTACTGGACGTCTCGGGTGTCGCCAGCTGACTCGCGATGTTCGTCATGAATGTACCACTAGTTGCACTTTCTTCGCATCTGAATTGAAAACATCAGCATGAATAAGTATTTGTTTAAATCTAATTTCAAAACAGCAATTCATCATCAGTACTTCACAGGTTTGTACACACAATCTTCTGCCATCATACATATGTCTGATATCTAGTGTCATCGGACTGTGTGGCCATTTGTAGTCAGCAGGGCTGGGACGAGTCCAAATTTACTACCCGGGTACCCACCACCTTATTACCTGACCCTACCCGGGTACACGCTGTAGATATTTGGAGATAGGTACTAACTGTCCGATTTGGAAAAGTTTGACCATAGCCCTGGCAAAATGTATTTAGATACACATGTAAAACAATCTGGTCATGCATACACTGCATGAAGTTTTATCTTTATTCAAACATATAAAAGTCAGAAAGAATGGGTGCATTGTTAGAAAGAAATGGGAACATTAGTGACTCATGGTGTAACCATGGAGTTTTAGATAATTTTTGTCATGAAACACGTGACTAACCACGGGTCCGGGTACTCCTGTGGGTACCCAGGTCCTACTCAGGACCCACCCGAGTACCCATGTTACCCGTCCCAGCCTTAGTAGTCCGGTAATGAAATGAGGCCCATAAGATGTTTCAGTTTCATGGTCACCAGTCCTGAATATCTGAGATTTGTTGATACCCTTGAGTGACATGATGTATCAGTTTGGACTTCGATTCCTACAGAGTGACGACTTCGACTACGACACAATGAAATAGCCTGATATAGATAGATTTGAGTCAGTGGTAAACCAGTATTTGGAAATTACTTCAATTTGATTGGTCAATCAGAGGCATCAAATCACATTTACCACCTCTGAATGAAACAGACTATTTTATTAATAGAGACTGTAGCCCAGGGTGTTATGACAGCAAAATGTAAGTAAAGAAACACCACAGATGACATCCACCTTTTCTTGTCTGCCTCTGTATTCCAGATCTCGTACAAGGTCAGCTTGTTGCTGTCTCTGATTGATCGTACACTCACACTGAAACAGCACAACGTGTCACAAAGTCACACTGACAGACATGGTTTCTGTGTAGGAGCTGCTACAGGGAAAGTCAGTTGTTGTCAGCGCCAAGTGTTGGATATGCTGTGGAGGCCTAGAACTTAATATCTTTTATATAATTTGTCAGGTTCTAAAAACAGACACAAATAAACAGCAGGGCATGAACGAACGAACGAACGAACGAACGAACGAACGAACGAACGAATAATAACTAAATAAACAAACAAACAATTTAGGCGCCATCAGACAGAGGTGCTGGTACAGGAAATCACCAAAGTAACGTATCACCAAAACATAGGTCATGCCAACCCTGGCCCTTGTCATTAACTAACATGAGTAGCCCTACTCATGAAATAAAAAATACTATCTCATTAATCTCTGCTCCAAATTGAACATGAAGACTTCAGACTTTGAAAAGCATGGTATGGTAGAAGTACCAAGGACTCCATTATCTACCTTAAACATAACTTCTTTGAGAGGCATTTCAAAGATGGAGTACTCAGTAGGGATACGATATGTGGAAGAACAACTTCGTACATTTAGGAACGTTTCTGTGTAAATTCTCCACTTGTTTGATACATTGTTAGAATCTAGACCAAAACATTGCTCCTAAATGTAATAACGAAGTTGTTCTTCCATATATCGTATCCCTGCATATCTTAAACATGTGAAATAAGAAGTCTGACTTATGATAAAAAGAAAATTGCATCATAATATATCATGAATGAATGCATTTCAGAGACATACATGGATATATTTAGGTCGCAATTATCAACTACGTGATCTTACTTGCGACATCCACCCACACCTTGGGTAGACTCCACATACGCCCTGAGACTCGACTTGAAACTGTCCAGCTCCTCCACCTTCACTTCAAAGCTCCTCTGTAGCATCAACATCTGCAACAACATGAGATGTAGACACAAATAGCATCATCGTAGCATCAACATCTGCAACAACACGAGATGTAGACACAAATAGCATCATCGTAGCATCAACATCTGCAACAACATGAGATATAGACACAAATAGCATCATTGTAGCATCAACATCTGCAACAACACGAGATGTAGACACAAATAGCACCATCATAGGTCCAACATCTGCAACAACATCGTCATAAAGTTCATTGCACGTTTCGTTTTTGTTTCCATTTTCATTTTTTTGTGCATTGTGTTTAAGTATTAGGATTTTGATATTTATTTGAAAATAGAAATAAAAACAAAATGTGCAACAGACTTTATGATCATGCGGGTGGTTCTTGAGAAACAAGACTATTATTTTTTTTTATCCTAATACACTATTTTGTAGCAAAACAAAATTACACAATGATGATTTTAGGTGGATTTTCAATGGAAAATGTGACCTTTACAAAAAGGATCTTAAAGCTTGTACGCACCAGGCACTCGGGCTCATACACAACCTCCTCATCAACAAAGTTGTCGAAGTTCACCTGAAAACACAAACAATACACCATTTGTACAAAATTTGCATTGCAGATAAAATGATTCAGAACACAATAAGAATATCAATGAAAAGAACATTTTACAATTATTAATCAAATGGTAACCATGGCAACTGCATGTATGTTTTTCTTTTGAGTTACAATAACAGCAAGGAATTACCTTAGATTCCAGTTTGTCTATGAGATTTTCCAGTCTGTCCACCTGCAGCGTCAACACCTGGCTACCATACCCTGCACAATACAGACACAGTTAACACTGATGTAACACCTGCACAATACAGACACACTGCTGTAACACCCTGCACAATACAGACACACTGCTGTAACAACCTGCACAATACAGACACACTGCTGTAACACCTGCACAATACAGACACACTGCTGTAACACCCTGCACAATACAGACACACTGCTGTAACACCCTGCACAATACAGACACACTACTGTAACACCCTGCACAATACAGACGCAATGCTGTAACACCCTGCATAATACAGACACACTGCTGTAACACCCTGCACAATACAGACACACTGCTGTAAAACCCTGCACAATACAGACACACTGCTGTAACACCCTGCACAATACAGACACACTGCTGTAACACCTGTACAATACAGACAAACTGCTGTAACACCCTGCACATTACAGACACACACCTGTAACACAGTGCACAGACACACTGCTGTAACACCTGTACAATACAGACACACTGCTGTAACTACCTGCACAATACAGACACACTGCTGTAACACCCTGCACAATACAGACACACTGCTGTAACGTCCGGCAGAATACAGACACACTGCTGTAACACCTGCACAATACAGACACACTGCTGTAACACCCTGCACAATACAGACACACTGCTGTAACACCCTGCACAATACAGACACACTGATGTAACACCCTGCACAATACAGACACACTGCTGTAACACCCTGCACAATACATACACACTGCTGTAACACCTGTACAATACAGACACACTGCTGTAACACCTGCACAATACAGACAAACTGATGTAACACCCTGCACAATACAGACACCCTGCTGTAACACCTGTACAATACAGACACACTGATGTAACACCCTGCACAATACAGACACACTGATGTAACGCCCTGCGTAATACAGACACACTGCTGTAACACCTGAACAATACAGACACACTGCTGTAACACCCTGCACAATACAGACACACTGCTGTAACACCCTGCACAATACAGACACACTGCTGTAACACCTGTACAATACAGACACACTGCTGTAACACCCTGCACAATACAGACACACTGCTGTAACACCCTGCACAATAGAGGACACACTGCTGTAACACCCTGCACAATACAGACACACTGCTGTAACACCTGCACAATACAGACACACTGCTGTAACACCCTGCACAATACAGACACACACTGCTGTAACACCCTGCACAATACAGACACACTGCTGTAACACCCTGCACAATACAGACACACTGCTGTAACACCCTGCACAATACAGACACACCGCTGTAACACCTGCACAATACAGACACACTGCTGTAACACCCTGCACAATACAGACACACTGCTGTAACACCCTGCACAATACAGACACACTGCTGTAACACCCTGCACAATACAGACACACTGCTTTAACACCTGCACAATACAGACACACTGCTGTAACACCCTGCACAATACAGACACACTGCTGTAACACCCTGCACAATACAGACACACTGCTGTAACACCCTGCACAATACAGACACACTGCTGTAACACCTTGCACAATACAGACACACTGCTGTAACACCCTGCACAATACAGACACACTGATGTAACACCCTGCACAATACAGACACACTGCTGTTACACCCTGCACAATACAGACAAACTGATGTAACACCCTGCACAATACAGACACCCTGCTGTAACACCTGTACAATACAGACACACTGATGTAACACCCTGCACAATACAGACACACTGCTGTTACACCCTGCACAATACAGACACACTGCTGTAACACCTGAACAATACAGACACACAGCTGTAACACCCTGCACAATACAGACACACTGCTGTTACACCCTGCACAATACAGACACACTGCTGTAACACCCTGCACAATACAGACACACACCTGTAACACCCTGATTCGGAACATTTGTAGATGCAGAAAGGTGCCGAGGGTTCATGTCTCCAATGTTCATGTCTGTCGTCCCAAACAACACCAGTTGTCGAATTAAAAAAAAATTGTATTCAATTGCTTCATATTTTCCTCGAGAAACATACATCATTTCTTTCTTTAATAAGAACTAACAGATAAATTTCCTCTGACAAACAGTATTACAATTTCATTGTGACAACAGGGGGCTTGAAGACATGATAATGTGTTGGAGGAGCCTTGCATGCTTACATCTGGCACTGCACTGATTGATTAGGATCAAAACATTGATTGAAATCAAACAAAGACCAAAGTTTACAGATGTGTAACCATGGTAACAGAAGGTGATGCGCAAGAAATTAGCACAGCTGATAGAGCCAGCAAGAATGTAGAAGTTAGTATGTATGAAACACAGTTAAACATGCATAGGTTTGCAAGATATCAAAATAGAAGTAGCAAAATAGAATTAGCACACAAAGATATCAAAGAGGCTATATGTTATTAATAATGTTATCATACACAACTAGATATTATATTATATGTGTTACATAACTTTCATCTGGCTGCTTTTTGGAAAAGGTCTTTATCAACCACACCACAGATTTTTGCAAACATTTCGACAATAACCAGAATAAACCAACAATAAACCAGAGTGAGTGAGTGAATGTAGGTTTACACTTCAGTCAGCAACGCTGTAGTGACAAGACAGCGGTCTGTACACAATCAAGTCTGGACCAGACAAACACGTGATCCAAAGCATGAGCTCAGGCCCTGCCATGACATGCAATCAGCCAAGAAACTGTGTGTCCTTTGTTTTATGCCACCCTCAGAAATATTGCAGCTATATGGTCTGGGCCAGATGATCCAATGATGGATATTAATAGCAACAATTCACACTGTACAGTACAAGAAACTATCAACCAGGTCACCAAAACCAACCAGACATCGATTTAGTCACCTCCTACGGCCTGCATAGATTACTGAAGACTAATTCTAACCCAGAATCTCTAAGGGGGCCAGGTCACCAAGTCTGATCTCCCATCCATTAAGTCACCTCTTATGGCCTGCATAGATTACTGAAGACTAATTCTAACCCAGAATCTCTACAGGGGCCAGGTCACCAAGTCTGATCTCCCATCCATTAAGTCACCTCTTACAGCCTGCATAGATTACTGAAGACTAATTCTAACCCAGAATCTCTACGGGGCCAGGTCACCAAGTCTGATCTCCCATCCATTAAGTCACCTCTTACGGCCTGCATAGATTACTGATACTAATTCTAACCCAGAATCTCTATGGGGGGCCAGGTCACCAAGTCTGATCTCCCATCCATTAAGTCACCTCTTATGGCCTGCATAGATTACTGAAGACTAATTCTAACCCAGAATCTCTATGGGGGCCAGGTCACCAAGTCTGATCTCCCATCCATTAAGTCACCTCTTACGGCCTGCATAGATTACTGAAGACTAATTCTAACACAGAATCTCTAAGGGGGCCAGGTCACCAAGTCTGATCTCCCATCCATTAAGTCACCTCCTACGGCCTGCATAGATTACTGAAGACTAATTCTAACCCAGAATCTCTACAGGGGCCAGGTCACCAAGTCTGATCTCCCATCCATTAAGTCACCTCTTACGGCCTGCATAGATTACTGAAGACTAATTCTAACCCAGAATCTCTATGGGGGGCCAGGTCACCAAGTCTGATCTCCCATCCATTAAGTCACCTCTTATGGCCTGCATAGATTACTGAAGACTAATTCTAACCCAGAATCTCTACGGGGGCCAGGTCACCAAGTCTGATCTCCCATCCATTAAGTCACCTCCTACGGCCTTCAAAGATTACTGAAGACTAATTCTAACCCAGAATCTCTATGGGGGGGCCAGGTCACCAAGTCTGATCTCCCATCCATTAAGTCACCTCTTACGGCCTGCATAGATTACTGAAGACTAATTCTAACCCAGAATCTCTATGGGGGGCCAGGTCACCAAGTCTGATCTCCCATCCATTAAGTCACCTCTTATAGCCTGCATAGATTACTGAAGACTAATTCTAACCCAGAATCTCTAAGGGGGCCAGGTCACCAAGTCTGATCTCCCATCCATTAAGTCACCTCTTATAGCCTGCATAGATTACTGAAGACTAATTCTAACCCAGAATCCCTATGGGGGCCAGGTCACCAAGTCTGATCTCCCATCCATTAAGTCACCTCTTACGGCCTGCATAGATTACTGAAGACTAATTCTAACCTGGAATCTCTACGGGGGCCAGGTCACCAAGTCTGATCTCCCATCCATTAAGTCACCTCTTATGGCCTGCATAGATTACTGAAGACTAATTCTAACCCAGAATCTCTACGGGGGCCAGGTCACCAAGTCTGATCTCCCATCCATTAAGTCACCTCCTACGGCCTGCATAGATTACTGAAGACTAATTCTAACCCAGAATCTCTATGGGGGCCAGGTCACCAAGTCTGATCTCCCATCCATTAAGTCACCTCTTATAGCCTGCACAGATTACTGAAGACTAATTCTAACCTAGAATCTCTACGGGGGCCAGGTCACCAAGTCTGATCTCCCATCCATTCAGTCACCTTCTACGGCCTGCATAGATTACTGAAGACTAATTCTAACCCAGAATCTCTAAGGGGGCCAGGTCACCAAGTCTGATCTCCCATCCATTAAGTCACCTCTTACGGCCTGCATAGATTACTGAAGACTAATTCTAACCTAGAATCTCTACGGGGGCCAGGTCACCAAGTCTGATCTCCCATCCATTAAGTCACCTCTTATGGCCTGCATAGATTACTGAAGACTAATTCTAACCCAGAATCTCTACGGGGGCCAGGTCACCAAGTCTGATCTCCCATCCATTAAGTCACCTCCTACGGCCTGCATAGATTACTGAAGACTAATTCTAACCCAGAATCTCTATGGGCACCAGGTCACCAAGTCTGATCTCCCATCCATTAAGTCACCTCTTACGGCCTGCATAGATTACTGAAGACTAATTCTAACCCAGAATCTCTACGGGGGCCAGGTCACCAAGTCTGATCTCCCATCCATTAAGTCACCTCTTATGGCCTGCATAGATTACTGAAGACTAATTCTAACACAGAATCTCTACGGGGGCCAGGTCACCAAGTCTGATCTCCCATCCATTAAGTCACCTCTTACGGCCTGCATAGATTACTGAAGACTAATTCTAACCCAGAATCTCTACGGGGGCCAGGTCACCAAGTCTGATCTCCCATCCATTAAGTCACCTCTTACGGCCTGCATAGATTACTGAAGACTAATTCTAACCCAGAATCTCTACGGGGGCCAGGTCACCAAGTCTGATCTCCCATCCATTAAGTCACCTCTTACGGCCTGCATAGATTACTGAAGACTAATTCTAACCCAGAATCTCTACGGGGGCCAGGTCACCAAGTCTGATCTCCCATCCATTAAGTCACCTCCTACGGCCTGCATAGATTACTGAAGACTAATTCTAACCCAGAATCTCTATGGGCACCAGGTCACCAAGTCTGATCTCCCATCCATTAAGTCACCTCTTACGGCCTGCATAGATTACTGAAGACTAATTCTAACCTAGAATCTCTACGGGGGCCAGGTCACCAAGTCTGATCTCCCATCCATTAAGTCACCTCTTATGGCCTGCATAGATTACTGAAGACTAATTCTAACCCAGAATCTCTACGGGGGCCAGGTCACCAAGTCTGATCTCCCATCCATTAAGTCACCTCTTACGGCCTGCATAGATTACTGAAGACTAATTCTAACCCAGAATCTCTACGGGGGCCAGGTCACCAAGTCTGATCTCCCATCCATTAAGTCACCTCTTACGGCCTGCATAGATTACTGAAGACTAATTCTAACCCAGAATCTCTAAGGGGGCCAGGTCACCAAGTCTGATCTCCCATCCATTAAGTCACCTCTTACGGCCTGCATAGATTACTGAAGACTAATTCTAACCTAGAATCTCTACGGGGGCCAGGTCACCAAGTCTGATCTCCCATCCATTAAGTCACCTCTTATGGCCTGCATAGATTACTGAAGACTAATTCTAACCCAGAATCTCTACGGGGGCCAGGTCACCAAGTCTGATCTCCCATCCATTAAGTCACCTCCTACGGCCTGCATAGATTACTGAAGACTAATTCTAACCCAGAATCTCTATGGGCGCCAGGTCACCAAGTCTGATCTCCCATCCATTAAGTCACCTCTTACGGCCTGCATAGATTACTGAAGACTAATTCTAACCTAGAATCTCTACGGGGGCCAGGTCACCAAGACCGATCTCCCATCCATTAAGTCACCTCTTATGGCCTGCATAGATTACTGAAGACTAATTCTAACCTAGAATCTCTACGGGGGCCAGGTCACCAAGTCTGATCTCCCATCCATTAAGTCACCTCTTACGGCCTGCATAGATTACTGAAGACTAATTCTAACCTAGAATCTCTACGGGGGCCAGGTCACCAAGTCTGATCTCCCATCCATTAAGTCACCTCTTATGGCCTGCATAGATTACTGAAGACTAATTCTAACCCAGAATCTCTACGGGGGCCAGGTCACCAAGTCTGATCTCCCATCCATTAAGTCACCTCTTACGGCCTGCATAGATTACTGAAGACTAATTCTAACCCAGAATCTCTACGGGGGCCAGGTCACCAAGTCTGATCTTCCATCCATTAAGTCACCTCTTATGGCCTGCATAGATTACTGAAGACTAATTCTAACCCAGAATCTCTACGGGGGCCAGGTCACCAAGTCTGATCTCCCATCCATTAAGTCACCTCCTACGGCCTGCATAGATTACTGAAGACTAATTCTAACCCAGAATCTCTATGGGGGCCAGGTCACCAAGTCTGATCTCCCATCCATTAAGTCACCTCTTACGGCCTGCATAGATTACTGAAGACTAATTCTAACCTAGAATCTCTACGGGGGCCAGGTCACCAAGTCTGATCTCCCATCCATTAAGTCACCTCTTATGGCCTGCATAGATTACTGAAGACTAATTCTAACCCAGAATCTCTACGGGGGCCAGGTCACCAAGTCTGATCTCCCATCCATTAAGTCACCTCTTACGGCCTGCATAGATTACTGAAGACTAATTCTAACCTAGAATCTCTACGGGGGCCAGGTCACCAAGTCTGATCTCCCATCCATTAAGTCACCTCTTATGGCCTGCATAGATTACTGAAGACTAATTCTAACCCAGAATCTCTACGGGGGCCAGGTCACCAAGTCTGATCTTCCATCCATTAAGTCACCTCTTATGGCCTGCATAGATTACTGAAGACTAATTCTAACCCAGAATCTCTATGGGGGCCAGGTCACCAAGTCTGATCTCCCATCCATTAAGTCACCTCTTATGGCCTGCATAGATTACTGAAGACTAATTCTAACCCAGAATCTCTATGGGGGCCAGGTCACCAAGTCTGATCTCCCATCCATTTAGTCACCTCCTACGGCCTGCATAGATTACTGAAGACTAATTCTAACCCAGAATCTCTACGGGGGCCAGGTCACCAAGTCTGATCTCCCATCCATTAAGTCACCTCCTACGGCCTGCATAGATTACTGAAGACGAGCTAGCAGAGTCTGATCACCTATTTAACAACAACTGTGGTATACTGGGGACCTATTCTAACCCGGAATCCCCGCAAAACACATGAGTGGTCTGTGGTCTGTGGTCTGTGGTCTGTGGTCTGGTAGTATTATGGACTGGGACATTATGTCAATAGTTTCAATGCTGACTCTCACTTCTCTGTCAGTACCAGGAATCCATGTCTGTGTTACACAAAGAATAATGTTTTCTGTCGTATTGCAATAATGTGGCATGATGTATTGCGATACGTACAACAAAAAATTGATATGTTCTTTAGTCATCCACGATTTTGTTGGATGTTGCTATGGTCACGACATATTCCTAACAGACTATTATATACAGGTAGCTGGACACCACTAGCTTCACCTTTTCAGTCACGGGGATCAGTTGCTAATTTCTGAATTTCATTATTTCGATTTGACTTGTAAATATCTTTGCCAAGAAGATGAAATTTGCATGATTTTGAAAAATGCAATACACCGGAATTAACTATTCTCCAAATGTATTGAGATACATATTCATTAGTATATAAAGTCGTGGTATAATACTCTATAACTGCCACCTCCAACAAACCACAAGCATGAGCAGCAGAGGCTGAGACAGACAGTCAGAAGATAAAATTTGAAGAAAATTGAAAATATACTACTTGAAAATATTTACCCTCCACAATATTCTCAACTGCTGCAGGTCATTGTAAAAACAATAAATGTGTTCAGTTTTTTACAATATGACAATTGAAATCAATTACTTATATAATATATAACATATTGAATAAGCAAAAAGATACTCTTTATTAATTACCACTTTTAATAGAATAATGAGCAGATAGACCATAAAAGATGTATCATGCAGAATCACATGCAGACATCAAGTTATAGACGGTCGTATTAGCAGAAGTCAGAGGCGGTATGAAAGTATCCAGCATAGTACAGGCAATATCATATAAGAATTACACACATATTTATGTGTATAATTTCTACTCAAAAGATGTTAAAGAACGCTTGACAGATTAACCATTGTGATGTGAAAGAATTGGTTGTTCTTTAACTTCCTTTGTGTGGTATACTTATAAAGTACCTTTATAAATAATTAACTTTTTAATTTCTGTCCTTTTTGTCACTTATCACAAAAATATTCAAATTACCTCTCAAAATTATGGCAAGAAAAAAATAAACATCTTAGTTCCTTGACGTGTATGATAACAGGATTCCAATACAAATATATTCCATATTTTTCCTTTGGAGTGAATAGATAATTTCTCAATGAGGAAGGGAGCTTATGGATGTCAACTTCTTTATTATGAGGAACACACGTTTCGGAGTATATACTTATTCCTTCATCAGGTGAATAAATGCTATAAGGCAGAGAATATATATATCGACATGTAAGAAGAAAAGTATTAAGATAACAAAAGGCAGAGACAAGGGAAGCCAACAGCTGATTGGCACTCATGACTTCTAACAGATATTTGGCGCTGGTAGGTGATCGTGATGGACAACTGGAAGCCAGGACTTACATTATCACTGATTGGTGACAGGCAATGGACATTGGGCAAACGGGCAGCCAGGGGTACTTAGCATGGAAGTTCTTCCAGGTACATATATATCTTCCCTACCTCATAGCATTCATTCACCTGATGAAGGAGTAAGCATATGCTCCGTAACGCTGTGTTCCTCATAATAAAGAAGTTGACATCCATAAATTCTCTTCCTTATGTGTATCACATCTACATGCCAGTCAAAGACTTGAACATATTGACAGTGACAGAGTTATTGTGTCATTATGTCACATGGAACTTACATCCTGAGCAAGCATCACATAAATGTCCCCAGGTTGACCTACCTTCGCTAGTTGTGCTCTGAGAGCTGACCTGTCGCTTGGCTCGCCGGACAATCCGACCTGGAACACCGAGTGAGTGAGTGAGCTAAACACTGAAGGAATACTTTGAGTTCTAAGTTTTTTATGTTAATCGATGATGTATGGTATTTTCCCAAAAACATATTACTAACAATAAGGTTTGCACTACCCACGTGTACTGAAACAGTTTTGCCCTGAACTATAAAAGCTACAGCACAAGGACACTTGCAGGGGGTAGAGAAAACTTTATTATCCTTCTAAAGCCACATGTATGTCCAACCTTGTGTCTTACTGGAGATGTATTTAAAACCAAATCTCCAACAAGCAGTGCCTGTCGTTAATTGAAAATCCTCAAACAGGGCTCTTATGCCTAAATGCTTGAACCCGTACAGGAAGAGACAACAAAACACACCTGGGTAGTTTGGAGTCTTATATCATCTGTACAATGTGTGATTGTCCAACGCCCCATACAGTTTGTGAGTGAGTGAGTGAGTATGGTTTTACGCCGCTTTTTATAGTAATGCAATATTCAAGCAATATCACGGCAGGGGACACCAGAAATGGGCTTCACACATTGTACCCATGTGGGGAATCAAACCCGGGTCTTCGGTGTGACTCTCCTATAGGTGTTTATCTGGCAGTGTCGGCTAGTTGAAGGTTACCTGGGATGGTGGCTCCTGTCTTCTTCATGGCCTCCACCTCAACAGGTTGTATGTCCGCCCTGAGGATTACCAGTCATGATTGTCAGAAAGTGAATCACTCGACCCCGACCAACATTCTTACAGACTTTGAATAATGAATCCGCTCCTGGCTTGTTTTTCATTATTAGAAAAAACTAATACCGAACCCACAGCTAACTTCAGGCTGTCCAGTAAATATAGTTTGAATGTATGATATTTTGACCAACTGCTTCATCTTTGATGGGTTATAAAACCAAAAAATACAAATAGCAATTTTTAACAGAAAGTGGCTATTGACTTTTGAAACTTGAGATGTGTGCATCCCCTTCAACACTATTTCCTCCAAGCTCCCAAAACATACCTATGTCACTTCCATAACTCTCAGTCTTAAACAAGATGCAACAACCACCAAGTGTCAGGACTGTGCAAGTAACGCTGCTGCAGGAACTAGCAATGAATGATACACAATAACCTCACAGATAACCTTGACCTCTGACAGACATGCCATGTGGTAGGACTTTTAAGTCACGAGCAACTACAAACTTCCATACATATTGTGTCAACCGTGCCCCAGAAACTGACAATAACAAAAGCCTGACTCATCTTGATCCAAACATTCTCAAGGCAGGGCCCCATCCCGGAGAGGGCAAGTACCACGCTTGATGATAAATACTTCCATACTATTAAGAAAGTGTAACAAAATCATTTGGGGTCATTTTGTTTCTATCTCGTGACCTTCACCTTTGACCTCAGAATATGCCGAAGGAAAGTAACTCCAGTAATAGCCCCAACATGGCATTATGGGACAGCGCACAGAAGAGTCTTACTACATAACATTATAGTTTCCCGTTACACAACTTACTCAAACAATGCCGAAAACAAAAACAAACACCGAGCTAGCGAACAATTTTTTCTACATTTTCATGAAAATGACCCTGATGACTTTTTATGTTACAAAAGTAATTCTTGTGGCATTAATCTATATTCTCACTGGCTTACTGACACAAACTAGACAAAAAGTTTCAGCAAACATGAAATATAATATTTTAACACTGGAACAGTTCATAGCCTATATAGCTCCAATACAGCTTCAAATGTTTTTGTTTTTCTAGTTAAACAGAATCTTGTGACTGAGGTGAGAAGATCCCCTACCTCTCGATGCGCGCCTGGAGGTCGAGTTCCTCCGATGCTGCCTCTAGCGGCTGCTGCAGGGCTGACAACTGGTTCTGTACCTCCCGCATCAGGAACCGGGTCACAAACTTCTCCTTTCTGTCTGCCCCCTCATAACTCTGAAATAACAGATTACACTCAACGTATTCATCTGCCCCCTCGTAACTCTGAAATAACAGATAACACTAAACGTATTCATCTGCCCCCTCGTAACTCTGAAATAACAGATTACACTCAACGTATTCATCTGCCCCCTCGTAACTCTGAAATAACAGATTACACTCAACGTATTCATCTGCCCCCTCGTAACTCTGAAATAACAGATTACACTCAACGTATTCATCTGCCCCCTCGTAACTCTGAAATAACAGATTTCACTCAACATATTCATCTGCCCCCTCGTAACTCTGAAATCACAGATTTCACTCAACATATTCATCTGCCCCCTCGTAACTCTGAAATAACAGATTACACTCAACGTATTCATCTGCCCCCTCGTAACTCTGAAATAACAGATTTCACTCAACATAGTCATCTGCCCCCTCGTAACTCTGAAATAACAGATTACACTCAACGTATTCATCTGCCCCCTCGTAACTCTGAAATAAAAGATTTCACTCAACATATTCATGTGCCCCCTCATAACTCTGAAATAACAGATTACACTCAACATATATTCATGCGCCCCCTCATAACTGAAATAACAGATTTCACTCAACGTATTCATCTGCCGCCTCGTAACTCTGAAATAACAGATTTCACTCAACGTATTTATCTGCCCCCTCGTAACTCTGAAATAACAGATTACACTCAACATATATTCATGCGCCCCCTCGTAACTCTGAAATAACAGATTACACTCAACATATTCATGCGCCCCCTCATAACTCTGAAATAACAGATTTCACTCAACGTATTCATCTGCCCCCTCGTAACTCTGAAATAACAGATTACACTCAACGTATTCATCTGCCCCCTCGTAACTCTGAAATAACAGATTTCACTCAACATATTCATCTGCCCCCTCGTAACTCTGAAATAACAAATTTCACTCAACGTATTCATCTGCCGCCTCGTAACTCTGAAATAACAGATTTCACTCAACATATTCATCTGCCCCCTCGTAACTCTGAAATAACAGATTACACTCAACGTATTCATCTGCCCCCTCGTAACTCTGAAATAACAGATTACACTCAACATATTTATCTGCCCCCTCGTAACTCTGAAATAACAGATTACACTCAACGTATTCATCTGCCGCCTTGTAACTCTGAAATAACAGATTACACTCAACGTATTTATCTGCCCCCTCGTAACTCTGAAATAACAGATTACACTCAACATATTTATCTGCCCCCTCGTAACTATGAAATAACAGATTTCTTCCAACATATTCATCTGCCCCCTCGTAAATTCAGGCATCTGAGATCTGTAAAGCAAGTTTTGTACACCACTGAACAACCATCGCTGTGGTCTGAGATCTGTAAAGCAAGTACTGTACACCACTGAACAACCATCGCTGTGGTCTGAGATCTGTAAAGCAAGTACTGTACACCACTGAACAACAATCGCTGTGGTCTGAGATCGGTAAAGCAAGTACTTACACCACTGAACAACCATCGCTGTGGTCTGACATCTGTAAAGCAAGTACTGTACACCACTGAACAACCATGGCATTATGTCTGAGATCTGTAAAGCAAGTACTATACACCACTGAACAACCATCGCATTATGTCTGAGATCTGTAAAGCAAGTACTGTACACCACTGAACATGACCCGTCTACATGAGTCCTCCGGATGAGCTGCAGTACCTTCGATGTGGAGAAGAGCACCCCCGTCACTTTGGCCGACAGATCCTCCAGGGTGCCGTAGATTTGCTTGAAGTCCCCCAGGTGCGTGGCGACGTAGGTGCACAGTTCTCCCGTGTCGATGTTGCTGGAGTAGAGGGAGCAGGCATGTCATCATTATCCCCCATCCTTTTAAACACGTTCAAAACCCACACAATACAGAATGTATGTCATGTTTCTGGTTAAACCAATGAGTTGGTCCAAATGTCTGCGTGTGCATGTACTATAATGCTGAACCCTCGCAGAGTCAAATGTTAATGGTGAGACACCACATAAGGATATCTTGTATTCCTTACATACTTTCTATACCTTACAATCAAGTGAATTAGTAATAGCAGCCTTAGAAATAATTCTTTTTAAAACAACTCCAGAGGATTAGCGTAAACCTTACTTCACACGTCCTCAGAGTTTGTACCTGGTCAATGAGACAAAAATGTTGCCTACTGTCAGTTTTATTAAGTTCTGATTTGTAGCAAAACTGAAGCATTGAGAGCTGGTTCAGAATTATAGCCCTCAAATGGTACCAGATTGTAATGTTACCTTGTACCATGATTCACAGTAGTTTCAAAACTCCAAATGCATGCACGCATTTCCCTATAAAAGTGCAAAATCTTGTACACGATGTTCAACCCCACCTCACCTATCCTTAAATTGTCTTAAACTGTTATTTATATACATATATGTATGTTACAGTGTTACCATGCAGGCAGTAATAGCAATTTGTTGCATCATAGATAGGAGTTCATAATAACCTGATCTGATGTAGATATCCTTACATTGTTGTAAACTGTTATGTATGTATGTTACAGTGATACCATGCAGGCAGTAATAGCAATCTGTTGCATCATAGATAGGAGTTCATAATAAACCTGATCTGATGTAGATATCCTTACATTGTTGTAAACTGTTACATATGTATGTTACAGTGATACTATGCAGGCAATAACACAGATATTAGCATCAAATCATAGTTCACAAGTGAGATCTGATGTGAATAACACATGATCTAATACCCTCAATAAAGAGGGTTTCCACTTGGTGTTTGCCCAGACACTGTACACTGTTTCAAGAGTTTGTTCCAGACAAATTCCACACCAAAATATTTCCCTTATTGTGTTTGTGCAGCGGTAGTGTCATCTTCCCGAGGCAAGAGAGTTAACTGACTATAAAAGTCCAGTTTCCACCCTTGCTGAACTAGGCTAGTATTATGGAGTTACATTTTGGCTGGACTAACGAGTCTATGCATAGTCCAATCAAAATCGTGCACCGAAATCAAAATCAGGTTCGTAAACTGTCATGCAGATTTCGGTCGATTGCAGGATTTGCAAAGCATGTACACCACCAACTCGTTGTCAGCAGAAATTTTCCAAATCTTTTCATGTTTTTAATTAAGGTGCTCATGTGATTTGATGCATTTTCGCGATGTAAGACCCGTTTTATCACGATATAGAACTTGATTATCGATCAGATCGTCCTGACTGGGCGCCACCATTTTGTGTGAAGCAAACGCAAGTGATACGAGAGGTGGAATCTGATTGGTCCATGGGAGAGGTTTAGAAGGGACATAACTGGTAATAGCCACTGGTGGCGCAACGATTGAGCCCAGGAATTCCAGCCTAGTTCGGCAAGGGTGGAAACTTGACTTTTAAAGTCAGTTAACTCTCTTGCCTCGGGAAGATGATGTAGTGTAGACACAACACCACATACACCACAGATGATGTTCACAGATCAACCAGGTCTGACCTAGAACCCTACAACGAGGCTCTTTAACATGTTCAACGCAACTCTTGAAAATCATGCAATCTGACATTAAGTTTGTGTATGGAAGACTGCAAAATATAGTTCAAATATGCTACTTTCCAAAGAAAATATCTCATGGACAAATCTACAAAACCAAAAATTTCATTTTTCACAAGTAAATTCATTTTCTACAAAACCTGAAAATACTCATCACGCTCATGTTTAAGAAAGATATGCTAGATGTCGCAGTGTTCGTGGTGATCGCTCATGTTTAAGAAAGATATGCAGGATGTAGCAGTGTTGGTGGTGATCGCTCATGTTTAAGAAAGATATGCAGGATGTAGCAGTGTTGGTGTTGATCGCTCATGTTTAAGAAAGATATGCAGGATGTAGCAGTGTTGGTGGTGATCGCTCATGTTTAAGAAAGATATGCAGGATGTAGCAGTGTTGGTGGTGATCGCTCATGTTTAAGAAAGATATGCAGGATGTAGCAGTGTTGGTGGTGATCGCTCATGTTTAAGAAAGATATGCAGGATGTAGCAGTGTTGGTGGTGATCGCTCATATTTAAGAAAGATATGCAGGATGTAGCAGTGTTGGTGGTGATCGCTCATGTTTAAGAAAGATATGCAGGATGTAGCAGTGTTGGTGGTGATCGCTCATGTTTAAGAAAGATATGCAGGATGTAGCAGTGTTGGTGGTGATCGCTCATGTTTAAGAAAGATATGCAGGATGTAGCAGTGTTGGTGGTGATCGCTCATGTTTAAGAAAGATATGCAGGATGTAGCAGTGTTGGTGGTGATCGCTCATGTTTAAGAAAGATATGCAGGATGTAGCAGTGTTGGTGGTGATCGCTCATGTTTAAGAAAGATATGCAGGATGTAGCAGTGTTGGTGGTGATCGCTCATGTTTAAGAAAGATATGCAGGATGTAGCAGTGTTGGTGTTGATCGCTCATGTTTAAGAAAGATATGCAGGATGTAGCAGTGTTGGTGGTGATCGCTCATGTTTAAGAAAGATATGCAGGATGTAGCAGTGTTGGTGGTGATCGCTCATGTTTAAGAAAGATATGCAGGATGTAGCAGTGTTGGTGGTGATCGCTCATATTTAAGAAAGATATGCAGGATGTAGCAGTGTTGGTGGTGATCGCTCATGTTTAAGAAAGATATGCAGGATGTAGCAGTGTTGGTGGTGATCGCTCATGTTTAAGAAAGATATGCAGGATGTAGCAGTGTTGGTGGTGATCGCTCATGTTTAAGAAAGATATGCAGGATGTAGCAGTGTTGGTGGTGATCGCTCATGTTTAAGAAAGATATGCAGGATGTAGCAGTGTTGGTGGTGATCGCTCATGTTTAAGAAAGATATGCAGGATGTAGCAGTGTTCGTGGTGATCGCTCATGTTTAAGAAAGATATGCAGGATGTAGCAGTGTTGGTGGTGATCGCTCATGTATAAGAAAGATATGCAGGATGTCGCAGTGTTGGTGGTGATCGCTCATGTATAAGAAAGATATGCAGGATGTCGCAGTGTGCGTCTTGATGCCGGTTAACATGAACAGGTTACTGTACCCAGTGTTGTGCGTGTCGATCTCGTTGAACAAAGCTTTCAGTTCTTCTTTACCCATCACGCCATCAGCAAAGAAGGCAATGAACTCTTCCCAAGATATAAAACCATCATCTGAAATTATATTTGTACATAAATCATACACAAGGAATCCAACATGGCAGTGTTTTCCTGCTGAACAGTTTCTATATACTGTAGAGCCCATCATTGCTAGGGTCATGTATTCTGTCAAGGAGAGTATTTCCACCTGAGAAATCATGTCAGGGGAACCTATCTCCTAGCAAGCTTCTACCAGGAACTGACTGTTTATGTTCAAGGTGTTTTTATAACCGCAGGAATTATTTCCATAGTTTCAAGTATTATTCAAGAGTTATTCAGAGTTTGAAATTGCAAATGAAAGCAAACAGCTCCTTGTTTATAATTTGATATAAATTATAAAAGATAAAGAAGGTTCTTATAGCTAAAATCTATATGATAGCTAAACAATAAATAGGCCCTGAGATCAATTGATGACCTATGTGGAATGAGAATAGAAACAAAACAGATGTAGATCTTGTTTGTATCCACAACAACAACACCACAATCCTGATGTTTACCATACTCTGTAAAACTTTATCTTGGAAGCACTGCCTTCAAACCCTGTGTTGTTACTACCTGCCATACCTACGTTTGTCCAATACAAAGATATCAAAAAATATTTTATGATTGATTCATGGTTCATGGTTCATGTGGTTGGAAACTTACATCAATCAATCATCAATTAATTGAACCTATACCAGATTCACTGCACATTTTTTTACTGCAATCTTAAAGGTTTGGGATAGTTAGTTGTTTGTATACTGCAATATGTAAACTAAGAGAGTACCCACCATCCTTGTCTGCTCTTCTGAACACCTGGGAAAGAAATAAGAATATACTTGTATTATAGGGTTATAGTGAGTCAGTGAGTGAGTTGGGTTTAATGTTGCGTTGAACAGTATTTCAGTTATATCACATCATGTCATCTTCATGTGGGATGAAAGCTCAAAGTGATGCAGGTCTCCGACGTTTACCACTTTGGTGAAACCCACGAGCAGGGAATGGTGCTGACATAGCAAACATGATGTGTCGAACAGTGACGTGTATCCACAATCATAGGTTTCTGGCATACCCAAGGGACACAACTCTGCACAGGCATATTAGGATTAGAATCCCACCAGATGATATCGCTGTCTAGAAATTGATTAAAGTATTTACTACAGCATCATCAGCATATCTTAACACAATGGCCTGTATAACAATGCACTGTATGACAATTGTCCGTATGACAATGGCCTGTATCACAATGCACTGTATGACAATGGCCTGTATAACAATGCACTGAATGACAATTGTCTGTATGACAATGGTCTGTATGACAATGGTCTGTATGACAATGGCCTGTATCACAATGGCCTGTATCACAATGGCCTGTATGACAATGGCCTGTATCACAATGGTCTGTATGACAATGCACTGTATGACAATGGTCTGTATCACAATGGACTGTATCACAATGGCCTGTATGACAATGGTCTGTATCACAATGGTCTGTATCACAATGCACTGTATGACAATGGTCTGTATGACAATGGCCTGTATCACAATGGTCTGTATGACAATGGCCTGTATCACAATGGTCTGTATGACAATGGCCTGTATGACAATGGTCTGTATGACAATGGCCTGTATCACAATGGCCTGTATCACAATGGTCTGTATGACAATGGTCTGTATGACAATGGCCTGTATGACAATGGCCTGTATCACAATGGTCTGTATGACAATGGTCTGTATGACAATGGTCTGTATGACAATGGCCTGTATCACAATGGTCTGTATGACAATGGTCTGTATGACAATGGCCTGTATGGCAATGGTCTGTATGACAATGGTCTGTATGACAATGGTCTGTATGACAATGGCCTGTATCACAATGGCCTGTATCACAATGGTCTGTATGACAATGGTCTGTATGACAATGGCCTGTATGACAATGGCCTGTATCACAATGGTCTGTATGACAATGGTCTGTATGACAATGGCCTGTATGACAATGGCCTGTATCACAATGGTCTGTATGACAATGGTCTGTATGACAATGGCCTGTATGACAATGGTCTGTATGACAATGGCCTGTATCACAATGGCCTGTATCACAATGGCCTGTATGACAATGGTCTGTATGACAATGGCCTGTATGTCAATGGCCTGTATCACAATGGCCTGTATCACAATGGCCTGTATCAGAATGGCCTGTATCACAATGGCCTGTATGACAATGGCCTGTATGACAATGGCCTGTATCACAATGGCCTGTATCAGAATGGTCTGTATCACAGTGACCTGTATGACAATGGGCTGTATCACAATGACCTCTATCACATTGGCCTGTGTCCATGGTATCTGCAGCCCATCTGAGTCATCTTTCACCAAGTATGAGGTACCTACTACTGGCATTGGGAATCACCTAACATGTCAAGATTGATCATTTATTTTGAAAACTAATTGATTATCAATTCATGATCAATCATGAAGAAGAAATAGAGAACTATACATTCTTTCTCAGGATCCTTCATATAAAGAATAATAAATTAATACACTTACAATCATTTTTGTGTTCCTGCATTCTGATAAGCTGAATTGGTCATGTGTTATTGCATTCATTTCCCAATGAATGTCAAAAATTAAGCCACGCCCACCAAGGAGCACTACTTCTATTACTACGAATTGTCAGGGAAGCCCACTATTACCTTTCTGCTCACGTGTATCGTCATGCACAGGACATTTATCTAAATCCATGCATATCCATTGTCCAGACTACCCCAAGAAGGAATGAAACAGCAAACACGCAGGCTCGCTCGCCTGTTTTATTTCCACTCGCCTGGGTTCCACAAATTTCATGTCTTCGGGTTTCATTTCTTACCCGCATTTTTCCAACTGTGTCTTCCCGTTCTCAGGGAACTTATGTTTGAATATGGCGGTAACTGACCTTGTCATTTGAAACAGCCGCCTTCTCCCGGACATATTTGTTCCGGTTCATTACCGCCGGACTGTTGTAGTCCTTCTCGCTTCTTGCCTTCATTGACAGGTCCTTTGTTTTGATTCTACTCTCCAATGAATGTCTACTGACTTTGTGGGCGTGTCAAGTTATGTGCATAAAGTAAACAATCACCTATTCACATCACGCCACAGTATGTATTCCTACACTTGGATTGTTTATCAATCTCATCAGTTTTGTCTGCTTTGATAAATACAACTGTTTTTGGTTAAACTTTTGAAGATAACACATGTTTTCGTTGTTGAATTTAATTATAAGGATTGACTGTGTATTTTGTTCATTGAGGTATGAATCGAAAAACCAATGTGCAAACTTTTGCAGGAATCTGCAAAACTGAAGAAAACACAGCCAATACCTAAATCCTTGTACTTCTGTAAACTTCAGTACAAACACATCCAGTTAGAAATACTGGAATAACAAGCATTGTAATCAACTTTGCATACATCATAAGCCTACATGTTATCATTGGAAATTCCGTCGGGCCTTCTCGACTACCAAACAAAAATTTACAACAAACAAGCAGTCAAATGTTGCGGACATTGTCAGTGTCAGAACAGCAAGACCTCACTGTGCACAAGCCCTGTCATTGCTCTCATCGTGTTGACCAACTGTTGTCTCAGTCTGACATGGAAATACTTCCTCGTAAACTTCTGTCTACAACTAGGCTAAAATGACGACCTCTGATTTGGACGCCACCAGTCCTCATTACCAATGCTAATGCTAGGAATTTAAACCATTACTTACATCCAGAAATATCGACATTCCTCTATCTTCAACACTTTTGTCTGCCATCGTTGTTTGTGGTTATCAGCTGATTGTGTCAGTTGTCAATTTCAGACGAACACAAAACAAATCTGGCTCCAGTTGATTGTACACAAATCACAGTCGTTAGCCAAACCTGCACAGCTCCAAAACGGCCCGATTTTCTCGGCCAAAGCGGAAAAGGTGGACTCGTTTGTTGAAACCCTCATATATGAAGATATTTTTGTGATCGATATGCTACCAAACAATAACTATATTAACCCTGACAGTACCACATCGATAACTGTGCGTTAACCCCCTGGATGCCACAGGGATATATATGTCCCTCCTCTACAACCCTCGATCACTTCGAAGTCGAATATCATTCAAAATACATCACTTCACTTTTCACTAGATCAGTGCCCCTTTAAGGAAAATGTGCGTCAGAAAAAAAAAATCGGCATCCAGAGGGTGAACACAACGTCTTGGACCTGCATCATTTTTACATGGCTTTATGATGAATCATAGCGTTTTGGTGAGTTCGAATCCCGGTTCGCCCCAATTATGTTTCAAGATGTGTAAACACCATACCCGTGCTCGTGGGTTTTACCAGAGAGGTAAACGTCCGAGACCTGCATCACGCCAGACGTACCCCCCAGCTGACACGCTGTGATTTTACTGGAATACTGTTCAAAGCGACTTTAATCCCAACTCACTCATTCACTCATGAAGCGTCTTCAAGGTTAAATTTAAAAAAAATTCTTTGACCTCTGCTTGTTATGAGATAATGACGAAGGCCCGTCAATATATACATGTATAGCTGTCTGGAATAGTGCTGAGAGTGGCCTCAAATAGGGCTGGGACGAGTCCAAATTTACTACCCGGGTACCCACCACGCTCTTACCCGACCCTACCCGGATACCCGCGATATGTCTCAAGACTTGGGTGTAAACTGTCCGATTGGGAATAGCTTGACCGTATAGCTTGGTAAAATGTATTCAGATACACGTATGAAACGATCTGGTCATGCATACACTGAAGTTGCCTGAAGTTTTATCTTTATTCAAACCTAAAAGGTCAGAAGGAATGGCCGGGTGCATGGTCAGAAAGAAATGCGAGCATTAGTGATTTGTAGTGTAACCATAGAGTTTTAGATATTTTTTGTCATTAAACAATATATCACGTGACTAACCACGGGTCCGGGTAGTCCTGTGGGTACCCGGGTCCTACTCAGTACCTAAAATCAAACAGGGTCCTTGTGACAACAATGGTACGTTATTGCGTCGCAAGTATTTCACTTTTTAACACTATTATAAAGTCAACAAGGATATATATGTATGACGTCAACACTCCGTCTCCGCCACTTGTTCTCTGTATCTATCTCGCTGGATAATCGAGAATAAAATTGGAGCCGTTTCAATCAAATTCCTTCATCCGTTTTGGTACTATATACAGTCGTGCATTCCATTTTATTTTGATTGTCAAAGAAGCACAAGAAATACTTATCACAAAACAAACATGAAATATACAAGAAAACTATTTCATTCATGTGTGGTACTTTCTTATTAGGCAGCGTTTTTCTGTTTTCTACGCACCTGCAAATAAGATAGAAGTCTCGTACTTCATCGCTCGTTCTCACGAGAATGTCTCGGTTGTTAGTGAAAACAACATGGCGGCTTACACGGCATCCAGAGCCAGCTATGTTGGGGAAACGACGAAACTACTGCGAGATGGTATGTTACAAGTTGAAAACAGTTATGATTAAGAGCACTGTCTTTATTGTTGAGAACATATTTGAATTCTTATCATTTAACATTGTGGCTTGTTCCATATTTTAGCATCGTACGCTCGAGTGTGATAATCAAGTGTCAGCTGTCATTGGATTTGGTGTTGGTCAATTTGTAAATTACCAGAGGTCAGTTCTCTAAATCAGTAAATATACTTCATGAGTGAAACATATACTTGTTGCTCCAAACAATGAGACTGATCGTATATATGGTGCACTTATAATGGTCGTTGTTTATGTTGCGTTAATTTGTTGCATTAATCAATTCTGATGAATTATATATGTTGTTTTGTTTGTTTACTCCTACTTCTGCTTCAAAGTAAGTTTGATTTTTTGAAAAAACGATCGCCATTATTTGCTGACATTCGCCAACAAAGATGGTATTTGTGGTATACATGTTCTTCCCTAAGCTGTAAACAAATAAATGTTTGTGTTCCTTTCCAAAGGTGTAATGATGCACATGCATTGTATTGGATATCTTTCTGACATGTTTCTTTGATGATACTAATATAGCTGCAGGTGGCAGCATGATTGTTAAAAAATAGAGTGAGAAATCTGTAAATGAGCAGAGTAAATTCTCCACTTTCCCAACTTCAAGTTCCATAAATGTAGGTAACAATCTTATCAGTGACATCCATCAGGGCCACATTTCAACAAACATGTAATTTTTTATACGTTCACAAAAAGATAGATTCTAAAAAAGTAGGTAAGAATTAAAAGAAAGGAAACATAGATAATTAATTTATATATAATAACAGATGAATAGATGGCAAAAAAATGAAAATAAGAAATAAATGAAAACTCACTAACTTACCATGCTTACTGAATGATTGAATAAATTAAAAAAAAGGTAATTTAACAGATACGACTAAAACTTAATAACAGTATGTGCATCTCAGTGGAAAATATTTTACTCATGCTTCGTTCAAGTACATGCAGTTTGGATTTATAGATGGGTATTTGATGTACAGCCTATTTCTCTTTTGATTTTTCAGTTTTTCTTTCACTGATACAGATATGTGTTTCCTGGCAGCCCAAGTGATTGGATTCCCAGGACATGTAATGGGACGTTTACCGGTAGTAATAAACACAAAATGCTAAAAAGCACATGTGTGTACATCAGCAGGCTCGACTGCACTATAATGGTGTAATGGTGTACAGCATACAAGATAGTAAGTGGATCTTTAGCACCATGTTTAGGTTTGACCAATCTCAATCTGAATGATAATAGCTAATATCCTAAATGAATAACCATCACTATTCATGTTCCAGGATTTGGAGTCTACGTGTATGAAAATCAGTTCTTCAGATATGAAGGCCAGTGGCAGAGAGGGAAGAAACATGGTAACTTACTTACTTAGTTGGAGATTTTATGTGCACTTTCCGACTGTGAGTGTATGTCTCACACGGGCCCGCCAGGCCATTAAGGGTATTTGCCGAAAAGGACGGAAATATTTTGCAATCTGATTGGGGGCTTTTAGGGATTGCTCATATAGGAATTTTGAAATTTGGAGATTTGGAATGTATGCCAGAGGGTGGAGAGCCTAAGGGATGTGTGGGTGTTGGTGGGGTTTGGGAGTTTTTCCTATTAAATTATATGTTTATTTTTGGAGAGTTTATATGCGGTTGATTAAGTCTGTTTTGATTAGGTATTTGCCTAGGGCTTTAAAGTGGTAAGACACTGGACTGACTCTTGTACTTCTATATTCATGTACATCGAGATTCTGAGTAGATATAGGATGGGACGATCAGACTCATGACAGTGTTGCATGTGATTGTGCCCAGATGGAGTTGATCTTTGCTCATGTTTCGGTCACTGGTTTACCTGTTCCTGACCTGCTTATCTGTCGTCTGACCGCCATGATATTGATGCGATGCAACTATGCCTCGCTATTTGTATTTTCAGAATCTACATGATTGATTTTGTGTTGTGTTGTATGTTTGAAATGAAATGTTTGTTACTCTGTCTGTTCTAAGAGAAATTAATTGTTTAAACATGAAAGTTGTAGTAGTAGTTGTAGTTGCTGTGGTGGTAGTAGTTGTGTTGGCAGTAGCAGCAGTAGTAGTTTTGTTTGTTGTTTAACGCCACACTCAGCAATATTCCAGCTATATGATGTCAGTCTGTAAATAATCGAGTCTGGGTCAGACAATCCAGTGATTGACATCATGAGCATTGATTTACGCAACTGGGATACGATGACATGCATCAACCAAGTCAGCAAGCCTGACTACCCGATCTCGTTAGTCACCAGCTTTCTGTTGTTATTTTTGTTTTTGATTCCTCTTTCCTTAATCGTCCTTATTCTAATGTGAAATATTATTAAACCTATTTTTTATTCAACAAATTAAGTATGGATCTCTTTTCTGAAACAAGTAGTCCTTTTCTTTTAGGGACACAATTACAGTACATTTGCAATAATCACAGCTATAAAACAGCGTTAGAAATTGGCACTAGTCCTGTAGTCCTTGCCAAACTGCTCAATAGTTAAAGTATCATAAGGACTAGTAGAAATTTGCCGTATTTAGGACTAGTAGACTAAAAATGTCCGTTTCTTCCACTGTAAAATATATTCAAGATCAGGCCGCCATCACATCATGCAGACTCATGCAGTGCGATGTTTCAGGTCATGGTAGGCTGGTGATGAAAGACGGCACCTTCTACGAGGGTCTGTTTGAGAATGGTGAGATTCAAGGCCATGGCTACAAGTACTTCGCTACATCGGGATGCAAGTACACTGGTCAGTTCCAGCGAGGGGAGCTTCATGGCTATGGGATCATGCAGTACAAAGATGGCACCATGTTCGAAGGGGAGTGGGCACACAACAGAAAACAAGGTGGGAGACAAGTACATTATTGGTGATGGTGATGATGATGATCATCATCGTTGTCATCATCATCATCATCGTCATCATCATCATTTCAGTTTTGTTCATTTTCACCCATAAATTATTTGATTAATTAGGTTTCTGGAAATCCATTTGCATATTTCAATATATTTTCAACGACCTGAGCAAAGAAACTGTTAATCGAGACAAATATGCCAGAGTTGCAAAAAAGACAAATCTACTTTGGAATGTCCTGAAACTGTTGATCATGTCAATACAAGTAAACATACATCAGTATTTATCTGTGTTGACGGGGACTACTGTACAGTATTGCCGTCTTCCCAATGTATTAGGTATAGGATAAAACAAACCTCCGAGGTTTTAGTTGAAAATGTAAAACTCCATGCTCGAGGTTCTACATTTTCAACCAAAACCAAGGAGGTGTGTTTTATTCAATTTATGAACTGTCTAAATGCCAGAAATACCAGAAAATATAAGAATACATTGACATACCTTATAGTGAAACAAGACAGTGTGTCACGATATGAAAGGAATTCACTCAAAGCGTATGAGAAAACCATGTGCAGCATGGACCTGCTGGTGTCATGACTTGTAAAATTGAACAACTTCCTATCACCTGCCCCAGTAGCTCAGTGGGAAAACAGTGGGTTACAAAACTTAACACAATATATGAGGTTGCAGGTTCGATTCACGTCATGGAATTTTCATGCAAAAGAAAATTTGACTTTTAACCATTCATCAAACACAATTGTGTTCATATCAAGAGACAAGTTATAAAACATTAATTCTAAGACCTAGGTATAACAATTGAAACGTAAAACCTCAAAGCAGGTTCAGAAGTGACCTATTTCGAAAACCTAGGTTCGGAAGAGAACCACTTCAAAACCTAGGTTTGGAGGATGAGCTGGTTACTAGGGTTACCCGAGGTTGTCAGGAGCCTAACGATGCATAGCGTAATACAGTTCCGGGTGTATAAGGCTTGTTTCTGTTGCTGCAAGGCTTTGGTGTACTCAAGACCGGGGAAAACTCCACGTACGAGGGAGACTTTGTAGGCAGCATGCGGCATGGAGACGGCACGATGATTTACGAGTAAGTTCAATTATCAGACATAGCTAGATTATTAATCTTTTTTGTTCCTTTATTGAATATCATTCATAAGTTCCTTGTAATGGCACTACATCATAGTCAAGACTGTAGAGTCAGTCTCATTTCCTCATTTTTCTTTGTAATGCATAACACTTGTGAAAGGCTGGGTTAGATCTAATGATTTATAGTTTGGCTGGCTATTGATATAAATCTTAGAGATCAATAATCATTAACTAGACAGTGATCAGTTATCAATAAATATTGGAGAAGTAAATATGCAAAAAGCTCAGAGAAAAAACAACATGTTTCATGTCACTGTTGAGTGGTGACACATTTATGTGTGGATTACTTTGTGGACCTTTAGGTTTAACAAAATCAGTTGCTTGCCGTCTTCGGCAATGCTACAAATCAAGTCTGCTTCGGTAAATTAAAACTTTATTTTATCACAATAGATAATATATCGATAACATAATTATCATATAGATAATCATAAATACTTCTTCCCATCGACAGAAATACTGATTATCAATCTTTTAAGCCAGCCCTATTTTTTAGTTTATTATTTTGTTTTAAAAAAACTCTCTTTTTCAAAGTACTATTAAAAACCACATTGATTGTAAGAGAGAGAGAAAATATTGATGTCAACTTGTTTATAATGATGAACATAATGTTTCGGAGTATATACTTACTCCTTCATCCTTCATTCATCTGACGGAGTGAGGCGTAAGCATATACTCCAAAACGTTGTGTTCCTCATAATAGAGAAGTTGACATCCATATTCTCTCTCATGTGAATTCACTTCTAAATGTCAGTTATGTCAATCACTGGGGTTAATTCTTTGCTATCATATTCTAGTTTACTGTTTAAAACACCTAACAGACCAACAATTTTTAGACTTTTTATTGCTTGTCATTGTTCACTTTTACTATAAACAGAAAGCGTTCATTAAAACTAAGCAATATTTGATTGTGTTTTATGTTAAATTTTTACAATACATTTTCGAAAATTCTTACACTTACGGTAGTGTTTTTGAGTTGTTTGAGACTTCTCAGTAAAACCCATCAGGGCTCTCTGAAATATTAATTCTAGATATACATGATATAGATTCTAGATCTACATGATACTGATTCTAGATATACTTGATATAGATTCTAGATATACATGATATAGATTCTAGATAATCATGCTATAGATTCTAGATATACATGATACTGACTCTAGATATAAATCATATAGATTCTAGATATACTTGATATAGATTCTAGATATACATAATATAGATATACATACTATAGATTCTAGATATACATCATATAGATTCTATCTTGCATAGTAGAAGATAGCTTCTTGTAGATTTCGCTTACTTGTGTCGATTTCTTTTCAATAATGTCTACATGCTTTGATGTCTGACATACAATGGTGAAGAGTTGTCTCACTACTAATGAAATGGTTTTAAATTTTATTTCATTCTGTCCACTTGAAGCGGTGTTTACAAAGCGAGGTATAAGCTCTAATACAGCTGTGTGTATGGCAGCTACTCACACCCATGTATACCCATTGTATTGCTATGTCTCCGCTATATCTCCGCTATATCTCCGCTATGTGTCCGCTATGTCTGTCACAGTCTGTGCTTCTTGTATCCAGCCTGCTGCCAGTTGCATGAAATAAGCATGTTGTCTCACACTATGCATTTCTTCCTTCTTCTTTCGATCCTTATGTGGAAACATGCTTGAACAAAGTTTCCGGCTTCTAAAAACATTTCGCTCGAACACATCTCAGCATTACCATGGTCACCACCCCAACAAATGAGTCACGCACTGTAATCCCGTTCGTTGTGACCTTACACGACATGATCGCCTGACTACCCTTTCCCTTCATTCACTTTCTCATCGCCAAGTCGTGGAAATGTGTATTGAGTTTTAGAGAATACACTTTTGCATTTTTTGCATGAGCTGCCTCCTCAGTCGTAATAACATCTACGACACTAATTAAAAAAGAGGATGGAAACAGGACTTGATAAACGCTGGCCTGTAAAACTGCAGACGTAAGTTACTTACTCCACTTCTGATCTGCTTGATCATTGGTGTGATTGTCGCGGCCTTTGCTCCAAGGACCACAGACGTTCCCGGTGTTTACACCTCTCGAAGGAGTCAGGTCTATGTATGCAAGTGCTGCAAAGTGTTGAACATAGTAGAACACAGATCTTCCCCTACCAAGAAGCCTACACATATCACCAAGCAGTGAAACAAAATTCGACATCAGCCAATTAGAAAGCATCTTTCTTTGGCTTATTGCACTCATTTCAACCTGGCGATTTCCATTTCAGACTATGCTTGAAAAATATGTTGACACAGCTCTCGATTAAAATTTTGAAAACTGAACAAACGAACATTCTGGAATGTCTAATACATGGTATATGGTTGCAATTGTATGGCAGTGCTTCCCATGTACTGTGCAACGCTTCCTCTGTTTAAATGCATATTCCCCAGAAGCGAGAGATAGACGATAATTTTGATGGAATCAGTCGTATGGGTCGTTCGGAATACCCCATGTTAACGTTTTCGCGGTGGCAAGATTTGAAAAGACATTCCGACTCACTTTCAAGATCTGGGACGCTGCACTTTGATTGGTAGAATGAAAGGTCGTTATGATGTGACTCGTAATGGAATGTCCTCAGATCTTTGTTCAACGATAGCCAGAACTAAGATCTGATTTTAATGAGATTGATGAAAAAGATGGCTAACGCGTAACAGATAAGAGCTCACGCAAGTAACATGGTACATATCTGATCATGAGCAAGGTATCATGATACATATGGGATCACACAGTTGGTGTATCGTCACAGCCCTAGTATCCCTGGACCTGCTTCAGCTTCAGAAACAGCACCTGGTGGACCAACATAAGAAGCAGCACTGTCAACTGCAATTCATCCCCTCTAAGGATGACCTCCCTGAGGTTATGGCGTTCAGGTGATCAACAGTTACTGTGCACACCCACATCACGAACAACCAGATTTGGTGATCGCTGCTTTGCACGAGCAGCTCCAATGTTGTGGAACAGCCTACCACTTGACATTAGAAGTTCCCAAGACCTGGGCAGCTTCCAGAGCAGACTGAAGACCTCCCTTCAGGAACACTTACTTGTAGTAGAACCCCATCTGTGTTTCCTGTCAGTACTTTTGAGCAGTTTTCTCAACAGGATACCAATGCTTAATAAATGCTTAGTTATTATTATGATTAAAACCAGTTCTTTTCATGGCAGAGGCCGGGGACATTTGCACAAAGTGGCGAAGAGAATGATGTGGCAGGGGTAGTCAGGTGATCATGTCGTGTGAGGTCACAATGCACAGGATTACAGTGCATGACCCCTTTTTTGGGGTGTTGAACAAGGAGATGCTGGGATGTGTTCGGGCGAAATGTTTCCGAATAAGGATCGAAAGAAGAAGGAAGAAATGCTCAGTGTGAGATAGGATAATAAACTAATATATATATATATATATATACAATTTAATGTAAAATTTACAATTCATCACACATATGAAATAACCGTGATGTCTGTCACATGGGACAATGCTAAATTTATCACATATATGAAATAAGGCCACACTTTTTTTCATTTTCTGTTCATGGAGTTCTTCCAGCTTTTCAACACAAGTCAGTCACCAAAAAATTGCTATGTCAATCTTATATTTTTGTATTTATTTATATGCAAGTCATTCTTCTCTGGAATTGAAACTACAGGTGACTTTTGAATCACTGATCGTGATGTAGACATGGGATGTATATGTAGCATGATTTACTGTATAAGAGGATCTATGTTACTAGTGGGAGACATCATACAAATACTTATTTTTGTCTCATTTTCTTCTTGGACTGGAAGCTTTTCAGTAGCGGTGGCAGCCCGTGAAATGAAAAATAAAAACTGTGTTGCCTAAGCATGTTATCTGTGACATAGGACAAGGCTTAAGTCCTCACACTGAATGTACATGTTATCTGTGACATAGGACAAGGCTAAAGTCTCACATGGAATGTACATGTTATCTGTGACATAGGACAAGGCTAAAGTCTCACATGGAATGTACATGTTATCTGTGACATAGGACAAGGCTAAAGTCTCACATGGAATGTACATGTTATCTGTGACATAGGACAAGGCTAAAGTCTCACATGGAATGTACATGTTATCTGTGACATAGGACAAGGCTAAAGTCTCACATGGAATGTACATGTTATCTGTGACATAGGACAAGGCTAAAGTCTCACATGGAATGTACATGTTATCTGTGACATAGGACAAGGCTAAAGTCTCACATGGAATGTACATGTTATCTGTGACATAGGACATGGCTTAAGTCCTCACATGAAATGTACATCTCATCTGTGACATAGGACAAGGCTAAAGTCCTCACATGGAATGTACATGTTATCTGTGACATAGGACAAGGCTAAAGTCTCACATGGAATGTACATGTTATCTGTGACATAGGACAAGGCTAAAGTCTCACATGGAATGTACATGTTATCTGTGACATAGGACAAGGCTAAAGTCTCACATGGAATGTACATGTTATCTGTGACATAGGACAAGGCTAAAGTCTCACATGGAATGTACATGTTATCTGTGACATAGGACAAGGCTAAAGTCTCACATGGAATGTACATGTTATCTGTGACATAGGACAAGGCTAAAGTCTCACATGGAATGTACATGTTATCTGTGACATAGGACAAGGCTAAAGTCTCACATGGAATGTACATGTTATCTGTGACATAGGACAAGGCTAAAGTCTCACATGGAATGTACATGTTATCTGTGACATAGGACAAGGCTAAAGTCTCACATGGAATGTACATGTTATCTGTGACATAGGACATGGCTTAAGTCCTCACATGAAATGTACATCTCATCTGTGACATAGGACAAGGCTAAAGTCCTCACATGGAATGTACATGTTATCTGTGACATAGGACAAGGCTAAAGTCTCACATGGAATGTACATGTTATCTGTGACATAGGACAAGGCTAAAGTCTCACATGGAATGTACATGTTATCTGTGACATAGGACAAGGCTAAAGTCTCACATGGAATGTACATGTTATCTGTGACATAGGACAAGGCTAAAGTCTCACATGGAATGTACATGTTATCTGTGACATAGGACAAGGCTAAAGTCTCACATGGAATGTACATGTTATCTGTGACATAGGACATGGCTTAAGTCCTCACATGAAATGTACATCTCATCTGTGACATAGGACAAGGCTAAAGTCCTCACATGGAATGTACATGTTATCTGTGACATAGGACAAGGCTAAAGTCTCACATGGAATGTACATGTTATCTGTGACATAGGACAAGGCTAAAGTCCTCACATGGAATGTACATGTTATCTGTGACATAGGACAAGGCTAAAGTCTCACATGGAATGTACATGTTATCTGTGACATAGGACAAGGCTAAAGTCTCACATGGAATGACAAGGCTAAAGTCTCACATGGAATGTACATGTTATCTGTGACATAGGACAAGGCTAAAGTCTCACATGGAATGTACATGTTATCTGTGACATAGAACAAGGCTTAAGTCTCACATGTAATGTACATGTTATCTGTGACAAAGGACAAGGCTAAAGTCTCACATGGAATGTACATGTTATCTGTGACATAGAACAAGGCTTAAGTCTCACATGGAATGTACATGTTATCTGTGACATAGGACAAGGCTAAAGTCTCACATGGAATGTACATGTTATCTGTGACATAGGACAAGGCTAAAGTCTCACATGGAATGTACATGTTATCTGTGACAAAGGACAAGGCTAAAGTCTCACATGGAATGTACATGTTATCTGTGACAAAGGACAAGGCTAAAGTCTCACATGGAATGTACATGTTATCTGTGACATAGGACAAGGCTAAAGTCTCACATGGAATGTACATGTTATCTGTGACATAGGACAAGGCTAAAGTCTCACATGGAATGTACATGTTATCTGTGACATAGGACAAGGCTAAAGTACTCACATGGAATGTACATGTTATCTGTGACATAGGACAAGGCTAAAGTCTCACATGGAATGTACATGTTATCTGTGACATAGGACAAGGCTAAAGTCTCACATGGAATGTACATGTTATCTGTGACAAAGGACAAGGCTAAAGTCTCACATGGAATGTACATGTTATCTGTGACAAAGGACAAGGCTAAAGTCTCACATGGAATGTACATGTTATCTGTGACATAGGACAAGGCCGAGAAAGTTGTGGAAGCCTCGGTGGCTGAATGGGTTAGATCGCTGACTTTGTGTGCTGACGATTAGGTGCTACACTCTAGCCGTGTGGGTTTGAATCCCGGACGAGACTCAACCCCCCAAAAAGTACTAGAATCCGTACATTACTCAGAAAGTGTTATCCCAAATATAACATTTGTTACATTTGACCACTTTCTAAATGTCATTGTTTGTTTATGACAGAAAGAGAGCTGTCACACAAATTTCAAACCAATATTAGTTTCTGTAGCTTCACAATGTGACGATTTGAATTGGGCCAAACAGAACCCATACGATACCTTTCCTTTTTTTAAGAGGAAACGTTTAATTGATTTAATCATGACCAGTTGTGTCCTGCCAGTAGATATGGTAAAAAAATTAAATCTACATGTGTTTTATTCAGATAGTATATGTTTTGTTTTTAAACTGATAATTATGAAGCTCAGAAATATCAATGCATTGTCTTTGCTAGTTGACATTACTTGTGAATGCAACTTCAGTAATGTTTAACCTTGTGTCTTCTATTGTTCCATCACGATGCAACTTAATGTATGTATGTAGTAGGAAGCAGGAAGTGAGGATTTATACTTCTCTGCGGCCAATATACAAAACTTGGCCTAAAATAAGTTAGGAAACATGTGGAGTTACTCTGTAAGCCAGAATGTTTGTCATAAGATGTGATTCACCTACTCTTTACAATCCATCTTCCTCAACCAAATACAATTTAAGACTGAATAATAAAATCAACTTTGTTTGGTTCCAGTTAGAGCTGAAACAATGTGATAGATTGCCCAGAGAAGGTTTTAACATCAAGATTTCACAAATCACCCCATAATATTCATTCATTCATGCAAGAACCAGTGTTACCATGGTTACTGTTGACAAAACTCTAGGGTTGGGTAACCATGGTAACATGAACAAAGAAAGTTCTTTTTTTTTTGTCTGAAAATTATCTTCGACTCCTGAGGTGTCATGAAATAATACATTAGTTTGCATCGTGGGGTTAATGGTTGAATATATGGCTCGGATTGCTAACACAATTACCTAGTATTTAGCATGTATATATTCTTTGTCGTTGTACTAACACAGATTCCAACCAATCTTATACTACTTGCCACATTGTTTTCAAAGTTTTAGCAGTTATGAAAATATTGTCTAATTTTCAGAAATAAATGAACCAGGTCACTCCAACTGATAATACTGGTTCACTCTGTACTGAAATTCTTTATTCAACTTGATATGAATGAATATCTTTATTTCCTAAGATATTAAAGTCACTGGCCTTCATTCTCTACATCCCAGTCTGGCTTGTATAATGTCTGACTAACCCGTCAGTGTTGTGGCTACCCAACAGTGGTATTGTGTCATCTCAATATTATTCTCTTATCAATCGTTTTACGTTGTATGACAATACGAGAAAGTATTATACATCTTTATCTGTGGTGTAAGAATAATGCTGACACAACCAGCTGATCTGTTACCAAAACAGTTGATTGATATATATATATATACGCCACTTGATTAACACTTAAAGAACAAGTTTGTTGTTGTTTTCCGTGCGATTGTCGATGTGGTAAGTACGGGAAGTACAGAGGTATGGTATTATATCCATAGCTGGTGGTGGGTTCATGTCCATTTTCCTGAGTCAAGGGGTTAACTGACTAGAATAGTCCAGTTTCCACCCTTGCCGAACTAGGTCGCAATTATGGGGTTATCTTTTGGCTGGACAAATGAGTCTATGCATAGTCCAATCAAAATCGCGTAACCAAATCGGCATCAGGTTCGTAACTGCCATGCAGATTTCGGTTGATTGCAGAATTTGCAAAGCATATGTACCAACAGCTTGGTGTTGACAGATATTTTGCAAATCTTTTCGTGTTTTTTATCAAGGTGCTCACGTGATTTGATGAACTTTGCAAGTAAGACCCTTTTGATTACAATATAGATCTTGATTATCGACCAGACCGTTTTACTAAGTGCCGCCATTTTGTTTGAAGCAAATGCAAATGATATGAAAGGTGGAATCTGATTGGTCAGTAGGAGGGGCATAACTCGTAATAGCCATGGGTGGCACTACAATCAAGCCTGGAAATTTCAGCCTAGTTCGGCAAGGGTGGAAACTGGACTTTTATAGTGAATTGACTACATTGCCTCGGGAAGATGGTTCATGTCATTCTTGGCCTGTCCACCCATCTGTGAGCTCGTCACCATCCCATGATCTGCATCACATCACACTTTCCTCCACGTCAAGCTGACATGCCGTTATGTAACACATACTGTTCAAATCAGCATTAAACTCAAATATTTACTGTAATATTCATCACAGTTATAGTTATCATTTGTGAACTAAATACTGGACACATCCTTGAACAAGGCACAGCCGACTGGAATGCTGCCCTAATAGCATGTAGTGTCAAATGTTACCTGAAGATATTCTCAGGTTGGTGAAGATGACATAAAGTAGATCAAAATGGGGGCCCAGTGGTCCAAGGCACCACAATTTGCTGTGCAGAGTTGCGTCCCTTGGACATACCAGTTACCTATGATAATGACTTTGAATCCTGGTTCACCCTAATGATGTTTCTTGGTTTGTCAGCACCTACTGTGTTCCTGGGACTCACCAAAGTGGTAAATGTCTAAGACCTGCATCACTTCGGGCTTTCCTCCAACATTACGCTGACACGCCGTGATATAACTGAAATACTGTTCGAAGCGGCATAAAACCAAACTATCTCACTCACTCACTCAAAATGAATGAATATACATTGTTGTATTTCTGCTAAACCATGTCTCCTTGATGATATTCCTCAGTGTTTGAAGAAAACGTGTCTGGGTGTTAATGACATTTTCTGATTATGCTGGTATAGTCAATATATCTTATAGTGTGTAACAAGATCCCCGGACGTTTATTTCAGTAACGGTGATAGGTACGACGGCAACTGGGTGATGGACAAGAGACAAGGTCAAGGACATCTCATCTGTCGAGATGGTACAGAGTATGAGGTAATAGTATACAAATATTACTCTTGTTGAAAACAAGGACTCAAGAACCCGAGCGTGACACGGTCTGACCAGACCGAGGCCGTAGACCATAGTCTGGTCCGACCACTGATGGGGTCAGGTCTGATGGTCCTTGTCTTCACTTAGTGACTTCATCAAGAGTAATCAGTTGTATTGTTATTCTGAAATTGTGCTTAATATCTCCTTTCTTGTCCCTGTTGTCAGGCATTTGAACGAGAGCTTCTTCAGACTGACGTGTGTAACATGCAGCGCAATACTGCCTGACTCCATGTTGTTTCCACCAGACAAAGTCAATTGTGATCATGTGACATCAGTAGTCACGGTCTGTATCAGTCACATGGTTGGACCAAGGCTGTCCTCTATGTCTAAGACTGACCTACGTGTCTATAAGGCTGACCTCTATGTCTAAGACTGACCTACATGTCTATAAGGCTGACCTCTATGTCTAAGACTGACCTACATGTCTATAAGGCTGACCTCTATGTCTAAGACTGACCTACGTGTCTATAAGGCTGACCTCTATGTCTAAGGCTGACCTACATGTCTATAAGGCTGACCTCTAAGTCTAAGGCTGACCAATATGTCGAAGGCCAATATTACAAGGGTGACTACATGTCTAAGGCTGACTTATACGTGTAAGGCATACCTTTGACCTATGAACTAAGGCTGACCTATATGACTAAAAGGGATATCGCTAAGTCTGACTACATGTCTAAGGCTGACCTACATGTCTAAGGCTGACCTTTATATCTAAGGCTGACCTCTGTGTCTAAGGCCAATATTATAAGGTTGACTACATGTCTAATGCTGACTATATGTCAAAGGTTGACCTATATGTCTAAGGCTGACCTTCATGTCTAAGGCTGACCTACATGTCTAAGGCTAACTACATGTCTAATGCTGACTACATGTCTAAGGCTAACCTTCATGTCTAAGGCTGACCTACATGTCTAAGGCTGACCTATATGTGTAAGACTGACCTACATGTCTAAGGCTGACCTATATGTCTAATGCTTAATTCCTGACCTACATGTCTGAAGCTAACCTTTGTGCCATATGATGTCCAAGGCTATTTACTGTTGCAGGGTCAGTGGCTAAATGACATGTTCCATGGTGAGGGCAAGATGACACATGCATCCGGCATCATCTACGAAGGTCAGTGGGTCAACGGCTACCCAGTGGAGATGACCACAAAGATGGCAATCGTCATGGACACAGAATCACTGGAACTCACCCAAGGTCAGACATTCTCGGTCAAGGTGGAATGTCACAACGACCTGGGTGAGGTCATTCAAGGTGAGTCCCGGTACAGATCATGCCATGTGAGTGAGTTAGGTTAGCATTTCAGTTATATCACAGCGTGTAGGTTTAATGAGGGATGAAAATCCGAAGTGATGCAGGTCTTGGAACATTGTCACTTCAAGAAACCCATGAGCTGATGACATGGTGCTGAAAGAACAAGATTCAGAAACAAAGTGATGAAGGTCATTTATTGTAACCTACAAGTGGGTGTGGTCCTGAAAGAACAAGATTCAGAAAGTAATGTAGGTCATTTATTGTAACCTACAACTGGGTGTGGTGCTGACAGACCAAGATTCAGAAACAAAGTGATGTAGGTCATTTATTGTAACCTACAACTGGGTGTAGTGCTGATAGACCAAGATTCAGAAACAAAGTAATGGAGGTCATTTATTGTAACCTACAACTGGGTGTAGTGCTGATAGACCAAGATTCAGAAACAAAGTAATGGAGGTCATTTTTTGTAACCTACAACTGGGTGAGGAGCTGACAGACCAAGGATGATATTGTGTCAAATCTGGGATTCGAACCCGTGGCAAGCAAATCCTGGCTCAGACACTCAGTCACCATGCTATCTCCCTCTAGCACAAAGTCTCCAACTAACATCACTCCAGTTTCTATGTCAATATTTGATCCATGAAAGCAAAAACATGACATGTTCTATGAAGGACAACAGGATCCAAATGATGCATCAATTACTGTTGACAAAGGGTCAGTTATTGTGTTAATCTCATGTTTGACACTTGCCTTCTGGATACATAGTCTCACCTGTCAGTGAAGTGTTTCTTCCTGTCCTATATGGTTTGATGCTCGCAATCCTGATGTGCATGGGGAAGATGTTACTCTGTAACCACGGTAACCGGAAAGGATATGTTTTACCCAAATGTAATAATTCTTGTACAATGCAGGTCTTTTCTGTCATTGGAATAATTCCAGGAATCTTCTGTTAAATGTAATGGCAGAAAACAAACAGATTGTGGGAATTCTCTAAATTTGAATTGTTTTCAGATCAAGGGAGAGAACTGCTGGTATCAGCTGGCTTCAAGTACTACCCCACCAAGGAGGGCTCGGCACTGTTTGACATGATAGAGCAGGTGGAGGAGAAACCTATTGAAACACCTTTGTAAGTCCACAGTTGACACTGGAGTTGTTTATGACTATATTGTCATAATGTCTGGTATGAAAATATGAATATCTACCTAGAGACATTAAGTATAAGCAAGACCAGCTAATTCCTATCTGTATATTACAGATATATTACTCATACTCAAGAGATATTAGACTGGTTAGAAGCACAAACGGACATACTGTGAACCGACACTCATGAACGCATCACATGTGACGTCATAGATCCATGGCTTGAGATGCACCATTTGTCTCATGCAGGGTTAGCGTGTAAGTTTGGAAATCACGTGTAGCGTATTGTGATAAGAAAAAAGACACTGTGGTATCACTTTAACTGATTGTTAGTTTTGTCATTGACGGTACACATTGGAAACAGCTTTTCCTAATGCACATGATTCTCTATATAACACCTTAGCGCACGTGTGCTGTTGTTGTAGTGGCTACTCGATCGTGCATGATTCTCTATATATAACACCTTAGCGCACGTGTGCTGTTGTTGTAGTGGCTACTCGATCGTGCATGATTCTCTATATATAACACCTTAGCGCACGTGTGCTGTTGTTGTAGTGGCTACTCGATCGTGCATGATTCTCTATATATAACACCTTAGCGCACGTGTGCTGTTGTTGTAGTGGCTACTTGATCGTGCATGATTCTCTATATATAACACCTTAGCACACGTGTGCTGTTGTAGTGGCTACTCTATCGTACATGATTCTCTATATACACTAAGCGCACGTGTGCTGTTGTAGTGGCTACTCCATCGTGCCTGATTCTCTATATACACTTAGCGCACGTGTGCTGTTGTTGTAGTGGCTACTCCATCGTGCATGATTCTCTATATACACTTAGCGCACGTGTGCTGTTGTAGTGGCTACTCCATCGTGCATGATTCTCTATATAACACCTTAGCACACGTGTGCTGTTGTAGTGGCTACTCCATCGTGCATGATTCTCTATATAACACCTTAGCACACGTGTGCTGTTGTTTTAGTGGCTACTCTATCGTACATGATTCTCTATATATAACACCTTAGCACACATGTGCTGTTGTTGTAGTGGCTACTCCATCGTGCCTGATTCTCTATATAACACCTTAGCGCACATGTGCTGTTGTTGTAGTGGCTACTCGATCGTGCCTGATTCTCTATATAACACCTTAGCGCACATGTGCTGTTGTTGTAGTGGCTACTCGATCGTGCCTGTTTAGCTATATAACACCTTAGCGCACGTGTGCTGTTGTTGTAGTGGCTACTCGATCGTGCCTGATTCTCTATATAACACCTTAGCGCACGTGTGCTGTTGTTGCAGTGGCTACTCTATCGTGCATGATTCTCTATATATAACACCTTAGCGCACGTGTGCTGTTGTTGCAGTGGCTACTCCATCGTGCATGATTCTCTATATACACTTAGCGCACGTGTGCTGTTGTTGCAGTGGCTACTCCATCGTGCATGATTCTCTATATACACTTAGTGCACGTGTGCTGTTGTTGCAGTGGCTACTCTATCGTGCCTGATTCTCTATATACACTAAGCGCACGTGTGCTGTTGTTGTAGTGGCTACTCCATCGTGCATGATTCTCTATATAACACCTTAGCACACGTGTGCTGTTGTTGCAGTGGCTACTCTATCGTGCCCTACCCACTGACTGACCACATGAACACAGACGGGGAGAAGGAAGCGGAGGGGGAGAAGAAGGAGGAGGGGGGTGAGGTCAAGGCCACACCTGAACTAGAGGCTCCACCCAAGGGAGATCAAGGAGGTATGGCTGACAATTGTCAAATCTTAGGATAATCTGAACAGTTTAAGGTCCAACCACACACTCCAGACAGATGGAAAACCGATAGACCTGCTGCAAGTTTCTGGCAGGTGTTTTTTTCCTGTTTGTCTCCAGTCTTTGTAATTTCATGATAATTTAAACAGACAGTTGCTAGCTAGGTGGTGGTTATTTTCTGTTAACCTGATTATATAAAACACCTGTTATCCCATTATCTAACAGCAGGAGGCAGTGGTCAAGTGATCAAAGTCTGCACCACCTGTGTACAATGTGTGAAGCAGATTCTTGACATCAACCACCATAGTATGGATGGAATATATCTATGGAAGGTGTAAAACAATGCACACTCACTATATCTCAAAGTGAGTGAGTTGGCTTTTATGCCACTTTGCAATATTCCAGTAATATCACAGCAGGGGACACCAGAATCAGAAATGGGCTTCACACCCTGTACCCATGTGGAGAATCGATCTCGAGCCTTCGGTGTGACAAGCGTAACATTGACCACCAGGCCACCAGTGTCTGGAAATGAACCCACAGTATCATGTGCATGTTTATATATATTGCCCATTTGTCACTTGAAGAGGAGGAACAGGAACAAGACGAGGAAGGAGGAGAAGAGAAGGGGGAGAAGGAGGCAGCTAAAGAGGGAGGAGGAGAAGAAAAGGGGGAGAAGGAGGCAGCTAAAGAGGAAGGGGAGAAGAGCAGAGTTATGTCTCCAACACAAGAAGCAGCACAGGACCTTGTCACAGGTAGGTCTTTCTTTTCGGTATTGTCATCAGTATTGGCCTTGATATTGTCATCAGTATTGTTATCAGTATTGACATTAGTACTGTCATCAGTATTGTCTTCAGTATTGTCATCAGTATTGGCATTAGTACTGTCATCAGTATTGACATAAGTACTGTCATCAGTATTGTCATCAGTATTGGCATTAGTACTGTCTTCAGTATTGGCATCAGTATTGGCATTAGTATTGTCTTCAGTATTGTCATCAGTATTGGCATTGTCATCAGTATTGTCTTAGGTATGTTCTTCAGTATTGGCATTAGTATAGTCTTCAGTATTGTCATCAGTATTGCCATTAGCATTGTCATCAGTATTGTCTTCAGTATTGGCATAGTACTGTTATCAGTATTGTCTTTAGTATTGTCTTCAGTATTGGCATTATCATTGTCTTAAGTATTGTCATCAGTATTGCCATTGACATTGTCATCAGTATTGGCATTAGTACTGTCATCAGTATTGTCTTCAGTATTGGCATTAGTATTGTCTTCAGTATTGTCATCAGTATTGCCATTGGTATTGTCATCAGTATTGTCTTCAGTATTGGCATAGTACTGTTATCAGTATTGTCTTTAGTATTGTCTTCAGTATTGGCATTAGTAATGTCATCAGTTTTGTCTTCAGTATTGGCATCAGTATTAGCATTAGTACTGTCGTTGGAATTGTCATCAAGCATGCTTGCCAACTTCCTCAAACATTTGATATGTTTTTCACACAAGATTTCATTGTTTTTGCCCACCATTTTACAATCTGTTAATTAGGAATAGGGAAGGTAACATAGTTTTTTTAAGAGAAATAAACAGCTTGTAGAGATTCAGATATTTTCACATACACTTAGTAGATTTGCTCTACAACCATTTGCAGATGCAGAGGGGGATAGCAGGAGGGCACACGCACACCCCCCCCCCCCCCCCCACCCCCCCCCCACCCCCCCCACACTCACACACCTATCCCCACACATACACCCCTACCCCTAACCCCAACCCCCAACCCCCAACCCCCCCCACACCCCCCACACCCCTCCCCAGCCCCACCACCACCCCCCCCACCCCACCCCACCCCCACCCCCCCCCCCACCCCCCCACCCCCACACACACACACACAACGATTGTCAAATCTTAGGATAATCTGAACAGTTTAAGGTCCAACCACACACTCCAGACAGATGGAAAACTGATAGACCCCCCCCACACACACCCCTACCAACTCACACACACCCCTACCCCCACACACACTTTCCAACAAACATTTGATGTCGGTATTTTTACTGACATTTTACAATCACTAAATTTGGAATAAAAAAAGGTTTTTAAAATGAAGAAATGTATTGTTTCACAACTTAACACAAATGTATTGTTTCACAACTGAATGCATGTTAATCCTATCTTTAGAACCAACCACAGAGGACTGTGCACCTCTACCTACAGAAACCACGCCTCTTCCTCCCCCTGTAGCCAATCAGAGGACAGTGGATGGAACTTGTGAGTGGAGCTGCCTCCAGCTGGCCCCGCCCCCTCCAATGTACCGCCCATTCCTGGCCATGGAGGAGGAGGCAGGACAGAAGAAGAGCAAGTCCAAGAAGTTGGGCCAATCAAAGGACAAGAGCCTGGATAAGCTAGGTGTGCCACCTTCATCACTCATGCTGTTGCAACATCTGTCAAGACAATTCCAGACATATTTTGTGGCCATTTTCTATTACAAGCATTTCTTGTGGCATGCATTACACTTCAGATTACAGCATTATCTCCCTTTACTTTCCAGCCATGCTCCCTTCATGGTCACTTTTGCCATTCCAAGGACAAGACAAATGTCGGCCTCTCAATGGCATTGTATTGACTGAGATCTGTGTTAGGGCAGGAGGGCATATAGATGGGGTGTAGTCAACTTGTTCACCTCCTTGTGATGTTACTGTGTCATGTCACACAATTGTTTCTTTAAAGACAGGTTGGACTTAGGAGGATATTCAGTGTGGTTCAACACTTGGAACTGTCACATGGCTACAGTTTGAGAAAGTACGCATTGAGGCAGCACAACTATAATGGATAGGAAGTACTTAATGGTCATTACACCACACACTCTGATTGGTTTGTTATGTTTTTCTGCATAACATTGATCAGCAGGGTGACGAGTATACCAGCAGGGTGATGAGTATACCAGCAGGGTGACGAGTATACCAGCAGGGTGACGAGTATACCAGCAGGGTGACAAGTATACCAGCAGGGTGACGATATTATCAGCAGGGTGACGAGTATTTCAGCAGGGTGACGATATTACCAGCAGGGTGACGAGTATACCAGCAGGGTGACGAGTATACCAGCAGGGTGACGAGTATATCAGCAGGGTGACGAGTATATCAGCAGGGTGACGATATTACCAGCAGGGTGACGAGTATACCAGCAGGGTGACGAGTATACCAGCAGGGTGACGAGTATATCAGCAGGGTGACGATATTATCAGCAGGGTGACGATATTATCAGCAGGTTGATGAGTATACCAGCAGGGTGACAAGTATACCAGCAGGGTGATGAGTATATCAGCAGGGTGACGATATTATCAGCAGGGTGACGAGCATATCAGCAGGGTGACGAGTATATCAGCAGGGTGACGATATTATCAGCAGGTTGATGAGTATACCAGCAGGCTGACAAGTATACCAGCAGGGTGACGATATTATTCAGCAGGTTGGTCAGTATATCAGTATATCAGACAGTAACTACTTGGAGTTGCATTTACTACCAGTAAAGCTTGGAGGTCAAGTTACGTATATATTCGCGGGGCGTTTTTGTTTTTGCAGAGAGTTTTTGTATCTGATTCTTTTATTTCAGATGGTAAACATTCCAGAAAAGACGGCAGGGATAAAACAAGTTCGGAAAATATTATGGATGAGAAATTTGCTCGACCAGGTATTTCTGATACAATTCAATGTGAATGTGGAAGCGTGTTACTGTTTGTTTAACTTGTACATGACCAGACAGAACTAATGTGTTCCAAATACACTCTGTGGATCAGACATGTTTCAATCAACGATTGATGATAATTCCTCTTGGTTCTCAAGAAATGTCTGGTGACAAGTCAGACGGCAATAAGGTCAAGACTTGTGGAACCCCATGTCAGGCAAACTAATATATCTGGTGACCAAGCACCAAGCGATCTTAGCGCTAAGATGAGCATAACTCCCAAACTTTGACATAGGCTTACAATAGTCTTAGCGCTAAGATGAGCGTAACTCCCATACTTTGACATAGACTTACCAATAGTCTTAGCGCTAAGATGAGCCTAACTCCCATACTTTGACATAGGCTTACAATAGTCTTAGCGCTAAGATCGCTTTGTGCAAGTGGGCCCAGGAGTGTCACACAAACTGTAGTTTGTTGTCAATGATTTCACATGGAGGTACATGCTAGTTTGTTTGCTTTCCAGGAGATTATGTCATAATGGTTCAAGACGTCACCAACCCAGTATTTCTCCGTGGTCCACTCCCGCCAGCATTCATGCTCATCACACTCCAGAAACCTAAACTAAAGAAAAAAGACTCAAAACCAAAGTAGGTCACCTTGTCTTTATTTCACCTTGGAGCACCCTAACAACCCGTGACCTCTGACCTGACCCTGCTGACCTGCCCTTCACATACCCGATCTCAGTGACCTTCACCTTTGCTGCAGTGGAAATGGATTAACTATGCATGAACATTTGATTTGAGCACAGTGCTTATTGCATGAGTAGCACTATGGATTATGGGATTATTTATTAAACTTAGATTGTTTGAAGGAGAAAGATTATGATCCACTTTAAAGTTCTACTATGTTCATTTGAGTTAATATATTTGCATTGGTCTAAAATACAAATTTAATTTCTTATTTTACAGATTTTTATTTCAATTTGAAATATACTGACCTAAATGTCTCTTATCACGTGGTAACGAAAGTTAGTTCCTCTCGTCCCGTCTTCATCAGTATTTTCAAATTGATATATCTTGATGTGTCAACCAATGTTGTATTCTGAAAATTATGAAATTAATGCATCACCAATTTATTGAAGTGTCGACCCCTGACCTAGAATGTGTCATGAAATCAGTGCAAGTAGCCCTACGCTTAAACTTTTAAATCTAATCAGCAAATCATAACACCGAGACTGTAGACTTAGTGACAGAGTATATGGGGTGATAACTGATTGATTGAATAATATCCTCACTAACTCGACTTCAACTGCTTGAGATGTGATCAAACGTCCATGAAATCAAAAGCAGGAAATTCTGAATGAAGACATATTCAAATGAGATAGGTCAGGTCACCCAGAGACCATATACCACCGACCAAGATTTACCAAGGTTCTAAGTTTTACATGAGTTACTGTACTGAATATATTCACTACGTGGGGGTGCAGTGTTATGTATACACTACATGGGGGTGCAGTGTTATGTATACACTACTTGGGGGTGCAGTGTTACGTATTCACCACAACTGCTGTTACTGTACTGAATATATTCACTACGTGGGGGTGCAGTGTTATGTATACACTACGTGGGGGTGCAGTGTTATGTATACACTACTTGGGGGTGCAGTGTTACGTATTCACCACAACTGCTGTTACTGTACTGAATATATTCACTACGTGGGGGTGCAATGTTATGTATTCACTACGTGGGGGTGCAGTGTTACGTATTCACCACAACTGCTGTTACTGTACTGAATATATTCACTACGTGGGGGTGCAATGTTATGTATACACTACGTGGGGGTGCAGTGTTATGTATACACTACTTGGGGGTGCAGTGTTATGTATACACTACTTGGGGGTGCAGTGTTACGTATTCACCACAACTGCTGTTACTGTACTGAATATAATCACTACGTGGGGGTGCAATGTTATGTATACACTACGTGGGGGTGCAGTGTTATGTATACACTACGTGGGGGTGCAGTGTTATGTATACACTACTTGGGGGTGCAGTGTTACGTATTCACCACAACTGCTGTTACTGTACTGAATATATTCACTACGTGGGGGTGCAGTGTTATGTATACACTACGTGGGGGTGCAGTGTTATGTATACACTACTTGGGGGTGCAGTGTTACGTATTCACCACAACTGCTGTTACTGTACTGAATATATTCACCACGTGGGGGTGCAGTGTTATGTATTCACCACAACTGCTGTTACTGTACTGAATATATTCACCACGTGGGGGTGCAGTGTTACGTATTCACCACAACTGCTGTTACTGTACTGAATATATTCACCACGTGGGGGTGCAGTGTTACGTATTCACCACAACTGCTGTTACTGTACTGAATATATTCACCACGTGGGGGTGCAGTGTTACGTATTCACCACAACTGCTGTTACTGTACTGAATATATTCACCACGTGGGGGTGCAGTGTTACGTATTCACCACAACTGCTGTTACTGTACTGAATATATTCACCACGTGGGGGTGCAGTGTTACGTATTCACCACAACTGCTGTTACTGTACTGAATATATTCACCACGTGGGGGTGCAGTGTTACGTATTCACCACAACTGCTGTTACTGTACTGAATATATTCACTACATGGGGGTGCAGTGTTATGTATTCACCACAACTGCTGTTACTGTACTGAATATATTCACCACGTGGGGGTGCAGTGTTATGTATACACTACGTGGGGGTGCAGTGTTATGTATACACTACTTGGGGGTGCAGTGTTACGTATTCACCACAACTGCTGTTACTGTACTGAATATATTCACTACGTGGGGGTGCAGTGTTATGTATACACTACATGGGGGTGCAGTGTTATGTATACACTACATGGGGGTGCAGTGTTATGTATACACTACTTGGGGGTGCAGTGTTACGTATTCACCACAACTGCTGTTACTGTACTGAATATATTCACCACGTGGGGGTGCAATGTTATGTATACACTACGTGGGGGTGCAGTGTTATGTATACACTACGTGGGGGTGCAGTGTTATGTATACACTACTTGGGGGTGCAGTGTTACGTATTCACCACAACTGCTGTTACTGTACTGAATATATTCACTACGTGGGGGTGCAGTGTTATGTATACACTACATGGGGGTGCAGTGTTATGTATACACTACATGGGGGTGCAGTGTTATGTATACACTACTTGGGGGTGCAGTGTTACGTATTCACCACAACTGCTGTTACTGTACTGAATATATTCACTACGTGGGGGTGCAGTGTTATGTATACACTACGTGGGGGTGCAGTGTTACGTATTCACCACAACTGCTGTCACTGTACTGAATATATTCACTACGTGGGGGTGCAGTGTTATGTATACACTACATCTGCTGTTACTGTACTGAATATATTCACTACATGGGGGTGCAGTGTTATGTATACACTTCAACTGCTGTTACTGTACTGAATATATTCACTACATGGGGGTGCAGTGTTATGTATACACTACATCTGCTGTTACTGTACTGAATATATTCACTACATGGGGGTGCAGTGTTATGTATACACTACATCTGCTGTTACTGTACTGAATATATTCACCACGTGGGGGTGCAGTGTTATGTATACACTACAACTGCTGTTACTGTACTGAATATATTCACTACATGGGGGTGCAGTGTTATGTATACACTACATCTGCTGTTACTGTACTGAATATATTCACTACATGGGGGTGCAGTGTTATGTATACACTACATCTGCTGTTACTGTACTGAATATATTCACCACGTGGGGGTGCAGTGTTATGTATACACTACAACTGCTGTTACTGTACTGAATATATTCACTACATGGGGGTGCAGTGTTATGTATACACTACATCTGCTGTTACTGTACTGAATATATTCACCACGTGGGGGTGCAGTGTTACGTATTCACCACAACTGCTGTTACTGTACTGAATATATTCACTACATGGGGGTGCAGTGTTATGTATACACTACATATGCTGTTACTGTACTGAATATATTCACCACGTGGGGGTGCAGTGTTATGTATACACTACAACTGCTGTTACTGTACTGAATATATTCACTACATGGGGGTGCAGTGTTATGTATACACTACGTGGGGGTGCAGTGTTATGTATACACTACATGGGGGTGCAGTGTTATGTATACACTACATGGGGGTGCAGTGTTATGTATACACTACATGGGGGTGCAGTGTTATGTATACACTACATCTGCTGTTACTGTACTGAATATATTCACCACGTGGGGGTGCAGTGTTATGTATACACTACATGGGGGTGCAGTGTTATGTATACACTACATGGGGGTGCAGTGTTATGTATACACTACATGGGGGTGCAGTGTTATGTATACACTACATGGGGGTGCAGTGTTATGTATACACTACATGGGGGTGCAGTGTTATGTATACACTACAACTGCTGTTACTGTACTGAATATATTCACTACATGGGGGTGCAGTGTTATGTATACACTACGTGGGGGTGCAGTGTTATGTATACACTACATGGGGGTGCAGTGTTATGTATACACTACATGGGGGTGCAGTGTTATGTATACACTACATGGGGGTGCAGTGTTATGTATACACTACATCTGCTGTTACTGTACTGAATATATTCACTACATGGGGGTGCAGTGTTATGTATACACTACATCTGCTGTTACTGTACTGAATATATTCACCACGTGGGGGTGCAGTGTTATGTATACACTACAACTGCTGTTACTGTACTGAATATATTCACCACGTGGGGGTGCAGTGTTATGTATACACTACGTGGGGGTGCAGTGTTATGTATACACTACATCTGCTGTTACTGTACTGAATATATTCACCACGTGGGGGTGCAGTGTTATGTATACACTACATCTGCTGTTACTGTACTGAATATATTCACCACGTGGGGGTGCAGTGTTATGTATACACTACAACTGCTGTTACTGTACTGAATATATTCACTACATGGGGGTGCAGTGTTATGTATACACTACGTGGGGGTGCAGTGTTATGTATACACTACATCTGCTGTTACTGTACTGAATATATTCACCACGTGGGGGTGCAGTGTTATGTATACACTACAACTGCTGTTACTGTACTGAATATATTCACCACGTGGGGGTGCAGTGTTATGTATACACTACGTGGGGGTGCAGTGTTATGTATACACTACGTGGGGGTGCAGTGTTATGTATACACTACAACTGCTGTTACTGTACTGAATATATTCACCATGTGGGGGTGCAATGTTATGTATACACTACGTGGGGGTGCAGTGTTATGTATACACTACGTGGGGGTGCAGTGTTATGTATACACTACAACTGCTGTTACTGTACTGAATATATTCACCACGTGGGGGTGCAATGTTATGTATACACTACGTGGGGGTGCAGTGTTACGTATACACTACGTTGGGGTGCAATGTTATGTATACACTACGTGGGGGTGCAGTGTTACGTATTCACCACAACTGCTGTTACTGTAATGAATATATTCACTACGTGGGGGTGCAGTGTTTTACTTGTAATTATTAGGTTATTTGACCAGTTCCCAGGAACAATGATGTCGTCATTCATGGACGGCCACTGCTGTAACTGCTTGATTAACTTGTGTAAACAAACTGATCACGCTTGACCCTGAACTCGGTGAGAAGCACTAAGTCTAGCCCTCAGTTACACTGTTTCCTGGAAGCTTTGTTATACATGTCATTGCTTCTGCCCATGTGCAGTGAACCCTGACATGACAATATACCGTACTCTGATGTGTCCAGACATTATCGTATCAAACAGTTAGAATGCCAATCAAACAGTATCACTTTATTAATGCGAGCGAGGGACACAATTTTCACATTGATTTCATAATTGCATTAATTTCATGATTTATAGACCATGATATACCATCTTAATGTATATACTTAATGTTTATAATACCAGTATTGTTATGGTAATATGACATTGTTACCGTACACTGTTTTTGCTATCAGTTTGATAAAAGTTTTTTTCATCTGTTGTATAACTAGAAAATATGTAATTTAAATTAGGGTTTGTGTCGTTTCAAACAAGTTAACAGACAGCATGTTTAAGTATATCACTGAAATTGTGGGTAATGAATAATTCATGTCATTTCAGTCAAGTGATTAATGTCGTTCCATATAAAATGTGTCCCACAAACTGATGAAGACGATCACCACAGATGGTGTGTGGAGTGTCTGATATATCCCATCTTCCTTTATCCAGGTTATTGTATCTCCGTTGTACCCAGGGGCGGTCAAGTAGTCTAGTGGTTAAAGCGTTCGCTCATCACGTCGAAGACTCGGGTTTGATTCCCAACATGGGTACAATGTGTGAAGCCCATTTCTGGTGTCCAGAGACTGATATTGCTAAAAGTGGCGTAAAACAATACTCACTCCGTTGTATCATAATCAATACATGGACTCATTCGCTAACATTTGGTTGTTGTGGGAAGTGACATCACAACCTGTGTCTCTTTTATCTCTAACTTAGCACAGGATATATCTCTTTTGAAATCAACAACCATTGAATGAAAATGCCTCTTCTGAAAGTGAGTTTTGCACAGATCAACATTCAAAATTGTAGCCTCATCCGAGTGAGCCGTCGATGTATGTAAATGATGTGTCATATCATACGTTGTCCCCAGTACTAAGATGGGGGAGGGAGGTCAATGCAACAAGGAGTTCCTGGTGTATTTGAGACGGCAAGCAAAAGTCGAGATATCGCTGCTTGTTCAACTCACGAAAGTACAGTGTATTTGGATTGGACGTCTATTTTGAGCATTTTAGCATTGAGCAAAAGGCCTCCAAACAAAACAACCAGGGTACAGAATCATCACAGAATGAGGATACAATGCCCTGGATACAGGAGGATGGCTATTTCTTGGTGACGTTGTGTGACTGGGTCACCTCAGACCTGTCTGGGTGGCTGTAAGACTTCTCTGCCAACTTTTTGTCAATAGAGAACAAATCCAGACAGATATGAGGAGGTTGTCAAGAAGGTTGGTTCAGATCTTGTTATCCCAGTAGCTCCACAGATAGACTGGGGTCTCATGGAAGTACATAGGTTATTGGTTAGAAACCTTCCCATGTTGTGCCTATGTTCAAGTGTGCTGAAAGTTTTGTTTGTTTGTTTGTTTTTTGCTTGTTTGTTTAACACCGCACTCAGCATTATTCAAGCTATATGATGACGGTCTGTAAATATCCGGTTGTGGACCAGACAATCCAGTGATTAATATGAGCATTGATCTACGCAATTTGAATACGATGAGATGCATCAACCAAGTCAGTGAGTCTGACCTCCGGATCTCTTACGACAAGCATGAGACACTGAAGTTTTAACCCGGATCTTCACGGGTCACTCAGTGCAGGAGGTCGTCATGACAAGCAGCGTTTCCCCAGTCAGAGATGTCAATGTTGGATCCCACTTGCTAACTCCCCTCAACTCTCCATTTAAGTGAACTTATGGCATAACGAGATGTCCATTGTCTGCAAGGATCTTTCCCAACTCCTATGAAACCCATGAGGTTACCAAGCTGAAATTGGGTCTATATATAATACATTGTCTCACAAGATTCGGATCTAACTTTTCACATGGCCACCGTGACAGCCATATTGAAACATCATTTTTGCCCACTACTCTGCCATATCTGCATCTGTCATCATGCATGTTGATGTTAGTAGATATGTGGCATGTGGCACTGACAATGATGTCTATGATCTGCTACAAATATTCCAGAAACTTCAGGTGAGCTACAAAGCCATTTGGATCTGGTTTGTTTGAACGTCACTTGGGTCAGTTGAGCTTAAACTGTGAAATAAAAGTGTTCCTGCTTTTATTATATCATATAAATTTGTCCAAAATGACAAAACAAATACAGGAAACCCCCACTTACATGACTCTTTCTGTGTTTGACAAGTGGAAGATGATATTGCCAGTCCCTCCGGTAGTCTGTGATATATGCTTTTTGCCTGATATTTGACTTTTACAATGGAATAAAGTCTTTATTTTTTATTAAGTGTGTTTGCCATTATTGTAGATATTCAGCATGTTTAGCCAATATGTAGCAGGTTAAACCTTGCGTTTGTATCCTTATACTTATAGATAGTGTGCTTATTGTAATTTGTTGTGATTTCAATTCTGTACATGGAAGTCTATCTAACACATCTACAGCTGTGATACCTCGTGAAGGGGTGGTCCGTCCCAACACTCTGACTACTATCTGATACCTAGTGAAGGGGTGGTCCGTCCCAACACTCTGACTACGATCTGATACCTAGTGAAGGGGTGGTCCGTCCCAACACTCTGACTACGATCTGATACCTAGTGAAGGGGTGGTCCGTCCCAACACCCTGACTACTATCTGATACCTAGTGAAGGGGTGGTCCGTCCCAACACTCTGACTACGATCTGATACCTAGTGAAGGGGTGGTCCGTCCCAACACTCTGACTACGATCTGATACCTAGTGAAGGGGTGGTCCGTCCCAACACCCTGACTACGATCTGATACCTAGTGAAGGGGTGGTCCGTCCCAACACTCTGACTACGATCTGATACCTAGTGAAGGGGTGGTCCGTCCCAACACCCTGACTACGATGTAATACCTAGTGAAGGGGTGGTCCGTCCCAACACCCTGACTACGATGTAATACCTAGTGAAGGGGTGGTCCGTCCCAACACCCTGACTACGATGTAATACCTAGTGAAGGGGTGGTCCGTCCCAACACCCTGACTACAGCGGTGAAACCAGTGTTAGGAAATAAACTCAATCATTCATGATAAAAAAGATCAATTTTATCGTGGTCTCAGCAATTTGTGAAGTCTTTTGGAGAGCTTCCTGGCTTTCTTGTAGCACCTAGTGTTTGCTGTCACTTAATGATGTAATTGTTTGTAAAAATGTCATTTTACCCAGAGAGGGGGCACGGTTGGACCAGTCGTCTAAGGCGCTGCTATTCAATGTGCAGAGTTGCATCCTTTGGGCACACCAGAACCCTATGACTGTTGGTTTGAATCCCGGTTCGCCCCCATTAAGTTTCTAGGTTTGTCAGCACCATACCTGTGTGGGTTTCACCAAAGTGGTAAACGTCTGAGGCCAGCATCACTTCAGACTTTCCTCCCACATCAAGCTGACACGCCATGATATAACTGGAATACTGTTGAAATCGGCATTAAACCTAACTCACTCACTCACTCATTATACCCGTAGAACAGTTTGGATCCTGAACACAACAGGTAACAAGAGCCATGCACCATTAACCTGTTTGTTGCAAGTGTTTGTGTACACGAGCGCTGTCAGTGTCCTGTTTGTTGCAAGTGTTTGTGTACACGAGCGCTGTCAGTGTCCTGTTTGTTGCAAGTGTTTGTGTACACAAGCGCTGTCAGTGTCCTGTTTGTTGCAAGTGTTTATGTACACAAGCGCTGTCAGTGTCCTGTTTGTTGCAAGTGTTTGTGTACACAAGCGCTGTCAGTGTCCCGTTTGTTGCAAGTGTTTGTGTACACAAGCGCTGTCAGTGTCCCGTTTGTTGCAAGTGTTTGTGGACCCAAGCGCTGTCAGTGTCCTGTTTGTTGCAAGTGTTTGTGGACCCAAGCGCTGTCAGTGTCCTGTTTGTTGCAAGTGTTTGTGTACACAAGCGCTGTCAGTGTCCTGTTTGTTGCAAGTGTTTGTGGACACAAGCGCTGTCAGTGTCACACAGATGGCTGCACCACCAACTAACATGTCTCTCTTCTTCCAAGCTCACCGGAAAAGGAACGTGAAAGGTATTTGTGGGGGACTGAGTGCGTGAGTGAATGATGTTAGGGATACCATAAGCTGCTGTCTTTCAGCTCCATCTCGGACGTGTGTGTCTAGATTAATCATAGCATTGGTTAGTAGTGAGGGTGTGACCACACGCCACACCAGCCAGCTCCATCTCGGACGTGTGTGTCGAGATTAATCATAGCATTGGTTAGTAGTGAGGGTGTGACCACACGCCACACCAGCCAGCTCCATCTCGGACGTGTGTATAATTCAATCAAAGTAGAAGTTAGTAGTGAGGGTACGACCACACGCCACACCAGCCAGCTCCATCTCGGACATTTGTGTCCAGATCAATCATAGCGTTGGTTAGTACAGTGAGGGTACGACCACACACCACACCAGCCAGCTTTATTACGGCTGTGTCACTGCGTTGTCATGATTACCCTTCCTGCAACTGTTGGGTACCAAGGCTTGTCTCAGAGCTGGTCCATGTATTCTGACGGGGTGCCGAAGTATGGAGGAAATCAAGAGTCAAAGTCATTTTGTTAAAATGGATTTAGGGGGACCTTCGATTCAAGTTCCAATAGACCTCCCTACTCCTTGCTGTGGTGCCGTCCTCTAAGGTGCCACAATTTCTGTGCTGAGTTGTGAAACTTTTGATTAGGGATTCGAATTCCAGTTTGCCGTGATTATGTTTCTAGATTTGTCAGCACCATACCCGTGTTTGTGGGTTTCACCAAAGTGGTAAATGTCTGAGACCTGCATCACTTCAGCTTGTCTCCCATATTAGGCAGACACATGATATAACTGGAATACTGTTAAACACGGCATTAAAACCTAACTCACTCACTCACTCACTCACTCTCCTTGCTGTTGCAGATGGGACACAAAGAAGCATATTGCCAACATGCAGCGGTATGGCCACTGACATCTCCACAACTTCCCGAACCTGTAGCCAATGTGACCTTGATTAGAAAACTCAACATACACTTGTTGTTCATTATTTTAGCTCACCTGACTTAAAGTCAAGTGGTTAAACGTCTCACTCACATTCATATTTATACATATTTATGTATATTTGTGTATATTTGTGTATATTTAAGAATTTATATTTCATCATTTATGATGTCTGTTTTATACCATGATTGTGTAAAGCATCTAGAACTTTAGGGTTGGGCATATTCTCCCTGGTATTTGTCTGAGAAACATCATTTTATTGCTCATGTAACTCATGATGTAATATCATTATATATAATGCAATGTTGACATGGAAATGCTAGATACAAAAACAAGTGACCCTGATTCTCCACATGATGGTGTGTGCCCAGCACCATCAGTAATGACAGATAGTATAGCACTGTTCTTATCATGAGTCATTTTATCATCAGGTAGTTAATGTTTTAAATGTATTTATATATTGATTCATGGTAAAATACAGATCTTGTGGGTGCACAGGTGGAGCTTCTGTGCAGCCAGATGAAATAGAACAGATGTTTTCCCATTGGTCCATTTACATGTGTGAATGGTGTTAGGTGATGGTGAATGTTGATCACATCTCGTGGAGCAATTGGGTAAAGCTTCTATGCAAGTATCACGAATATATTCCTGAGCTCATGTTTAAGACATGTTTGAGATAAAGATGTACACAATGTCCAATTTTACAGATTTTTGTACAAAACTACTTTTGAGTTCTTTTGAATGAGTAAAATAAATTATTACAAAAAATGTTTAGTTATTCAACCACACAAATCTTTGTTCCTTCGACCCGTGGGGACAAAGCCCCAGCCAAAGCCCCAGCCCCAGCCCCAGCCCCAGCCCCAGCCCCAGCCCCAGTCCAAACTGAAGATATCTCAACCTGATGCCAAACATTGTACAGACTTTAACAAGGTGAAAATAGGATTTTTCCTTAAAGTATGTTCTTGAGCATATCTTTGTGTGTTTTTTCTCAAGGGATGAAAACCTCAAATCAACATATCATATCTCTGCATCTTGGCACAGTTAACCAAGCAAGAAACTGCTTAGTTTGAAAACAAATCAATCATTTCCTGTTGCCATCAACACCCCCACTGTGCTGCAGATGCATCTTCGTGCATTGCATTGGGTTCTCCTCAAAATCCAATTCCGAAATCCACTATTCACGAACGAAGGAACCCTAACTTGTCAGCATGTTGTGTAAATCTACTGCCACAAAGCGAGAGCTGGAGACCTTCAAGTTCAAACCTGAGTGAGCTGACCCAGGAATGGCCAAGAAGTAAAAAAAGAAATTGACGTCTGTTAAGCAGCATGAATGTCATCTGTAAGAGTACTCCAGAGTCTGGTGATTCCTAGGTTGACAATAACCCTTTTTCCTCTTCATAATGTGATATAATGTGATTCTGAAGCAGTCTGCCGAAATGAACGTTTTAAGACTTCTTCGCATCAGTACCTCGTGTCAGCTTCATTATTGTGGCGTGGTAGTGCCAGGATTTTGTCAGTTTACTTCTCTTTTGTCGTGTTTCCAGCAATGAATCACACATTTTTTAACATGACTCGATAAGCCTCAATTTTCAATCTTTATCGACAAGTGTTGATATATACTTGATATCAAAACACACGAGGGTGAGATTCTATTTATCATCCACTCTCAAGAATCTCTTAATGCAGCAGCAACTTCTGAACAAGAAAAACAAACACCAATTTTATGACAGAATATTTTTACCAAAACAAAGTCCTTACAACTTTGGCTTTCTAACCAAGTCTTCAGCAAAAAATTAAATAGAACTAAACTGAAAATAATTATTATAACATTGATCACATGAGGCCCATGGTGTTCCTCCTGGCTCACTGCAGCGTTGTCAACATCGCCGACAACGTCCACAAGAAGCTTGGCGTAAAATGCATCGGTATGAGCAGCACAGCCTTACACACTGTCACTCTCCGCCTTGATAACAGGATTACAGCAAAACCTTCCTCGTATACCTTGTAGCAAGCTAGTGTTAACTGAAAAGATTTTTTTCTTTTGACATACTGATGGAGAAAATGAAACGAATGGCTGACAAAGAAAGTATATATTTGGTTTAAATTCCTTTTATTTCTCCAAAGAAATCCGAAAAGTAATGAACATGATCAGGTACAAATACTTCGCGACATTTTCCGAGACACGATGGAGCCCTTTTATTGAGCAGCAATCATTATTCTGCAACATCTTTATGCCTTGTTTCCATCAGTATATTTTGCTAGATAAATGGTTAAAATCTTTTCACTTTACTTTTTCAAAATCCAATTTCAACACTTTGAAAATGACAGTATGTAAGAGCTGACTACCTTACAAGCTGTATTCATATTAAAGCAGTTCTTTACACAGATTCTAACAAAATATAGGAGACATCTTCACAGGGCACAGATCTAGGGGGGGGGGAAATATACACATTTATTCACTTGTCATGCAAATATAAACCCAGAGAGCAGTATCACCAGAAGAGCATGTAATGCTTTCAATTTTAGTCTGCTGTGGATGAATAAAAACTTAACATACATATTCGTTGGTAAAAACAAAGATTTGTTTTGATTTGATCACCAATACAAGTACATTTTGATTGTTTTACTTATGAAGTATTTTGCTTGCACAAAATCCATGCTAAACCTGACATAACTTGTATGACAGCTGAACACCATCATAACAACTAATTCTATGTAATAATTGAGTGATATTTTCTATGTAACTGATGATCATTCACTGGTTGGCCTGGTGGTATTCACTCCCTGTGGAACACCACAGACACTGCAGTATGCTGGCTATAGGAGGACTGCTGTATACAGTCAGTCAACAACCCGTACTGGTTTGTATGGTGTATATTGTGTACCATGATGAAATATCTAGGAATGATGGTAGGGAGCATAAATTACAATGGTACATTCACAATGAATGGTTACATTCAATCTCCAACCTCAACGATGTGTATACTGCAATATCTTGGTGGCTATGAACTTGGAGCTTATGATTACCAACTGGTGTCACATGATTACAAATGAAGGACATATAACCATCATGGTTCTCTGGTACTGATGAAGTGACAACTATTTGAAACCTTGAATCTTGATTTTCACACTTCTGCTTCGTTGCAGCGTAACACTAATTTCCAACTTTGACAATAAACAACTGTTTATGGCCGACCAGTACTTCCTACACTGACCACACAGCACCCCAGAAGCCATGTATCTACATGTACATGAAGAAAGGACAAAATTTTCTTGACCAGCCAAGTTTATTGTCTGCATTAAAGACATAAGTGATGCCACACAGAATGCACTAACTTGTTATTTCAACCCTGATTGCTGGTCATACGGTTTCAACTTTAACTAAAATCTGTTGAAGTTTTTAATATTTTTATGAACTAGTATTTTCAGAATTCTGGCTATGAAAATTTATATATTACATTTAATTATCTTTGTCATTTGACTACCATTTTTTTGTGTGTGTGTGGGGGGGGGGGCTGCCCTATGTTGATATTGGCAAAGAATATTTGTGCAACAATCAATAGAATTGATCTGGAATAAACAATTTTCACAAGACCATACTTAACTGACTAAGTACTTCTATCACATTTGGTAACAGGAGATATGCTTCTCAAAGTTCTGACATATATAAATATTTATTCATCCAGCCATCGTTTAGAACTTGAGTCACTTAAATATACAATTAAAGCTTATTCTAAACACCCCTATTTGGTCCGCCACATGGGTTATACATGCTTTAATAAGACTGAACAGACCATCCACGATCTCCACCCTGCAGGAACACAGCAAACATTGTTAGTAGGAAGCTTGGTATTTTGGCTAAAAATATCTTTGCATCACAAATCCGACACAACATCAACATGTCCACCTGGTCGACAGGTGTCACCACGGACATATCCCCATCATGTATAATACATCGTTAAAACAAACAAATTTCATTTGTCTGTCGAATCACAAACAAGGAAGACTTCGTTAATATAATGATTCCCCTACTACAAGATGGTTGCTAGGCGACGAAGCAGAGGGACACTAACAGGAAGTTGATGGAATCATGTACTGAGGCAGGGATGAAAGGTAATAAATAATCTTCAATATTGCACTTTCGTTTCCTTTACATTGATAGACATCTCCATGAACACATACAAGGTACGCCACGCACACAAACTTTAGACCACAATAAATTAAACATTAGAAACTAATATAGAAACTGTGTGATGTTTCATAGAATTTCACCTCAGACATCAAAGATGGGTTTCATCTTACACAAGCACAGCAAGCCCCTACTCCCAGCTTGACTTCTCTGGTAGTGGCAGTACTGGTGAGTGACACACATGGGGAATCCGGGTAAGAAAATAGGTCCCCAGCAGCCCCTGCTTGTCGGAAGAGGCGGCTAACTGTAGCGTGTGGTCTGGCTAAGTCATTTGCTTGATTGCATGCTGTTGTAGGCCAATTGCATAGATCAATGTCAGTCACTGGATTGTCTCATCCAGACGCTTATTTACAGACCACCATCATATAGCAGGAATATTGCTGAGTGTGGCATTAAACAACAACGAACAAACCACTAGTGGATGAGTGTCATTGTCTCGCACAGTCAGCAATATTCAAAGAATCACAGTAGCCTGGACCAGACAAACCAGTGACTGATAGCATCAGCAACAATCCTCATGATCAGGAGAGATGGCGCTAGGTCAGCCCAGTCCAACACTGTGACCACCCAATCGTCGTTAGTCTTGTGGCGAGCTGAGGACATCCCTGGAGTCCCCACGCTGCGAATACCGGTACCTGCATGAGGCTGGCAGCCATTACAGATATCATCCATCTCAAAGTAATTATTTTCATGAGTTAAACTGTAGCAGTTGTTTTTAATTCATTATGGTCTATATGTTATAAATTAATCTACCCAATCTGTTCCTCCTTCCCTGCAATAAATAAGTCCTATCTGAACAATGTCATCAAGACATACACCTGCAATAAATATTGAACGAACCTGAAGATTACAGCCTCAAGGTTGAGCAATGGACAACTTATGTAACAATAAGCCTTGAGCCGGCCTCATGCATGTTTCAGAAATCTGTGTCCAACACAGAGGCACCTTTCTACACAGATGCAGAACCATCGCATAGCATCTCACAATATAATTCAAATGAAATAGGCAGGTCAGACAAAGCATGTTATTTTTGGCATTGACAGTTTCACAAACAGATTTTCACCCATGTTGTTGTCAAGGTGACTCAGTACAGCACTAGGATCATGCATCACCCGGGATTGGGGCCCGTTTCAACAACTGATCTAACACTACGACGATCACAACAAGCCTATACTGTAACAGATTTAGGACAGTCGTAGCTACGATCACTTTGTGAAAGGCGCCCAGGAGCACTGACATCACACGTGTCAGAAACCTTACGTGTCTTCACATATGTCCCATACAACCGGTTTTCATATTTTTTTTCATCACAGGGGACCGAAAGAATTGATCTGAAACAACCAATTCTTTTCAACATAAGTATTCATTTGATGTTCAACATTACTATTGATTTGATGTTCAATGTAACTATTCATTTGACATTCAACGTTACTATTCATTTGATGTTCAACTTAACTATTCATATGATGTTCAACAAAACTATTCATCTGACATTCAACATGATAGATGTAACAAACTGGCTAGTTCTCTGGTTACCATATATCAAGCAGCACTAGCAGGCAACAAATCATCACATTTCTGGCACTAGAAGAAGCTGTACAAACCAATCACGAACCCATCCAACCAATCTCTGTGACACATTATGCGAAAGAGAGAAAATGCATGTTCGGCGAACAATCTTGACTTTCAGAAACACGATGTATGTGACATAGCGACTTGGTCCTGCTACGGCACAGAGTGGACAGGTGGACAGGTGCCCCTACAACAGCATTGAGCATGGCAAGAGAGGACCCCACCATGTCATATTCTTGGAGGCCCTTGGACTGTAGAAAATATAACCATTTGTTCCAAATAAATATAAATTTAATAGACAAAAATGTCAAAAAAATATAAATTTGAAGGCACGACAGATGTCCCGAAAAAAATGTACTGTGTAAAAAATAATTGTCTCCTTTCAGAAAAATAGTTGTATGAAATATTTTGTCTCCCCAAAAATATGAACCCCACCAAAATATGAAAAGATTGATCCTGAAGACACTATTACTTGCACAACTGATTATGGACAGCTGACAGTGAAGAGGACCTATGTGGAAAATCAAAGTATTTTCTTAAGTGTGATGACAGCCAAAATTCAGGATTTATGACAATGATTTAATAGAGGTTAAGTATTTTTTTATTAAAACCTCTCTTTGAACTCAGGTGTACATTGTCGCCCATGGCAGTCTGTGCTGACTGTGTTATCACCAGAAGATGGTTCCACAGTATTGCCATGTGCTCGACTGGATGCATGAAGACACTTCTCGGCACTTGATTTGGATTGCTGGCCAAATAGGTTCGAATTTTGTTTGTTGTTTAATGCCGCACTCAGCAATATTCCAGCTGTATGACAGCAGCCTGTATGCATCATGCAAATATGGTTCCCATAGTCTTGTAATCATATAGAAACTACAAGTTGATGAACCACCAAGCTCTCCTAGTCACAGCATGAAAGGTGATGTGACTTCAGCATCTTCTACCCACACAAGGCTGGGGGAATCCAACTTCCTTGTGTTGCCAGGCAACACTATTATAGATGCTCAAAGGGCTGGCCCGTGTCATTAGGATTGTTACAAGCTTGTTTACCATGTGTGACATTAAAGAGCCCAAGTCGCATATGTCAAATACAGTGTTCTTGTCAACTGAGACCACATCTCCAGCTAAATAAAATATATTTATCTAAATTATTCTTTATATATAATTTCTTCCTAATGTTGTTTCACTCACAAAACATATGACACATCACTTTTGGATACACAGGAGAGAGATTCTTAAGATATGAAAATGGATGAAACTGATGAAAGTTTGGGTTGAAATGAAAGACGTGGCTATAGGAAATCCACAAGCAAAATTTCCATCAACATAACCCTAGAACTGAAGAGCAAGCACAACCACCTGAAATTAAAAAAACAAAAGTAACATCACATTCACTCTGGAGACAGCGTAGCTCATCTTAACATGTACGCTGAAATATGCAAAGTTTCCGGGAAACAAAGTTTTGAGACAGTCTGCAAACACAATTGTTGATACAAAGCCATGTCTATACCCTCCATGAAGCCAACTCAGCCTCCTGAAGTTAACCACACACTTTGTCCATACAGGGAATCCCGCGGCATCACAATCAACAATGCTGTCCAAAATGCACTCACTCAGCTGCAGAGTGATCTCCCTTTATCACCTGAGAGTGATCTCCCTTTATCACCTGATACGTCAACCTCTCTCTACACCCATTTGTTCAATGGCGATCACACGATATAAGAAAATAAATATATATATTTGCACTAAAACTATGTCAATGACAACTATAAGTCTGTGATGTGATATTTGGTACCCGGCTTCGGTGGGCCTTGTGTCAGTTTGTTCGGGGCAGCATAAGGAGGAGGGCCACCATATTGGTAATCGAAATTATGGCCTCCATTTTGAATCTCCTCCCCTCCCCGATTTCTGTCCGAGTTTATAATGGGTATGGACCCCGTGTTGATAGCAACTGCTGCATAGCTAGATGGCGCCACTGTGATGATCCCTGAACCTCCATGTCGATCCGACTTTTTCTGAATGTTGAATGTGAGTGGGTCTATGTAAAACTGTTCATCAGGGTACTGGATGTTGAGCCTCGCGATGTGACAGCCTCGGCAGAACAGGTGCTCCTCAAGTGGATAACATCGCTTGTCTGGTTCGTCTGTGAGTTGGATACCACAGTCCTGAAACACATAATACAAGTTACAAATCGGGACACCAATTATTGATAAAACCTGACAATTCAAATTCGAATAAAATAATTCAGATAAAAAGGTTAAGTGTAAAAAATAGATAAAATTATATTACAGTATCTTCTTTCGCCATGAATAGCTGCAAGATTGCTGATGCGGCGTTAAACAATTATCACTCTCTACTACATCATCTTCTATTAATTTAATAAAGATAATGTATTAAATTATTCTTAAAAAGAGAAAAATAATACTTCAAAAGAAGCAAATATGTTTCAATTTTTTTTTTAAATTTTGTATGTTACGTAATATAGAATCTACTTGAACAGCTACTCCCATCACATAACATGGCTATGCCGGTTCCATGAGTTCTACTGCTAACTACCCAGATAGGAGGTCTGATACTGTTAAGTCTAGATCAGCAGTACAGACAGACGGGAGCACAGGCAAGTTAATCACACCACAGGAACGTTATTTTCACAGATTAGTGTTCATATACCAGGCATTCAATCAGATGCAGGCTTGTGTGTGTTACTCTTACAACAGGTCATGTCCACAACTCTCATGCCCCCGATGTTGCACAAACCAGAGGGCATTGTGTTTAGGAGGGAATTGAACTTCAGCATTCAACTGATTTCATGTTTAGTTAATGTAAAATACTGGCTTTCTAACAAAAGTATGTCTCAACATTGGTGTTATTGAAGAGTCAGGGAGTTTGTTTTGACGATGCTTAGAACAGTATTTCAGTTACATCATAGTGTGTCTGTTTGGTGTGGATTGAAAACTAAAAAGATGTATTGAGGAAATGTCAGTTGCAAACTTAATTATTCATCCAGTTAGTATGTTACTTGATTACAATCTGTGTCAAAGAAAGTTTAGCCAGTCGAAATCAGATCTAATCCTAGCTTATGAGACTACAGTCCTTTTAAGAAAATGTCAATGTTTAAAAGTGTTCAGTGTTAATCAGCTAGTAGCACAACTCATACAATACATACATGGTCCTCCCTAGGCATGACAGACTCATGACGTGTGTGATATGGGCGTCATGCCCTCGTGACATGCGGAGTAAATGCGTGATGTCATGCATATAGGTACAATATTGGCTTCAACCCTAACAATGTGGCAACCAGTAGCCAGTGTACTAGTGAAGTGATACTGTGTATACACCAACAGTCTACTAGAATGTATCCTGGTGTAGAAGAGGTTCAGTAAATACATTTATCACATACATATTCAGTATAGTGGATATCCGTCTTTGGTTGCACAATCATCCGTATTGAATAGTCAGAAACAATTAGTGAACAGCTAAGTGTTTCATTGATAAGTAAATGTAGTTGAAATGGATTCAAATACAATGTACAGTAAATATATATTTAAGTATCACTGATACAATGATATGCATATGTTGATACTTAACAAGGAATACACATCATGAAAATTATTCAATATGTTCTACACGATGTACTCAGGAATACACAGGAATATTCAATATGTTCTACACCATGTACTCAGGAATACACAGGAATATTCAATATGTTCTACACCATGTACTCAGGAATACACAGGAATATTCAATATGTTCTACACCATGTACTCAGGAATACACAGGAATATTCAATATGTTCTACACCATGTACTCAGGAATACACAGGAATATTCAATATGTTCTACACCATGTACTCAGGAATACACAGGAATATTCAATATGTTCTACACCATGTACTCAGGAATATTCAATATGTTCTACACCATGTACTCAGGAATACACAGGAATATTCAATATGTTCTACACCATGTACTCAGGAATACACAGGAATATTCAATATGTTCTACACCAGGTACTCAGGAATACACAGGAATATTCAATATGTTCTACACCAGGTACTCAGGAATACACAGGAATATTCAATATGTTCTACACCATGTACTCAGGAATATTCAATATGTTCTACACCAAGTACTCAGGAATACACAGGAATATTCAATATGTTCTACACCATGTACTCATGACCTGCATGCAATGTCTATAGGTTATAAAATCTTTACATTAATATATTGGTTGTGCTTCCAAACAGAGTTGTCTCCCTTGGACTGTCATAAATGTGTCAACTATTTGTAGGAAAACTTCTGACTTCCCCATAGCCGTGCTGTAAAAGTGACTATCTGATCACATGCATATTCTCAGTAGACATAATTCATATTACAAGTATTCCCAAACAAAAGTAATGAAATTATTAAAATTTCTTTGAAAAGTAGATCAGTTAGATGATAATGATGATAGATAGGTCGGGTAGGAATTAGGAGGGGTCAATTAGCCAAAACATCTAATAGCTATAGGCAATGGGACTGTATCTACAGTTAGGCTTATATAGGAGACTTTATTATATATATTTGCTATAAGGTTGGGGCAATGCTATCTTTCTTGGATAAAACAGAAGAGAAATATCTGGAAATTGACAAAGACGTAAAACAGCAACAAATTCTTTCTTTTTAGAATGGAAAATATTAAGATAAAAACCAGTTACCCAGAGTAAACAGTTAATAATAAACACTGTTGGATAAGGGGATGGAGAGAGGGTGTTGTGTATTTCTAGAATATACTCTCCGTCTATCAGGTGTCACAAGATGATTAAAGCAAGCACCTCAGACATTTTGAACAAACGAAAAAAATACTTAAAATGTAACCATTGAAAAATGAACAAAATCCTTGCTTTTCAAAAAACCTAAAACATGCTACTGAGTTGGTGGGAAACTACAACCAGGAGAATACCTTACGTCCCTGGCTTCCCATCTATCTGTGAAAGCAGGAAGCAGAATAAACATGTACACACGTACGACGGACTTAATAAGCAGCAATATGCCACTATATGTACTTAAAAAAACATTGTAAACAACAAAACACAATCTGATACAGCAAATATCAAAACATGGAATGAATGAGAAAATGATTGAGGCAAGCATGAATGATGGGCTATGTAAGCTGGCATGCACTAAGAAGTTCCTGTACATGAGTATTGCCATCTTTACATCGACGTCCCACTGGATTAGATGAACCAGTGATAAATGTATGTCCAATCAGAATGCAGCATAAGGGTTGTCTTGCCCAATCAAAATGTCTGAATTGAATGCTGGTCAGTTCAAGTTAAATATTTCATGAAGTCCAATAGAAGTACGGCATAGAGATTCTGTTGCCCAATCATAATGTCCAAAGTTAATTCTAGTGAGGTCAATTCTTTTTTTTTTATTCTGTGACTTCTTGATAGTCCATGAATATATCATGAAATCTGAAATACTAGGTCCAGTGTAGGACGCCCCACTGACAGCAATGTGATCACATAATATTGTCAAATGTTGAAGAAATGCAAAGAGAGAAATGAAAATTGTCTAAGTGACTCTAAAACTAAAATAAAACTAGTGAGTTCATTTTAAGAAGCTCCTAAGTGTTCAGTCAGCTATGGATCATCGTACTAAGTGAGTGTCTCAATACTTCCATCCTGTCACAACCGCTAAATCTTTGAAGGAAAACCACAGGTCATGCATTTGTCATCTTATGTTAAACAGGTACTTAAAACCAGGATCAGAAGTTTCAGTCTGTCCTTCTGTACCAACACAATCTTTACTGACTAGATATTATTTTTTTTATATGGAAATAAGTACAATCTGGGTGCAAAGTCAAAGTCTTAAAACTACTGTGAATGGGAAGAATGCAATCAGGTTCAATTTCAGAACAGGTTGGAATGAAAAATGCAAGAAAAGGAAGTATGCACAAATTAGCAATCAAATTTCTACAAAACCAACTTGCACAAACTGCAACTACATCAAGGATAACACCCTTTCTACTGTATCAACTCATAGGCAGCTGCAGACTACAGTTGTTTTCAATGGTTAATTTCTAGTCAGCATCCAACACGTGTTATGTTCAATGCAATAAGACCAATGCCAGGACACCAGGACCAGGAGCTATCCAAGCTAGGAAAAGGGGGAAAGTCTACTTGAACTAATATTAACCCTTATTTTGCTTTATATTTGAGCATACAGCTCAGCCGATTTTCTTTTGCCCTGAAAGAGAAGCAGATGTGTGAAGGCAAACAACACGAATATATGCTCCCTCACCATCGTTTATATGCTCCCTCACCATCGTTTATATGCTCCCTCACCATCGTTAACACCTAACAGCCATTCATTCTTTCTCTGTAGCAGAACAGGATTCATATACAATACAGAGTTGTCTCCCCTTGACTACTACACTCATATATACCCGGAGCATGAGGAGTCTTTAGTTTTTTTATTTAAAAATATTGTACAAAATACTTTATATTGTACAAATGCAGAGATGAAAAGTTTGATGTCAATGAATATCAAAGCGTCACATACAAGAAAGTTTGCAAAACATTTGACAGCAAATAATACATATGTTTTAAGTGACTTCAATTTGAGTGGTTTTCTTAAGACTTTTGTCCTAAACATTCATTTGAACGACAAAACAGACTCATTGATTACTTAAACTTTTGGAATTACCTGTGCATCATAAATCAATAAATAATATTTAGCAAAACATTTTGTCCCCTAGCGAGCAGCTCCTCAGGTCAACAGGAAGCCTGATGCACTGACCAATTAAAAAACACTCCTTCTAATTCTAGGTTCCCAAGACATATAATTCTGGAAGCAAGGCCAAGAACTTAACTTGCCATAAGCTTCTTCAGAATGACTGAATCTCTGTGGTGTAAACTCTAGCCCGATCCAAGACTGCCATTAGAGGTTCACCGGTGCGGCATTAGTGCATTCTCCTGACCTCACACAACATCAACACATCTCCACATGAAGTGTTACATCGACAAGTCGTGGTCTAGCTAGTCCTACGATGCAAGCTATCCGCCTCCATGCCTGGTGCTACCATGGTTGATCAACAATATCCGCTCTCGTACCCACATCCACTCTTCCTCTATAGCTATGCATTGACATACAGACACTGATACAATACTCAGGTTAGTGCATGACTGATGCTTGAGATGTCTCTACTCATCAGACGTCTTGCCAGTCATATCACCAAGGAGCCCTAAGATCTATTGTACTTGCACAACTTATGGATGGTTAACAGTGAAGAAGACTTTGGTTGAAAATCTGAAGATTTTATTGTGTGATGATAACCGAATGACAGAATTCCAGGCAATGATGAAATAGAGGTTTTGTAATATAGGATCATAAGAACCATTCAAAGGTGTGATAAGAGATCTTCAGAATTAGCATGATGTCAATTAAATTACTTAAACTGGATTTAAACTGTTTGTTTTACTCAATGTGTCATTTGTACTCAAAGAACACAAGGTTCCGTGGGTGCCAAGTTTTTCTTTCAAACTCTAACCATCTCCTCTCTAAGTAATGTGTGACACAGATTCTGACAGAGACATCTCAGTGTTTTGAGGGGTTAGTCTGCAAGTTGACATGATGATGGATGTCGCTATGACGATGCGTTAGGATTGAAAAGGGAGATAACTCTTACCTCACAATGATAACAGTCGACATGGAAGTCCTTGTCCATAGAGACGACCCGCACAGTCTCCTCTGTACCCTGTTACAACACAACAGCAAATACATCATATATACAACACAACAGCAAATACATCATATATACAACACAACAGCAAATACGTCATATATACAACACAACAGCAAATACGTCATATATACAACACAACAGCAAAGACGTCATATATACAACACAACAGCAAATACATCATATATACAACACAACAGCAAATACATCATATATACAACACAGTTCTCAGGAGAGAGTGAGTATGGTCTTACACTGCCTTTAGCAATATTCCAGCAATAACGCGTCAGAGGACACCAGAAATGGGCTTCACACATTGTACCCATGTGGGGAATTGAACCTGGGCCAAACCCTTGACCACAAAAGTCAATTCAACTAATAAGTAGCAGTTGTAGAAAATACTAACACCTTTTGTAGGACCCTTGAATAGTCTGTCTCAGTCTTATGTTCCCTTCTGCCCAGCCCTTACTGTGAGTGAGAATGGTTTTACACCACTTTTAGCATGGGCTTTGATTGGGGACCAGAATTGGGCTTCAGTCATTGTACCCATGTGGGAAATCAAACCCGGGTCCTCGGTATGACGAGCAAACGTTTTAACCACTAGGCTACACGACTGACCCGCCCTTACTGTAATCCCAAAATGAAGCAAGTCTAGATTTTCCACAGGTTCAAGGGCTCCTTTTCAATTTAAATGTAGTTGCTTGTTTCTCTCAAAACTAGATATTTTCAGAGATGAAACATTAACCTAGACCCTTGAACAGATTTGTGAAATGTCTGAACAACTGAAAAGTTTCCCTCATTACAGTTGATAAATCCACTGTTTCATGTTGGTACAATGACAATATGACCATGTTCCCACTGATGGGTTCCCAGGTATGTGAGGTTAGTTCCTCCGTCAGTGTCTACTAGTCAACTCACATCAACTGGGGTGATGGCGTGTCCACACGCTGCACACTTGGGAGCATACACTCTGAAACAATGGACGAGAATCATAAACACGTTGTTTAAAACAACACAAAGAACACTTCAAGTCCTCCTGTACAGCTTATACAACTGTATTTACCATGAGAAAATGAATCTCATACATAATGCAAAGAATATGGCTTAAAAAGGAAATAATTGTTTTAAAAAAACATTTAACTAGAAAGAGTTGATAGTTCAAAATATAATAAGCAAAAGTAACTGATGTCCATCGAAAAATTGTATTTGTCAAATTTGTTCAGAAAACATTGAAAATTGTTAGGACTATCCCATAAATATGGTGTAAACAGGGTAATAGAACAACAATATTTAAAAGAAAGGAGAAAAAATACATAATCTTTGTTTTTAGTTGTTTTTAAAGCATTTAGTTTTGAAAAGATTGAAACAACACAATACATGAGGTAGAACAACCAGGAATGGAGGGGTGTTGACAAACCTGTGATAATCTGCCACACAGTAGATCTTGTTATCAACGTCGATCGTGAAGGGAACGCCATCCAGACACTCGTTGCAAATACAACATCGAAAACAACCTGGGTGATATGACTTCCCCATGGCTTGCAAGATCTGAAAGGAAAACAGAAAACTTAGACATAGGACAGCTTGCCAACTATCAGTCAGATAAAACAAGTAAGTGAACAGTGAATCGAAAAGTGTTAAAGGCCTGTGGCCACCAATGCCCTCTTGAACAGGAGACACAGAATCTCAAAAATAGTTGCATCCAAACAAACAGGAAAGAATGTGCTAAATCTCATGCACAAAAGTATGGATAAAAGTCAATCAGTGGCACCGGAGGTAAATCATTTAAGGCATTCTGGAAGCATTCTCGAAAACACCGTGTTAAAGATTACTGCAATCACATAGCGACATGCGTGTGTGTGTGGCTGCTTGTACTAGTCCACTAAGATATAATGACACCGTTTAACATGGATACCCCACTCAGACACAGCATACTGACTCTACGCCAACCAGTCCTTGTTTTACCCCTTTAAGGCCAAACATCAGGCAGGGTAACAATAAGTACCATTTTGTAATGTCTTTTGGTATGATGCAGCAGTGGATCCAGTTAAAGACCTCCGCTCTCTGGGCAGGTGCTCTATCCACGAGACCACGGAGACTATCGTTTCACAGCAGTGTAGTACTAAGTTCCAGCAGTTAATTTCATTTGATTGTTGTTTAACACAAAACTCCACAATATTCTAGCTATATGAAGGCGGTCTGAAAGCATAGTCACCTCCTATGAAAAGCATGGGTTGCTGAAGAACCATTCAGGGTATCTCCACAGTCATCCAATGGTTAATAGTCACCTCTTGCCACTCTCAGACCCAGCTATAAGACCCTGCCATCAGACCCAGCTATAAGACCCTGCCATCAGACCCAGCTATAAGACCCAGCTATCAGACCCCGCCCTCAGACCCCACTACCAGACCCTGCTCTCAGACCCGGCTCTCAGACCCCACCATTAGACCCCGCTCTCAGACCCAGCCTCTTGAACACTACTCACCATTTCCATAATGAGATGGCCACAAACCACGCACTTCTCCGCAGTTTGCTGAAACCCTGAATACTGAAAGAAAACAAAAAGGTTAGCAACAGCAATATTTCAAGGAAGTTCTTTACAAAACTCAGGGACTTATCTAAGATTCCAAACTAAGTGCCAATGGCAGGCAAATAAGATAAAATTTAGTCTTTGAAAGGCATTTAGAAGTGATACACATATGGAAGAGAATTTATCGGTGTCAACTTCTTTATTATCAGGAAAATGTTTAAAGTACATACTTACTCCTTCATCAGGTGAATTCACCGGATGAAAGATGATGAAGACTGATGAAGGAGTAAGTATATACTCCGAAACGTTTTCCTCATAATAAAGAAGCTAACATTCATAATTTCTCTTCCTTCAGATAACATTGTTATGTTGTTCTTATTTTTCTAAATTCAAAAGTGCTCTAACACTGAAAATATTTATTTTTTTTAACTTCAGTAAAATACAAGCCACCTTACAAAGTAACATCAGTTACAAACATAACAGCATGAATTGGGAAATGTTAAAATTTTAATTCGGGAATTTATACCGACATTTCCTGCAGACTTTGGGCCTAATATCGGCCACTGAGCAGGTCTAGGCAACTCCCTGTAACTAACATAATGAAACCCTAGCAACACAAATCCATAAGTGAGGTATTAAATGTGTAACCGGTGTTGGTTCTCAGTCTACACATTCTGTGCTCTCAACCCTTCCCACTGATCTCCTCATCCCTGTATGGCTGAAGTAATGCCGATGTGACATGAATTATACCTCACCCTACTTATTACATACAAAACACCAATCATGACCATGACGACACGATATAGATTTTATTTCAAACAACATATAAAACCCTCAATTGTAATCAATTACTACCTTTCAACCATTGATAAAAGCTCTCGATTTCACCCCACACTTCCATTTGGAGATGGAATTGACACCGGGCCTCCAATCTCTTGACAAGACTCAACTATTACAGACCCTTGAAAGCACTCATAAATAACCGTACACACCAGTCATAGAGTACAAATAACCGTATACACCAGTCATAGAGTACAAATAACTTCCAACACCTAAATCACAACCAGTCAAATTGAGCTGGCACTTGGCAGTCAGAATGATAATAGACTCTCCAACCCAGGCCATGAAGGAGACAGTTTCATGGTCATGTCAAATGATGCATTGGCAGATTGCCGTAGGGAATCCTGGGATAACCATGTCGTAGTGTATCACACAAGTTCATGCTACAGCTGTAACAATGATTTAAATTCATGCTACAGCTGTAACACTGATGTAAATTCATGCTACAGCTGTAACACTGATGTAAATTCATGCTACAGCTGTAACACTGATTTAAGTTAATGTTACAGCTGTAACACTGATTTAAGTTAATGTTACAGCTGTATCACTGATTTAAGTTAATGCTACAGCTGTAACACTGATTTGGGTGTCAATGACTCACGCAAAATATATTTTTCCCCCACAAACGGATAATATATTGCATGGACATTACTCCAGTACTCACTAAACCTTCAGTGTGCTCGGGCATTAGAAGTGTCACTACATCAATCCATGAGTGTCATATCAAGTTGTGTGAAATGGAGAATCTCACCCAAGTGTCTTTTGATATCAAACTTTTTCAGTTTGTAGACAGTAACAAGCAGTGTCATAAGTGTAAAGAGTACTGCTTACAGCTTCAGTAGCAGAGCCATTAGTGATGTCATTTGATTGTGGCGTCATGGTAACCAATGATGTCACAATGGTCTGCAAAGCACTATGATGCAATTTCATTGCAGTGATATCTACAATGTAGATATCGCTTGATTTCACCCAAGTGAAATGCCTGTGAGAGCCAGGTTTGGATGATAATGAGTTTAGTTTAATGCCGCCCTTAGAACATGATTATGAGATGTATCCTTGTGTCAGCTTTCTGTCACTCAGATTGTAGATGTTTGCACCTTTGATGAACCCTGAGTGCAGGGTATGGTGCTCATAAACCAAGTTTCAAACAATGAGGGCAAATTTGGGATTCAACCCAATGACCAGTGTTTGCCAAGCTCAAGGCCAGTTCTTGTTTAACCCCCGTAATGCCGAGCGCCACTAACGTCTTTTGGTATGACAGGGCCAGGGACGTTCTGTCACTAGACCATGGAGGCGGTCCGCCTCTGAATAAGAACAGTCTAACGGTACATGATGTGAAACTGCCATTATCAGGTGACAGAACATGTTCCTGGCAACTATCTCCCAAACACAGCCAGTGGTGCTGACTTGCTGATAGTAACGGATGAGTAGGAAGAGCATCTCTGGCTGTGAGGTGCTGCAAAAAGGTTTCTTCAATAGAAACCACCTGTCTTCTATCAGCAACCCAACACTGCCAAAGCCGCCATTCAGAAACAACCCAACACAACCAATGCCGCCATTCAGAAACAACCCAACACTGCCAATGCTGCCATTCAGAAACAACCAACACTGCCAATGCCACCATTCAGAAACAACCCAACACAACCAATGCCGCCATTCAGAAACAATCCAACACTGCCAATGCCACCATTCAGAAACAACCCAACACAACCAATGCCACCATTCGGAAACAACCCAACACTGCCAATGCCACCATTCAGAAACAACCCAACACTGCCAATGCCGCCATTCAGAAACAACCCAACACTGCCAATGCCACCATTCAGAAACAACCCAACACTGCCAATGCCGCCATTCGGGTAACACAACCAAATTCAGCATTAGAAGTCTTGATTAACAACATCATAGTTTCTGCAAAAGTTTTGACCTACAACTTTCCCAAAATCCAAACAACAAAGTATTCACATAGTTGTAATAAGGTCCTTGTTGCTGCTAAATTTCAATCACAAACAATATCAGATTGTCACAAAAACATACTTGCTTCATTACAAGGATATCATTCTATCAATTATTGGTCATTACATCTGTAAGATCCGGGGCTGAGATTACCCTGATGTAGTGAGCGAAGGAGTGAGATGGGTTTAACATCACTTTCTAACTGTATTTCAGGTATGTAAGAAACTGTGTATATGATGTGACTAAGGCTTAATAAAGTAAAAGAATTGGTTCTCAGGCAATGTTTTTTTTTAAATAAAGTGTGGGCAGGCGGTGTCTTTTTCTTTTCCTTTTTGTTGTTCAAACTAGTATGTAACCAAATAAACAGTTGTGTACAATCAACCTGGGAAAGGGCCTCCCAACATAAATGTATTCCTTGATGAGTAAAATAGTTAAATACAGTTTTTGACTACTGTTGGATTTAGAATATTTAAGGATTTTTAGGGTTTTTTTAAAAATGGTAATAAAAACAAATGTGTTGTGGACTTTGTGATGAAGCGGGCAGTGTCTGAGAACCAAGATAATTTTTTTGCCAAATAATATTATTTTATCATATGCACAATTTTTAAGCCTAACACAGTTTGTACTGATATTAATAGGCACATCATAATAGTTACAGTGAGTGAGTATGGTTTTACGCCGCTTTTAGCAATATTCCAGCAATATCACGGCAGGGGACACCAGAAAAGGGCTTCACACATTGTACCCGGGTCTTCGGCATGACGAGCGAACGCTTTAACCACTAGGCTACCCGTCAATCCCCAAAACAGGTACAAGAACATCATCTGAGCCACCTAAAAATCTGGCCTCTTAAAGGCCTTTTCAAGACAAAGATCACTCTCTAGTAGGCATTTCTTCCATGGAATGACGAAATGGTTGATGTCTGGCGTAATACTTACTAAATAGTCCTCCTCACAGTACACTTTCCCGTGGACGTTGTAGAAAGCTTTCCCTCGTAACGTCCTCCCTGTCAACACAAGAGAAACAGTGAAAACTCGGGCCAGTGAGTGAATTGGAATGAATTTTAGTTATGTCACAATCACAGGCTCCTGGAATGTCTAAGGGACAGAACTCTGTACTGTGAATTGTGGCACCTTAATTTGGCAACCTCTGTCTTCAGAATCCTGGATAAGGCAATTACTATGACATGTTGCATGTCTAAAAAGTTTAACTCTTCTATCAAGGGATTTTTTTAAAGTTTATTTTTCTGGTCATTGAAATTAACATTGAAGTTAAGGCATGAACGTCAGCAGCATGAATGTGTGATGATCAATTGATATAGACATTAAAAAAAAAAAAAAGGTTCTTAAATTCAAGTAGGACATTAACCCCAAGTTAACCCCGACAAAGACACTGTTGACTCAAGCCCTGCTTCTGCCTCTCACAATAAGGCAACTGAAACCTGCCAAAAAGCATTTGTCTTGCCTTTTGTTGTCTGGTACATTCTTAAAATTCCAAAACCAGGAAATACCATCAAGACGCACAAACATTAGTTTCATTTTCTGTGTCAACACTTATCAGTCTTTGTTTTTCAAGGAAATCAGCCCAAGTTTCATAAATCTCGCACGACCTTGAGGTGTTGGTCCAGATACACAGACAGTAGGGGCATGACATTTTGATGACGTCATCAGTCAGACATGATCAGAAATCACCCAAACAAAACCTTCCTAGCAACATGACACATGACATATCATGGCTTGGCTTTAATATATAATATAACAGACATTAAAATTCCTTTTAAGAAGAAATACATGAGAATTTTTCAGTTCTCAAAGACTATTAAAAACAAGCATTATCTTTAAAAGTTTACACAATGAGTATTTTCTCCAACATAGGTCCAGGTTTGTATGTGACAAATGTTTGATTTGGGATACTCTTTCTCAGTAAAGTACTAAAATCTGTACTTTACTAAGAAATTGTTATCCCAAATAGGTGAGGTGAGGTGAAATTGGGTTTAACGTCGCGTCCAAGATTATTGCACTTATATAGCGACGTGCATGCACGTGTGTGTGTGTGTGGCTGCTTGTACTAGTCTGGACTGATGCCGATTTATAGTGCTAGCTCACAGAGATACCATGCCGCAGTTTTAACATGAATACCCCACTCAGACACAGTATACTGACTCCGAGCCGACCAGTCCTTGTTTTAGCCCCTTAATGCCGAGCGCCAGACAGGGTAACAACAAGTACAAAGATTTAACGTCTTTTTGTATGTCGCGGCCCGGGATCGAACCCTGGACCTTCCGCTCTCCAGGCGGACGCTCTACCACTAGACCACGGAGGCGGTCGTTATCCCAAATAGAACATATGTTACATTGCCCACTTTCTAAATGGTATTGTGTGTTCACAGGTTTGTATGGCTCATGTTTTCAAATTGTCGAGAGTAAAATTGTAGGAAAAATGAGTTTAAATTATTGAGATTGACAAGGGAGGACAGCACAAAGTGAGTGAGTGAGTGAGTTGGGTTTAGCGCCGCTTTTAACAGTATACCAGTTATATCACGGCGTGTCAGATTAATGTGGGAGGAAAGCCCCAAGTGATGCAGGTCTTAGACGTTTACCACTTCGGTGAAACCCACGAGCACGAGTATGGTGCTGACAAACCTAGAAACATAATCGGGGCGAACCGGGATTCTAACCCACAATCATAGGTTTCTGGCGTGCCCAAGGGACGCGACTCTGCACAGCAAATCGCGGCGCCTTAGATGACTGGGCCACCCGTGTCCCCTGCAAGTCTTGAATGTTTTTCATACAAAAAGGGAACGACATGGTTAGGTTAGGTTAGGGTACTTAAAAACCTATTAACCTAATGAAAGTAAACTCCTTATCCCTTTCAGAAGTATAATTTCCTGTTACTAAACAGTGCACTATCCATATTCAGAGTGTTGTGCTAAACTTTATTAAACAAAAGTTGTAGCCCAAGTCAGATAATGTACACCAGTGTACTTGTAACACTGTTTCAAGTTAGTAAACTTCTTACTGACCATACTCAGCTATTTTATAACCTGAAATGTATGTGAAAATAGAAGCGTTGCCACCCAATCAGGGCCCCCGCTATCAGCATGTTCAGCTATGTTTGCCACCCAATCAGGGCCCCAGCTATCGGCATATTCAGCTATGTGAATATAGAAGTATTGCCACCCAATCTGGGCCCCAGCTATCAGCCTGTTCAGCTGTGTGAAAATAGAAGCGTTGCCACCCAATCAGGACCCCAGCTATCAGCATGTTCAGCAATGTGAAAATAGAAGCGTTGCCACCCAATCAGGGCCCCTGCTTTCAGCATGTTGAGATTTGTGAATATAGAAGTGTTGCCACCCAATCAGGGCCCCCCCGCTATCAGCATGTTGAGGAATGTGAACAATGTGGAGAGCATGTTATCAGCTGTGCTCCTCTCCACCTTTTGGCCTCTCACTGACAAGACACTCTGTAGCAACAGTTATCACTGACTGATGGACTTCAGATGACCCCAGCATTGTATTCATATTCATCCAGTCAAATATAGGCTTCCAACAAACTGGCAATCACAAACAATATGCTTCACATAAACTGACCAATCACAAACAAAAGCTGTGTATTCAAATCTAGCAGTCAGTCAAACACTTGAACCCAACACAACCATGACTGAGACCATCAGCATCAAGTCACAAACCTCATCATCCCAGTATCATGCTAAACAAACTGGATAAAGACTAAGAATTAAAAAGCTTTTTTATAGCCAACCTGAACTATCAAATATCACTTGGCTAACGAATCCGCCGAGTCCCAAAAATTTAAATGAGAAAAATAAAATAAATTAATATGCTTAAAAAGCCCAACTCATTACTGTCACTATAATCATTAATGAATTATTCAAAATACCATGATTAAAACCTGTTTGAAAATTATCTTTAAAAATTCTGCTCCCCATTTATTGTCCCACCTGCTCAATGTTTTGAGGAAACATAAATATATATTTTGAAACATATTTTGTATATTTTGGACCTACTGACCTGAATTTGGGCGCAATAAATCCCTAAAACAAAATGGAGTGGTAAAGCCTGAATGCCTGCCCGCTTCTAACATTATAGTCGACCTTACAGTCCCTGAACCATATTAGTTTCCCTTGCGCCAAGCCCTGGCCCTTACTGCAGTGTAAACCTCTCATGAAGCAAGTCTAGATTTTCCTCAGGTCCAGGTTCTGAATCTTCCATCTCACTGGGGCTCCTCTTCAATTAAAATGGAGTTATTTGTTTCCATCAAATTTCTATATTTTCAGAGACAGAGCGTCTACCAACCAACTACAGATTCAACAACAGAGACAGGACTGTTTAAAGACATTCGACATGAGAAAATTCTGGATATTCATGAGTGCACCAACATTTGTAACAGGAGCTGCTCTTACTGCTACTTTCCAGCAATTAAATCCAACATGTTGGACAGTGTCATCATTTGAGAGGACACAGAAAAGTTCACAACTCTGAAAAGACCACCTTCCTGGTGTTCAGTGTTCCAGATCAGGACTTGGCTTCTGGTGGTTTTTGAAGTGTGAGGCATGAAATCAACAACAAAGGCAAATCTGACAAAGGCAATCCGAAGAGGCAGAACTACGCCCCTCCCATACAGAGAGTTATGCCCCTTGGCCAGTCAGGAATGTCTGCCCCACTTCACTCCACAAAAACACCCCAGTTGAAAACACCCTCAACTGAAGCCCTTTGTCAGTGCAAGGGTAATTGCTGGACTGATACATCTCATATCCGGGAATCTTTCAAAGAAATTAAATTCTTGTACACTGTCGAGTGTTTCCTTAGGTAGGCCCTTGACACAGGTGAGGAAAGTGTTTGTTGATGAGAACAATGGTTTCAATGGTCAAGGAGAGCGTTCAGGTAGTGTCGGTGGCCTCTGGTCATAGTGACCGCCTCAACTTGGGTCGGGTTGTCAAATTGTGAAATCAGTTGAAAAAAGCATTAAAACACATGGCTGGGTAAGGAAATATTATTTTAACATTTAATTGTGGAAAGAGGTTGGGGAGAGCACATTTACCAGAAAGGTCAAGAAAATATATTGGGGGGTTATTTACATCAACAATATATTTCTGTATGTTTGAGTGCATTCATAAATAAATAATATATTCTGAAGAAAAAAAAAGAAACGCAAAAGTACTAAGATCGTAAATCATATTCGCATTAGACAACCAGTTCGTGGTATCATTTTGAAGGACTTGCATCGTTGGCTGCGACATCATTGGTGTCAAGGTCACAGAGTATGGCCACAAGGTGGAGACAAGTTTGTTTTCGTGATTTTCAGTCAGGTGAGCTAAAAATCAGAAGATATTTCATAAATAACAACTGAGATGAACTGGAATTTTATCTCCCGCAAGATAACTTTGATTGTGCTAACAGCTTCACGTATGATTGTCTGTAAATCATATCACATTATTATCACCTTATCACCGTTGATAAGCCTACTTGACGACATTGTTGCTCAGATTGGTGTTCTAGTGGTTTTGACACAGCTAGTCAATGACATTCCAGTATCCTTCATGTCCTTCTCACTGTTTCATATCAGTGGTGTTCCATGTCAAGTACTTTCAAGCACTTGACCATGACCTTCACACAGCTCGTTATCGAGGTCTGCTTCTGCTAATTACCAAACACTTTGAACACAAGAGTTAGCTGAGGTTAACAGTAATGACCCCAGTCAGGGAAAGGAAGCATTCCTTCATCCAGTAATGGCTGGCATCCTTGTGTGTTTCTGTGAAGTCAGTTAGGCAGGATGTCCCGAGTGAGTGAGTGAGTGAGTGAGTGAGTGAGTGAGTGAGTGAGTGAGTGAGTGTGAGTGTGAAATGAAATTATAGTCTTGATACAATAAAACAAGCATAGTTTCATTTATTGGCAGTGTATATGCAAACATGAGTCTTGTGTTTATCATATTGTATATACGCAAATGATGTGTTTTGTTTGTTTGTTGTTTAACAATGCACTCAGGAATAT